ACAGCTTATCCATTGCCTTGGAATAATGAATGAGTTAACCTCCAACTGTTAGGATGCTGCAGGCTGCCCGATGTACTATACACACATACAGCTTATCCATTACCTTGGTATAATGAATGTAATGAATGAGCTAACCTCCAACTGTTAGGATGCTGCAGGCTGCCCCGATGTACTATACACACATACAGCTTATCCATTGCCTTGGAATAATGAATGAGCTAACCTCCAACTGTTAGGATGTGCCCCGCTGTACTATACATACAGCTTATCCATTGCCTTGGAATAATGAATGAGCTAACCTCCAACTGTTAGGATGTTGCCGGCTGCTGTACTATACACACATACAGCTTATCCATTGCCTTGGAATAATGAATGAGCTAACCTCCAACTGTTAGGATGCTGCCCCCGCTGTACTATACATACATACAGCTTATCCATTGCCTTGGTATAATGAATGAGCTAACCTCCAACTGTTAGGATGCTGCAGGCTGCCCCGATGTACTATACACACATACAGCTTATCCATTGCCTTGGTATAATGAATGAGCTAACCTCCAACTGTTAGGATGCTGCAGGCTGCCCCGATGTACTATACACACATACAGCTTATCCATTGCCTTGGTATAATGAATGAGCTAACCTCCAACTGTTAGGATGCTGCAGGCTGCCCCGATGTACTATACACACATACAGCTTATCCATTGCCTTGGTATAATGAATGAGCTAACCTCCAACTGTTAGGATGCTGCAGGCTGCCCCGATGTACTATACACACATACAGCTTATCCATTGCCTTGGTATAATGAATGAGCTAACCTCCACCTGATTGGAAGCTGTGTGTACTATATAAGCACATACACGGGACTTTAATTTGTTTTCTGGTAATTATTATCTGGAGGTTACTACCTGCAGGTCACTTTTTAGAGAGTTTATTTTTTACTTTGCAAAAAATTTTTACTTTGTGTGTTTGGATCCAGGACCCGATAAGTTTCTCCTTTCTTTCTCAGAAGATGCTTTGAGGACTGCTATAGTAATTAAAGGATCACTATAGTGTCAGGAAAACAAACCTGTTTCCTGGCACTATGTCATCCTTGGGGGACCCTCACCCTCAGAGTCCCCCTCCCATGGCGCTGAAGGGGATAAAACCCTTCAGCAGCTCACCTTAATCCAGCGCCGGGCTTTTCCTCCCCCTCTGACGTCAGCTCCCGAGTGAAGCGGAATGCGCATGCGCGGCAAGAGCTGCGCGCAATTTGTAAAAGTCCATAGGAAAGCATTTCTCAATGCTCTCCTATGGACGTTCTGCACGCTGGATGTGAATTTCGCATCCAGCGTCGCAGAAGCGCCTCTAGCGGCTGTCAGGAAGACAGCCACTACCGGTTGGATTAACCCTGCAATGTAAAGATAGCAGTTTCTCTGAAACTATGTTTACATGTGAAGGGTTAAACTTAAAACCTGAGAGACCTGGCACCCAGCTGAAGTGGTCTTGGTGACTATAGTGTACCTTTAAGAAACACTTATATGTATTAAATATCCAGATACAATAAACATTTTTTAAACATGTCTGTCTGAATATTGTTCAAGCACTCGGATAGAACATTGTGTTGGTATTGGCTGCATTGAATATGATATATTGCCATTTGGATCGTGTGTGTGTTTGTGTGTATTGCCATAACATATGTAATAAATGACAAATAAAACTGACTTACAAATAATGCGTTATCATTTTCACTGCTAACATTATTACAAATAACTACCATCAGCTTAGGCAAAAACATCCACTGATTATCTCTGAGCCTTATCTAAACCTATAAAGATACAACTTGTGATACATTTAGAATTTAGCTCAATTACAGAACTAACCGGCTTAACCTGATTTTTCAGGGTTTGGTATCGAAAGCATATTCAAGAAGTGCAAACAAACATCATGAATGTTGGTAAATCAGTGAAAGACCCTAGAAGGTCATGCAAGCAGTGACTTGCCACTAGATGTATCGAATGGGTCAGATATTATTATTCAATTACTAGAACAGGGGTGCCCAAAAGGTAGATCCCAAGATGTTGTAAAACTACATCTTCCATGAAGCTCTGTTATTCTAAAGACATGCAAAGCATCATGGGATTTGTAGTAAGCATATGGGCACTCCAGTACTAGAAGAACTATTCTTGAAATTAACAGCCCTGTCATGGTTAACCGTTATCATTACTTGCTCTCTCAGAAATGCAAGGGTCGATGTGCAGTTGAATGCATGACAGACGCCATACCTTTTACATATATATATTTATTTATTTTTGAGCGTATCCCTGGGTACTGTTTCATATAAAACCTTTTATATCTAGACATTATCGACTTTTAAAGGGTGCGCCAAAGTAATAAAACTGGGTGTGGTGGTAAATAACAGCAATGATTGTAAAATAAAACACTTAATGCACGGGATTAGTGAAACAAACTGGGATTTGATTCCCTGCTCAGGATCTGAGTATAGAGAAGCATTTCACTCAGGGGTGCTATGCTTTTATACCTTCAGGTATCCATTAAACATTTCCTTAATAAACATCCCGTCACTGTGAATTCTCCTGCTTGTGATGAAGTATGCATTGAAGTGATACTCTAAACACCTTAACCACTACATCGTATTCTAGTGATCATGGTGCAATAAGTCTTTGGGTGCCCTTCCTCCATTTGTTTCTCATTCTGGTTTGACCAGTTTGACCCCAAAAAATGTCTCTCCTGGCACCTATATTCAGCACTGATATGATAATGTTTCACTTTCACAGTAACCTTTGAAATGTTCTTGAATGGCAATTAAAGAGCTTAGCCCAGCACTTGCAGCATATATCTGCTGGCCAGCTTTGGATACATTTGGAGGGATAATGTAGAATTGAGACTTTGGCATTATCTGAACTGCAGCAGAGGAACCGGAGCTTAGGAAACCCCAGTCCCATTTAAGCACACTGTTTAAAACAGGTTTAAAAAGCAATATCCAAAGATGTCTTGCACCATAGCCACTGCAACAAACTCTAGCGGTTATGATGCTTACAGTGTCACTTTGTGCGTCCTCCATCACATTTGAAAAAAAAGCTTTATCGCAAAAAAGGTGTTAGTCATACTAGTAAATGCAAAATAGGTCGTTAATTTTGTATGTGCCATCAACTGGCTTGCATATGATGTCAAGGTATGATGACATATAAGAGGGGAAGGGATAAGTTAGGGATTGAATTGGTTGTTGATTCTAAGTCACTATGAGTGGAATGTTGGCATTGTCCCCATTAAATTCATTCCATTTGTATTCCTTGTTTTTCCCATCATCATAATACGAGCTAGAAGATATGACACATTTTTATTTTACAATGCAATTTCCATTTCTGATCACCAGCCCAACGTCTCCTGGGAAAGTTTGAATTTTTAAACATGTTTCTAAAATATAGCATCGCAGCTGTTGTAAAGATGACTATTGACGTTGTTGACGCATATTTTCATTATCGGTTTAGGTTGTTTGAGGCAACATTAAAGTTATTTTTATTAATTCCATGCTCTGATACACTCACAAAACTCACAAATATCTACCGACCTTGAGTTTGACATTTGTTTTTGTTTTATGTGTGTGTCAAAAATATGCTTTCTGGAAATTACATCTATAAATTGTGAAAAATCTTTAACTCAGGAACTGTTTGGAACAGTTTGTGTTTTTTCATTTGTTATGTACAGTTTTGTGTAGCAGACGGGTCTGTGTGATGTAACTTTACACATTTTATTGGTTAGATAAGAAAAAAACTTTACATTTAGCCTTAAAGCAGAACTGTCACTTCTTGGAAAATTGCACCATTAAATACAACGTTGACAATCAGTTTTAACATTTGTTAACCTTGGTTTTCTTTTAAAATATATATTAATGGTTTAGCAAGTGACATCACAGTCTAGGTCAGTTCAGGCACAGCCAGGGCACACAATGCAGATGAGAACAGAAAAAAGGAAACATTGATAGCATTGAGAGACAGGGAGTCAAGATGGAGCCACCCAGTGCTGGGTAGATGTGTAGATTGCTACATTTAAGTTTATTGATTAGGCTCTTAAAGAAAAGTAAGGAAAAGTAAACAGACTATTAAAAGTCCTGGAAACTACAGATTCCCTTAACTTTTCCTTAAACTTTAAACATCATCATAATGTGCTAAAATGATCAAATCTGCTCAGTTATGACCATAGACAGATTTTTTTAAAGAAAATCATTAGATAGGAAATCTGAAAACGAACAAAACTAGTCGATTGTAAGGATCACGTTTTAAACCCTTGGGCCATGGTATAAAAATATTAATAACATACTGTGATCCTTGTTTGCAGGTAGCACGGTCCTCTAGGGCAAAAACATGCACAGTCCTTGTAGTTGCAAATACTTCAGGCACTTTATTTGTAAGTTCACACAGGATACAGCAGTTAAATGAAAACAAAAGTAACTGAAAACCCTATAAACAAAAAACCTGGCTCGTCTGAGCACTAACTGACATTAGGTCCCCTATCTCTCAGGGTTAAACTAAACAAAACAATAGTGGTTTCACCAACCTAGAGTCTTTGTCCACTCTCAGCACTCCAGTATTTAGCCAGCCTGCTGCTTCCAGCCTTTCAGAGAGAAAAAGAACATTCTCCCTTACCTGCCTAGCAGGGAGGGATTTTATTCCCACTTGCTGCAGCTGATTACCTACAGCTGAGCAGTAGGTTGGAGACAGTCCAAAACCCTGGGCTGGATCTAAGTCTTCCAAGAAAACCGCTAAGCTGCGGAGTGGAGCACTGGCCCACCCTGCTCTCCAAATGCTCCACCCCAGGGGCCCATAACTAAACAATGCTTTGTGTAACACACACAAACTACACATACTCCCCCTGGGGTTAAAAATCATATGCCTCTCTGAACAATTCTGTCGAGATATAGACCCCCTCACAAACCACCCCATTCACCTTATCACAATACATTAGAAACAAATAATTCTCTGTAGTCTGATTTAACGACCTTCTGAAACCTTGTGTTTGAAGAGTTACTGCTAAATTAATAACATCACTAACCATTGTTTAATTCTTCTATTTTTACTTTAGTCATTGAACACGAATCTTTGCTTTTGAACACCTTGAGCTGGAAAGTCATTTAATAAGAAGTTTATAGAAATGATTCTTCATATTTTAGAATATCTCCTTTTAAGGAACACAGGCCGGAGGCTCAATAAAAAGGTAAGCCTTGCTAGTTTTAAGAGTATACAATTGTATTGTATGTGGAGTCTACATGTATCTGCTTGTTACCTGTGAAGACTGTTAACCTTATAATCACAGAAATACAATTACAAGAAAAAAAGCAAACTGGAGACAATTCATTACTTAGAGATTTTATTTACAGAGGGCTGCTTTCTATGATTGGCTCTATCAGTTACCTACAAGCCAATAATGTTTAAAACAGCTGAGGGTAACGTTATGGACTCGCTGCTGTTTCCATGTCACCAAATCCCAAATTTAGCGCCTGCAGAGAAAGGTAATTTCGCTACAGAAGTGAAGACAGGAATCTCTAAAGTACAAACCATAAAGATGTGGAATCCAGTGCTTAAAAACATTGTTCTTTCAGTGCTTTCAGTTCATATGCGAATATTTTAACAATGTTTAGATGGACATTTTGGAGAAAATAGAATATTCATGGTAATAATACGTTTTGGTATGGGAGGTAACAACTTATTGATCTTAGAAACAATTGACTGCCATTTTGGAGTCAGGAAGGAATGTTTTTTCTTCATTTTGCAGCAAAGTGGAAAACTGTTTCAAATCGTGTTTTCAGCTTTTGTATCAGCAGTAGAAACAGAAATGTGTGTAAGTCTAAAGTTGATAATGTGTAACTATGTTAGCAGCTGCTGTGATGTTTTACATCTCCCATAGAGATTAAAGGGGCACTATAGTCACCTAAATTACTTTAGCTAAATAAAGCAGTTTTAGTGTACATATCATTCCCCTGCAATTTCACTGCTCAATTCACTGTCATTTCGGAGTTAAATCACTGTGTTTCTGTTTATGCAGCCCTAGCCACACCTCCCCTGGCTATGATTGACAGAGCCTGCATGAAAAAAAACTGGTTTCACTTTGAAACAGATGTCATTTACCTTAAATAATTGTATCTCAATCTCTAAATTGAACTTTAATCACATACAGGAAGCTCTTGCAGGGTCTAGCAAGCTATTAACATAACAGGGGATAAGAAAATCTTAATTAAACAGAACTTGCAATAAAGAAAGCCTAAATAGGGCTCTCTTTACAGGAAGTGTTTATGGAAAGCTGTGCAAGTCACATGCAGGGAGGTGTGACTAGGGTTCATAAACAAAGGGTATAACTCCTAAATGGCAGAGGATTGAGCAGTGAGGCTGCGGGGGCATGTTCTATACACCAAAACTGCTTCATTAAGCCAAAGTTGTTCAGGTGACTATAGTGTCCCTTTAATAGGAGACTACTAGTTTCCATTCTAGTTGGTAAAATATTACCACCATGTGAAATGTAGTCACTAGGTCAAGTAGAATTCAATTTAAAGTGGAAAAGACAAACTAGTATCAGAAAACTCCCAAATGTATCTTATAGGAGATATGTATTTATTATTTAAGTGCATTCAAAGGGACACTATAAAATCAGTAAATCTTAACGTAATGATTTTAGTGCGTAGACCAGGTCCCCTTTCTCTGACAGATATAAACATTGCCATTTCTGAGAATACACCTGACAGTCAATAGACATCTCCTTATTATGATATACAAAAATCAAAGGTTTTTACATTTTGACGTCATCGTGGTGTGTGTGTGATGTTCCTGAACATTATCAATGCATTGGTTTCATTGCCTCTCTCCAAGAAGCATCTGATTTTTCTGATTGCAATCCTAACGTTTGACCCTGGCTCCAGGATTTTTAGGAAATTTAGCAGGGGCAGGTATAGGAGCCAGTAAATATGTCACCATGAAGAATAAGTAAAAATAATAATAAGAATGCACCCACAGTTTTTCCAATTCCAAAAACAAACAATCAAAATGATTCAATGAAAATGCCAGTAAATATGGAAAAATGTAATGCGCTAAAATGATCTGTTTTACCTCTACAGGTGAACATCTTCGGTAAAAAAAATGTGTATGAATTTCTTACTCACTTGAAGATGTGAACAAAACTCACTGGATGTTGAACTACTGTCAGACTCTGGATATCAATGGGCACACTTTGCAATACGTAGCCACATAGATTTTTCTACAGTTTTCTTAGGGACATCATACTATATGGGCACCATAGCCAACAAATTAGGGATTGTCAGCCATAATGGAGGACCAGCAGCTGTACAAGGCTAATCTGTCAGCCAACAGCAGTGATAATGTGTTTTACCAGCACATACAGTGTCAAGCAAATAACCAGACTCTTAACCATAGTTATGACTCTGTGGACTTGAATGAGTCCATGTCACCTTCACCTCATTTGTCTTTAGATACTAGGGATGCTACATTACCTACAAGAGCTAAAAACCTTGGCCCAGTGGATTCTGCTGGGCAGACTAACTGGTCACAGTCAGGCTCAGGAAACAACATTGAAGGAAGAAGCCATTTAAATAGCTACGATCAAAACTTACAATGGAATTCCCAGGCACAAAACGAAACGGCTGATGCATACCAGGCAACATATTATTGTCAGATGGGTGACAATCGGCCCAAAGTGACCAGTGGTGCCTTGCACAAGTTGGACTCTTTTACACAGGTATTTGCTAGGCATAATTTAAGAATCCAATCTTCATCTCAGGGCATCCATGAGCAACCATCACTAATGGACAGTGATAGTGCGCTTCGACAGTTGCTGTCATTCAAGTCAACATCTGAGCAGCAGACCCATCCTAATACCATAGATAGGTACCAACAAGCTCCCCAGCAAATGCAGAGCAGCTTAGCAAATCAACAGCAGAAGCATCTCCTACAAACTATGCAACATTCTCAGCAGAACTTTTATTATGATTATCCGCAACATGTAAACGAATTGCAGCAAGGGCAGCAGTTTGTTCAACAAATGCAGACTCAGCAGGTTTTGACGCAGCAGTCTCAGCAAATGCATCAGCCGCAGTACTACATGCAGTCTCTACATTCTGGGCAGCAGCATGTCGCTCTTCATGAAATGCATCAGTCGCAGCAACAGCGCCAGTTTTCTGGTCAGCTGCCCCAGTATTACCAGACACAGGCTGCAGCGGCAGAAATGCCTCACTCTATGCAGCAAACGCAGCACCATAATATGCAGTTGCAATCTCAGACCTATCACAGGGATCGCAGTCAAAAGGCTGATCATTATGCACAGGATCAGTCTCACCCCATGCAGCTGATTCAGTTGGGTGCTGTGCCTCATTATGTATACCAAAACTCTCAGCCGTTCCGCAACTTAAACAAACAAAGCATGATTCAACAGCAACTGCAGGAAGATGCCAGCCCGCAAAAGACTTTCCATAGTGAGGGCCAAAGCCATGCCATCATGGACACCACGATGGGACTTACCAATGCAGATATCTTGGATAATTATAACAGGGAGGATATGAGCGCTATGCAAAATCCTGTTACTCAGCATCCTGTCCTCATCCATGATGCCTCCTACCTTGCAAATCATCCATCTTCAAATACAGCTTGGCCTCAGGTACAGTGTAATAGAGTAAAATATTATAATAAAATCGTTTGTTGTGCTTTTGGTTTTGCTGTTATTAATTACCTACGCATTATTATATAGAGGGGGCAGAACATGTTTAAGCACATTTCCATGTAAAAATATAATAATTCTGGTTTCTGCTGAGGTAGTGCTAAGAACTTTCATTTGTGTTCCTGTGTTTGCGAATGCCTTATTAAATTATATGGCAGATTTACAAGTTGTAATATGTACTAATTATGGCGACAACCATTTGTGGCAATTTGGATTCTCATATTCAGGGGCAATTCACTAACAATAGTACGGCCCAGACCAGAACAACCAAGATCACCTCTGAATGGCTAAAATCACCCCTGAGTGGAATCCTCCCCTATTAAAGTTGAAACATTTATAATATCTGCCCAAGCTTTGCTCAAAATTAAAAAAAAAATTAAAAATGCTTAATGGGCCCCTACCTGTTCTTCCATAAACTCCCCGTTTGTACAATAATTTGGTCCTTTTGTGCCCTGCCTTAGTTCAATGTGTTCAATCTCCGACTGCCTCACTAAGCAGTGAAAGGACACAGATGGAGCTACACACACACCTTTACAATTTGTGGGGTTGGGGGGAAGAACCAACACATAATTCTGCCCAAAGTGCCACTTCGAGTCCAAGCTTGAATACTTTAGCATACATTATTCAATTAATTAAAGTTCATTACAATCCAGGGTTTAGTAAAATGCCCCCCACAGTATCTCCCTGTAGATGTCAGCAAATATTATTGTCTTTAAAATTGCTTGCTGCTTTATAACTTTTTATAAATTTTGGACAATAATTTGGTGTGCAGTGATGTACTGTTTGCATCCAGCTTGTTTGTTAAGCAGTGCTCTGTTCTATTTGTGTTCTGAAGTACTGAAATATGGCAATCACCATGGAAACCAGTAGGATCAGCAGGTACATGTCATTGGTGAATCCCTACATTTAACACTTTTGCAACACTTTTGAACAGACCACTTTGATAAAATTTCCCGGTTGTTTGAGATTCCTGGATTAAGTAAATAAAACACCTTTTACGTCAAATTGGAGTATGTGACTGTCATTTCAGTGTGTATCATTCTAAAAAAATATATATTTCTATGACAATTCACTGAGGCCCAATATCACTATCTATCTAGATATTTAAATGTTCTATATATTATTCTTCTGATTTTTCTCATTTTGTTTTACAGCAAATGCCAGATGACAATCCACTGACCATGTCTCCAGAACATAGGTATATCTTCCAATTGGATGTTACATTCTTTTTATTTCGGAATCTTGCACATTTCACAGAAACATGCACATCAGTCTGAACCATAAAAACCCAACCAGCAGTGTATACGGATGTTGTATGATTAGAAATATATTGTTAGATATAAGGAAAAGGTTCTGTTAAAAATCTTACACATTTTAAATCAATTTGATCATACTTGAATGAGAGTTGTGTACATACTTATAAAAATTGGCATCAGTACATAAATTAAGTTTGACAAAAAAAATTTAAAAAAAAAAAATATAACTAATTATGGCTAAGCTTGTAAACCCTGTCATTCTTCTGTTCATAAACATCTTTAGTGTCAGTGTTAGACATTCCTGGCAGAGATCATTATTTTATACAGTAACACTATCAATTTAGATATGACTTTGTCTTGTGGTGCTTTTTCGTCATTGGTTTCTTCCACAATGTTTTCCTTTTTAAATTTTGCTTTTATCATTTAAAACATCATCAGTAGAGGACTATACCCCGAAAAACCCGATTCCAAGACCAGGCTCCCGTGCTTAATCTGTTTAAAAGAATTCAGAACTTTACCTGCCCTTAATGGACACTTGAAATCTCATGGTGGTGTAAGATCCTCTCCAATCCTAAAACAAGTAAGACATCTTTATTATTGTACCTGCACTTTTCTCATAGTACTTTGACCATTTGGAGGGGTAGATTTGTTTCTTGCTTAGCTTGCTGTATGCCACACATGGGAAAAAAAAAACTATCCTACTGGATTTGAAAAGATTAGGTTTATTTAACACCTTCACAATTGCGTTACTGTATTGTTTTTTTTTTTTTTAAATAGTGTACATTTTTTATGAAGTCTGAGATTGATAGATATCACACAAACTTCAGACTATTTTTAACCTTAGTCTGTTCCTTTACTCTAAGATTCAAACCACAGAAGAAAATAACATAAAACTTACATTTATTCCAGTGCCGTAACAGACATCTCACAACAGCTGCTCCCCCTTACATTGACCCATTAGGATTAGTGACTTTTGTCCAGTCCAGTTATTCTCATTTGTCCCGTTAACACCGTTGTTGTGAATATATTGGCATAAATGTACACAACATTATTTTTTTATTCATGCATTTATCCTTTATAGAAATATTTGGGAGATGGGATGTTTTATAGATTATAGCTGAAATACCATTTTCATCAAATAAGGTTGTTTTGTCAAAAAAAGATTATTTAAAAAATATCCAAATACTCTCCTTTGGGGTAGTTGTAAGCAATCTGCTGAATTTGGAGAAATGCAGATTCTTAAACAAGATGCTATAGTATGTGTATGTGGGCATAATATCCAGATACATTAAGTCCAGTTACAAAAATAGTAAATTTGTGTAATAGGCGCTTGGCTAGTACAAAAAATTGTATTTTAATGAGTAATCTGCTACTACCTATGTGGAAATATCACGCAGTGATTTTAAAACAGAACTTACTCCCCAAGGTTACCAACGAGTTTAGCGTGAGTTTGGGCATTGACAAATAAGGTAAACACTTGGGGTGTATACAAGGAACGAAATTTGATTTGCATTGCAGTATAATACCAAATTACCTTACCCTTCCGCTTCAATGCCATAATTCACCTAATAGTGAAACTGGTTTCTGTGGGAGGAGTCTAATCATTCCCTCTGCACTGGAAAAACAATCGTGGAAGCTCACTATCCATACCCAGCCCGAAGGCAGTCTTTTCCTTAAAAAGCACAGATTCCTGGTTTTAGCCAGGCAATTGGACTTACTATTAAAGAAACCTTTAATTAGTGATGTAGATACCCACCCTAGTAAAAAAGGTAAAGAATTTGTCACTTACCCTCACTATATAGATGAGGTATAGTTTTCTATAATAAAGAATACTAATATTGTGTATTATATCCAATATTGTGCAAAAAGATGTATCTCAATATTGGTGCACTCACATTTAACTGAACACACCTACTAAAGTGATCTGAGCCGGTCTTAAAGGGAAACTCCAGTGCCAGGAAAGCAATAGGTAGTAGCAGCACTACACATAGGTAGTAGCAGCTTACTCATTAAAATAATATTTTTTGTACTAGCCAAGCGCCTATTACACAAATTTACTATTTTTGTAACTGGACTTAATGTATCTGGATATTATGCCCACATACACATATTATAGCATCGTGCCCATTGGAGTGGTCTGGGTGCCAACTCCCACTACTCTTAACCCTGCAACTGTAATTATTGCAGTTTTTTTATAAACTGCAATAATTACATTGCAGGGTTAACTCCACCTCTAGTGGCTGTCTACCAGACAGCCACTAGAGGGCACTTCCTGATTCATAGCAAAGATTTTCTTTGCTAGAGCGTCGCTGGACGTCCTCATGCGTCGCTCAATTCCCCATAGGAAAGCATTGAAAATCTTTTTCAATGCTTTCCTATGGGGAGACCTAATGCGCGTGCGTGGCGTTGCCGCACATGCGCATTAGGTTTCCTCAGCCGGCGGGCGGGATCAGTTTCGCCCACCGGCTGACGAAATCACTCTCGCCCACCGGCTGACGGAATCACTGGGAGGAGCAACGCCGACCCAAAACCACCGTCGAGGGACGTCGACGGGGTCTCAGGTAAGTGACCTGAAGGGGTTCAGCTACCTGGGATGGGAGGTGGGAGGGAGAGGGTACCTGCAGTGCCAGGGAAACGGATTGCTTTCCTGGCACTGGAGTCTCCCTTTAAGACCGACTCAGATCACTTGAGTAGGTGTGTTCAGTTAAATGTGAGTGCACCAATATTGAGATACATCTTTTTGCACAATATTGGATATATTACACAATATTAGTATTCTTTATTATAGGAAACTATACCTCATCTATATAGTGAGGGTAAGTGACAAATTCTTTACCTTTTTTACTAGGGTGGGTATCTACATCACTAATTAAAGGTTTTTTTAATAGTAAGTCCAATTGCCTGGCTAAAACCAGGAATCTGTGCTTTTTAAGGAAAAGACTGCCTTCGGGCTGGGTATGGATAGTGAGCTTCCACGATTGTCTTTCCAGTGCAGAGGGAATGATTAGACTCCTCCCACAGAAACCAGTTTCACTATTAGGTGAATTATGGCATTGAAGCGGAAGGGTAAGGTAATTTGGTATTATACTGCAATGCAAATCAAACTCCGTTCCTTGTGTACACCCCAAGTGTTTACCTTATTTGTCAATGCCCAAACTCACGCTAAACTCGTTGGTAACCTTGGGGAGTAAGTTCTGTTTAAAATCACTGTGTGATACCTTGGATGTCTGCATCCTTGATTTAGGTATAGCTAAACTAATGTTTCATTCGTAATCATAAATGCCTCAGCATTCACCCATGACCCTCCAATGGTCTGTAGTCGGTAGCAGACAGTTTGATCTATTCCACCAATATGAAAATGTATCAAAACCATTGCATACTTTCTGTAGATTAATGCTCATGGCATATATGTTATAGCTATAGATATAGAACAAACTTTATATTGTTTAAGTGGTGTGAGTATAAATGCCATTTGGTTGCAGCATTTCAGCTGTTTTAATAACACATAACTTATTCTACTATACACCTGAACAGCTGAATTTTAGCTGGTTCTCAACATAATATGCTTCACTCTGCTGAATCACACCAAGGGACTTGTACCCTTTTATATGCCCAGATGTCAGTAAATGAGGTTCAACATGATTCTTATTCCCAGCCAGATCTGTTTCCACTTGTTGAGAGGTGCTGGGCTATGCTTGGTAGGTATTGAAGGGCTCTAAGCTGTGTTTGGGGGTCCCTGGTTATTCTTGTGTCCAATATCTGTTACAGTAATCCAATAGAGATCATTTTCATATGAATCTCATTTTTGAATTTGGAAAATTCCCACTAAGCAGCAAATTTAGCGATGAGTCCAATATGAAAATTCTATGAGTGTTCCATGAGTGTTTACATCTGCGGATCCTGTATGTTGGGGGCTGAAAGCCTTTAATTATCTGTACAGGATGAAGGAGAGAAGGAGGAGATTAGTGAGGTGGATAGCCTCACTCCAATCGTCATGCCTGTGTCTGTGCCTGTAAAGCTTGCACCGTCCGAGCCTAACTGCAGCACGGATATGGACCAGCCCGAGAGCTGTGTCTCCGATGAGGAAATGCCAATCCTAACCAGGATGACTTACTCACCGCCATCCTCCCCCAAGGCGGTCAGCTCATGTGCATCTTCTGTGAGTGCTTCTCTCTCTGCTGCTATCTGTTGCCATGTTTAACCCATTTGCTGACAGAAGGACCAAAAGCTCCCACACAAAATTTAGCAGGGCTATAAACTGAGCTATAGTCACAGGTTATCTATATTAGCCTATATTTTACATTTTAGTGTTCAATTCACTAAATATGGGAATAAATTTCCATGTGATCTGAATGTTTATAAAATGAGTCTAGGTTCTTTCTCGCAGCAAATGGGGCTTTTGTGTTTTTACTTGTGTATGGTTTTATTTGTCTTGTGCTTTTTCACTATGTTTAAGGGCTTCAGCCCTCTCTCTTACAACCATTGCCACCATTTGTTGTGGAGGGTAGGGTAAGGGACCAGATGAAATACTGTAACATGCGTGTTTTGGGATGGGTTTATAGAATGATGTTTTTCGTTGTTATTCATTGGACTGGGAATTGCAATTTATAGATGCAAACAGCTGAATTGGAAAGAATCCTCAATACAACTATTTTTCCAGTCTGGCTATTTTTCCTTGTTAGTTCACAGCAAGTTTTGGTTAGTGACTAACTAACTGGAAAGTTGGGAAAACTGTCCACTTAATTGCAAATTTTAGGCAAAAAAATAACCAAACTAGAAAATATTTGGAGAACTGTTCTTTTATATGCATTTCCCCTGTAAATTCCACACAGTTTGGTTTAGTGAGACCGCTGGGTCGATAAAGTCAATTCCCTGCCGCCGTTACTGGTTGACACTTATAGATAGCGGTAGCGCTGCCCAATGTTTAGATGTATCAGGCATAGGAAATATACAGACACAAAGTAGTGCCTACTTTGTGTTTGTATATCTCTTGACTAGGTTGCAATTTCAGTGAAATTGCAACACAGTCATAATGAGTATTTCATAAAGATTCTGTCTTTCTGAAATACCAGTTTTTCAGGGGAAGGTGACAGTGCCACTTTAAGGGAACCAGTCCTTTTTCAGAATTTTTCAATATTCTGTATACTTATCGTCTGTATTTAGTAAATATGGTTTTGTAAGGTCTGAAAATTAAATTAAATTAAATTAAATGTGGAAACCCACACATCTATCCTGGTACTGGGTGCCTCCATCTTGGCTGCCTCTCAATGTCACCCTATTCTGTCAGGGAACATAGATATTGGAAGTGGAGAAACTAAAGCAATATTTCTGTTCTCCTACTCATTTGCATTGCATGTTCTAGCTGTGCCTTAGACTGATCAGGGTAGTGATGTCAATTGATAAATATTTAATATACATTTTAAAGAAAAGAGAGGTTCACAAGGTTATAGACACACTATAGGCACCCAGACCACTTCAGCTCATTGAAGTGGTCTGGGTGCAGTGTCCCAGGTCCCTCAGCCCTGCAGTGGTAATTATCTGCCAGGGTTAACTCCACCTCTAGGGGCTGTCTACCAGACAGCCACTAGAGGGTCTTCCAGGACGTTAAGCAACTTTTGGTTGCCTCACTGACGCTGGATGAGGACATCCAGCGTCACCCGAAACCCCATAGGAAAACATTTTATAATGCTTTCCATGGGGGAAATGTCCTAATGTGAGCATGGCCATTGAGGAGCAAAGGCAAAGCCTGAATCAGCACAGAGGGGTATCGGCGCTGGAATCAGGTAAGTGACAGACATATACAAACAACACACAAACCTATAAAGTGCAGTGCTCCTATACAAACGGTATTTACCCTTAAATTAAGGGATGGCAGATACCATAAGGATTCCTCAAATTCCTTATTCGAGGTTTTAACCCCTTCTGCATCATGGAAGGGGGCCCGTGATGGAAGGGGGCACTATAGAGAGCTGTAGTGCCAGGAAAACAACTTTGTTTTCCTGGCGCTATAGTTTCCCTTTAAATCTTGAATACCAAAATAGTGAGTGCAAACCGTGGTTTAAAGAAGATTTTTTTAAATTGACTCAAAATGAACAGCTGACAGTATTATTAATGACAGAAATGCAGAATGCCTGATATGAATAATATATGACATCTCTACTGACCCAACATGAGATATTAGAGAATTAACTTTAGAGATTTTTAGCAGGTTTTAGGTGATGGGGAGATATTTGGAGGGGGGGTGCTGTAGGGTAAAATTTACATACAGTGTATCTGTGGTAATGTTGAAGTCGCAAGTCTGGAGATGTTAAAGAGAAATAAAATGTAAAAATCACTAGAAACACATATCGTGGTTATTTATTAAAGTGAGAATTCAAAATAAAATAGCAAAACTGGAAAAATTATCTAAATTAGTTGTGCTTTTAGTTTGTCTACTCTGGCCTTAAATTTAAAAAAAAAAGCTAAAAGAATCAGAACCGAAAACAAAGTCTAACTCTTTCAGAGTTCTGGAAATTGCAGGAAATATCCTGAGGAATATATTTTTTCAGTTCTGGTTTAAATCTGCAATTTCCCTGGTTGTATTCCTGACAATTTAGTGACCTTGCATAACAATTCCAGACCTGTGACCTACTATACCACTATATTAGATTTCCATCACAGGTATATATACAGCATTGCTGGGTTCCACAGGTAAGGCTCTAATGTGACCATGTACATGGAAGATTATTTAGTTGGATGGAGAGCAATTTGTGAATTTGTTGCATTTGTATCTAGGACATCATCCGAAAACTTCAGCAGGCTGGGACAAAATCAAGCCATCCAGGGGAAATCCTCAAAACCCAATCAGAAAAAAGAAAGTATCAGCACAGGCCAGAGCCACTCTTCATACCCCCTCCTTCCTTTAATATAAATGCTTCATATTCAGGCGCTACACTGTACCAAAGTCAGCTACGCTCTCCCCGTGTCATCGGGGACCACTCAATACTCGGAATGCAGGAGCTTCCCCTGTATACTCCACCTCCTATGCTGAGTCCTGCTCGGCAAGGATCCGGACTGTTCAACAGTGTCATCACAGCGTCTCACAATGGTCATCTTCCTCTCACCCCTCTGACACCCACCCCCAGGGTACTGCTCTGCCAATCTAGTAAGTATATTTAACTGAATAAGATAATTAACTGCATTATTCTATTCTTCGTACTTGTGGTATCTTGATGGCCACATAACATCCATCTGTCTTTCATTGAGAAATGTGTATATTTCAGGCTAGTACAACTGACACCCATCCTCTGTTGTTTAACTACAGGTCCTGTTCCATCACTGTAAATCAGCTGCCACACTCATTGTGTTTACAATGTACTAAATGTTGAACTCAGCAAGACCCAAGCTTTTAATGTTCCTGCTGAGTTCAGTGCAGCAATCACTTATTTACTTTTCCGGAATGCATAAAAGGCCAGTAAATATGACTAAATATAAACTAATTCTAGCGCACACTGTATTGTGCCCAGGGCTACCATGGCCCTGCCCAGAAAGTCCTAAATATTAATGTTAGAAACTCTTAAGGAGTAGATTTAGCCCTGGATCAATTTCAGAAGTCAGACAATACAGGTGTAGTTGACCAAGAAATCCCATTGATTATCATTGTGTTTTATTTCTTGGCTAAATGATACTAATATTGGACATATGTTCATGCTGGCTTTAACCTTAATGTTGTGTGTAATGTTGCATGACCTCTTATCGCAATACCTTCTGCTTGTTGTTCAGACAATTTTAAAGAAGGCAGCACTCCCATAACACCAGGACCTGGAGAGAAGACTATAAATGTTGAACCGTAAGAATTTCTCCCTAATTCCTTTTAAAATGTAATTTAACAGTGCGTATTAAGGTTTGCATTTAGCTTGAGTATGTTCCTTGCGGCATTTTGAAACTCTTATGTCTAAAATGTTTTTTAAAAAACAAATAAACAAACATGTATGGCCATGGTTTAGACTCTTACTTTTTCTATAGTTATTCACTGAGACTTTCCTTGCAAGTGAGTAAGAATGTGTATGTGTGTGTGTGTGTGTGTGTTGTTGCATGTGTATTATGTATGTATGTATGTGAGTGATGTGTTTGTGTATATGTTTATTTACAGCTGCTGGAAACAGAACAATACACATTGCTTTTTAATCTGCTCCAATGGCTTTCATTTCTCAGGAGGATTAATATAGGCCCAAGGTTCCAGGCCGAAATTCCAAAAATCAAAGGACTGTCGAGTTTAGAAAAGGAACAGCACAAAGCAACTTTAGTTTGGAAACCATGGGCCGATCTAGAAACCAGGGAATCACAACAGAAAGGTTAGCTCCTGCCATAATCATCACAAATAAAACATGTATTCAATGTGCTAATATGTATTGAAGGGGAATTCATATTATACACTCAGTCTCTTGTATAATATACATTGTTAAAATATTTTTGACCATGATGTATTCCAGTTATTTGATCTACTCGTTTATCAAAGATAAATATATTTTAAATGACCACTGTGGGCACCGTAACAACTTCAGCATAATGAAATAGTTATAGTGCCAGGAGGTCCAAGGCAATGGCTTACCTTTAGGGGTTAAACTGTTCACAAAATATTCAACCTCAAAGTCTTGAATCCAATTCTGTTTTAGCTCTGCCCCTGTTCTTCTGATTCTTTTCAATTGTTGAAAGAGTAAGCCTCAGACAGGGACGTCTCTAATTGGTTGAGAGTGTCAGCTGTCCCTCTAAGCCAAGAAGTAGTTCCCCATTTACAGAATGCCTTGAGAAACATACATATTTTTCTCAAGCCGCTTTTATAAATTGGGAGCTACTGATTGGCTTAGCACCCCTGTTCGAAGCTTCCTCTTTATAAAATCAGAGAGAAGCGGAAGGACATGGGGCAAAGGTAAATGGCGCTAAATTCAAGACTTTGTGGTAAAACTGTTTGTGAATGGTTAACGGTAAGCTGGTTGAAGTTGTTATGGTACCCAAAGATTCCTTTTAACTTGCTTTAAAAAGTGTATAACACTGCCTAACACTGCATTGTGGGTTCCACTAGATGTTGAAAATCATGAATGCATTTATAACATAATTTTCATTATATGTGCCATGTTGGTATATATCAATATCTCCCTCAAACCTTGACTTTGTGTCATAAAAACATCACTGAGTAATTTGGAAAGCTTTTAACAAAAATATCATAAGGCCTCTGTGATTGGACAGGTTCATAAATGGGATAGAACTGATGTAAGCAAAAATAGATGGATAAGAAATGAAAAACTATGACATTAAATCCCATTTAGGTAATCTCACTCATGTAGAAAATGGAACCATGATGTAAAACACAATAAGGGGAGATAATTTAAGGTCAACTGTGAGCCAGAAAAATCTACCTAGGCCTGAAAAATCAGCTAAAATTAGCATGCTTTGATTCAGTGAGAAAATTCTCCCTTTAAAAAAGCAAAAATGGTAAACCCTATGCTTGAAATGATTGATTGAACTCTGGAGATTGTATATAGGGACACTATAAGAAATATAACCATTTTATCTCATTGAATTGGTTAAAGTGCCTGCAGTCCTCTGACACTGTCCCTCCATGTTAAATCACTTTCTAGCAGTTTGAAACTAAATAAAGGTCCCTGGCAACCCATAGCAATGTCCCCACAGTAGGAATGGCTTAGGCAGAGAAAATGTGCTTCCTTAGTCGCACCAATAAATACCAGCATTGTTTGAACATCTGTGGACTTGATAATAATGCGTTTGTGGTATCTGGTTCTTCCATACTTTTCCAATGATATGACATATTATATATATATATATATATATATATATATATATATACCATAGCCCTTCCAGATGTTTGGTTGTGTGCATGTGTGTGGGATAGAGTTTGTTCAGAGGGATCAAATGTAACATTTGTCTCTGGTCACCTAAGGTGCAATAGTACATCTGATATAAGAACATTCATATATCTCGGTGATGATGGACCCACTTTTAGAACATTGACCTACAATTGTTGATTTGAGAGACAAAACAACATGCCTGGCTGCAGGTGTTTGATGGCCAGTGTTTAGATAGTCTTATATAGTTTCTATATTTAGTTATAGTGTTTAGAAAATTCTTATGACAGATATAGTGTTTAGAAAATTCTTATTACAGAACTTAATAATTATATATCTCAGAAATATGTGTCTTTCCCCACAGTGGACGTTTTCCTGAGTATGTCTTGTTCCAGCGTGATGCCCGGAGGTGGAACAAATCTGGAATATGCCCTTCACACCCTCTTTCAAGCGAATGGTAACATCTTGGTAAGCATCTACTTAGGCTATTAATGGGTACAGATCAATGCGTCTATCTGAGTATTACCAGATTGACAGACATATCTCTCACATAGATTTTCTTGTGCTTAGCTTCCTTATTATAAGGCAGTTTCAGTAAAATAAACATTTTTGTCACTATAAGAATTTTACAGTATTTAATAGACAACTATTTCATTTCCTGGCTTTCGTTTGTGATGTGGCTTTTAAATTTCTAAAATATATTTTGTGTTTTACCAATGGGCAAGTGGGATAGTCAACATTACTACTACACATTGCAGTGGCTATGGTGTTTACGCTGACCCTCTTAAGGCCTCCTTTTAAAATATGAACTTTACCCACTAAACTGAGATTGGTGATTACAAAATTGTATAGGATGGGCATATAGATGAATTTAGAAGATGTGATAAAATGAAAACCAAATTTGCTAATTTTCCTTTAATAAAATACATGGCTTTTTTGGGGGGGTGTATTTTTGCTTATTTTTTTATATTTTCATTACCATGCTGTCAGTATGTTTATTAAAATTCAATGTGTATTGTTTGTTTGTATATTAGACTGCTTTGGAGATACTACTTCTGGAAAAATCTCCAGAACTGAAATACCGTTCAGTGACAAATTACCACTATGCAGGTATGATGCATTCAATAACTTAGAATACTTTTGAACTGTTTTATTATTTGCACAGGCTGTACATCACTGTTTCTTAATAGAGGCAGGCATATCCACATTTTAAAGAGACATGCCAGAGTTCTATTCTAAATGTAATATGAAGACAATGTATAATGCAATTTTATTTAAAAAAAAAAAAAAAAGCAATGAATTTAATACACCCCTCCCCATTTAGTGGCACTTGCACATGTGCTTAAAGGTTCTGGTGTATTTTTTCCCCTTAAAACCTCGTGGGAAAGAGAGAGCCCAAGTTTTCTGATACAAAGCCTTGGTATAATGGACTGTGGCCGGTAACTTTTTTATTATTTGCATTTGCCAGTAACGACCCAGCGTCTAAGTCAAATGGTCTAATACACGTTCTACATGAAAATATTTTTAGACCATTCCCTCTTAAATTTCTGGCAGGTGCAAAAACGTTATTATCGGCTCTAATACCTTATATTAAATATTCTCCCAGAGATCATTCTGTTTTATCAGAAATCAGAGACGGAGCGAACTCTAAGAGTTATTGGCTAAACTCCAAATTAAAATCTGAGTGTGAAATATGGGCTAAAATATCTGATTTGGACACATTTTCCTAATGTGGTGATAGGCATAGCTTGAGTATTATAGCGTACATATTGTCATTTGTATTTCAAGTCTCTACAGTTTGGAATTCAGTGAACATCCCATTGTCAGTCAATCCTATTTCTCCATGAAAGCTGTACATTGTGCAGGAGATGCTGAGGTGTGGGTCTCTTCTTTCTGGGTTGTGTTGTTTTTTGTAACCAAAAAAGAAATCAATGCAGCGCCTAATCATAATGATATAGATGTAAATATATATATTTTTTATTCTTTATTTTTCGTGCATATAGAAAACATAGTAGCAAGCAATGCCACGACAGCTCTTGCCCGCTTAAGCATCAACAATCAAAGCAATGATGGGCATCTGTGAACAATACACATTTTACTTTAAAATTTATGATATGAGAGACATATGTGGAGATCAGCCATTGTACCCTGTGTGAGTGTGTTGGCAGTGTTAAGTTCTGTGTAGGTGTTGACCACATCTGGGATCACCCATTGCCTAGCAGTTGTGTGAGTGTGCGTTGTAGTGGGTTTGTCCATGAACTGGCATGGGGAGGAGTTAGAGTTCTAGGAGGATACTCGAGTGTGGTTGGGCGATATAGGTGAGAGCCATCGCTTGGTCACGTAGTGTGGAAGCTTTTGTTTGTTTGTAAGTAACTCGTTATGCTTGCATAGGGGATTGTTAGGGTATGTGTGGCAGATCCTACTAGCAGTCAGATGGACCACGCTAGAGGATTAAAGGTACCAACAAGGAAATAAAATTAAAGGTACAACCAATATAAAACTGCTGCTAGAAACATAAGGAATATTAAAAATAAAATAGATTATAGCAGTCTCAAACTGTACTGGATATGTTCATTGTGGATGGTGGAATGCAATGTCCCCTTAATCTGCGTGACCTTTAGTGCTTCAGGTGGGGTGCCTGGCAGGCGATGCTCTCTCGGGGTGAACTCCCGTATGTTAGCGGGGTTTAGCCGGGACAGTCCTGTTCCTTTTGTTGGTGCCGCTTGCAGTATGCCCGCTGATGTAAGAAGTGACTCCAGTTCCTTATAGCTTTGGGCTGTGTGGGTAGTCCCGTCGTGGGTGAAAAATACAACTCGCGATGTTCCCCATCGGTAGGGAGTCTCCCTGGGACGCAGGTGGTGTAGGAGCAGTTGCAATGATTTCCGCCAGGTAAGGGTGCTCATGGTGAGGTCTGGAAAAATTTTCAGTTTTTGCGCCCTCGAACATCAAGGATGTTTTATCCTTTAATGCAGCCAGGAGTGAGACTTTATCCGATAGTGACTGGAACCGCAAAATGAGGTCCGCGGTTGCGGCTGCAGGAGCCCGGGCTGGCTTTGGCAACCCGTCCAACTTCAGGGATTTCACCTGTTTTGGTGGGAGCACGAAACCGAGGAAACGCCTGACATAGTTCAGTGGGGTCGACCGATTTTCACGTTGTATCGTCTTCTCTGGTCCTCTAGTGCGTCTAGCCGGTCTGTTGTAGCGTTTTGCCGTTCCTCCAGGTCTGCCATTCGTTGTTCGACCTTGGTTAGTGGAGTCATGGCTGCTCAAGCAGGCCTCCAGATGGATGATTTTGGACTCTGCTCCTTCCATGGCCTCTTTATAGTAGGCCATGTCTGCCGCCAGATCCTTGCGTAGCTTCGCCAACATTTTTTTAATTTGATCAGCAGTGACCGGGTCCCCTGTTGTCTTGGATTCAGTGCTGTGGTCCGGCGTGAGTCTGAATGACGCTTCTTCCATGAGGTCCATGGCAAACTCCTCCGAGGAGTACGAGGAGAAGTCGTCCGCCAGCGCCATTTTAGACCATGCAGGCTGTTGCGTGTTCCACAGCATGTCTCCAATGTCCCTGCTGTGGGTGCATTTTTCCGCTTTTGCCTTCTTTGTTTTTTGGCCCATGTTCTACCTGTCGTCGGTAGTGTGGTTTGTGGGGTCTTTTGGGCTCAGATTCCAACATACAGGGGTTCGTTAGAGTACATTTGAGTCGGGGCTCCTAGAGGTGCGACCGCTCCGTTGTGTTGCTAGCTCCGCCCCCGCAGATGTAAATATTTTTATACGGCATATTTACCTATATAAGGTTTTAAGGGTTAGAAACCTGTCTTTTTTTCTTTAGTTAACTCTTCAAGCTGTTAGACAAAATTTTTAATCCAAGATGCAAGTGTGTATCACAGTTCTATCATGCAGAATATTTGCTCTATGCATTCTCACCCTTTATACTCCTGAAATATCTATTAAACTCATTTCAGATAGATCTGCAGGCTTATATAGAGCAATAGCCAGTTATTGCCTCAAAGTGGACTTTAGTGCTCCCTTCATGAGCCTGACCCAGCCTTCCATTATTAGAACTCTCCCCCCTTCTCAGTGGTACCAAAACAGTAGAATCCCTTATTTTGCATTTAAAGGATGGAAATGATGGGTCTTTATTTCTATTCCAATGAAACCCTATAGCCTCCTGCTTTCTGGGGCCATTGATTTGATTCTGAAAGGCACGCTCTCCCAGTGAAGGTACATTGTGGTATTCTGTGAAAGTATGATTGTGGAAACATTGCATTTCTTAATTGCTTTGTGGTCAGTGACAATGACATGGTCTGGTTTAAAAACTTGATTTATAAGCCACAGCAAACACGTTATGAAACCGTTCAGCTTTAACGATCTGACAGATTTTTATATGAAATCACTGGATTTAGTAGATGAAATTTAAAAAAAAAAATAACCCTCTGAGTGACAGAATGGCAAGCAGCACATTGCTTAGTACTTATGATGATTAAATATGCTAGTGTCGAATTTGATCTGGCTGTCATTTTATGGTTAATAGGCAGTGTGCTTTAATCAGATTAATTTAACAAGATGCATGTAGCCACGTTTAGCTTCCTGACTTCCTGAATTTAGTCGCATATGTTGGATTTTTTTTTTATATTTCCCCTGATTTGTTAATATTGATTTTTTTAGTGTGTTGGTAATATCTAATGATATTACCAACACACTAATATCACTGTAAAAATGTATCTGAATGCATACATGAAAATCACTGTAAAAATGTATCTGAATGTAGGATATATAAAAAAAAATGTTAGGGGGCAATATGTATTTTTAAAAACTAAAAAGGAAATGTTTGGGCTTTATATGACATATTATATTTTTTCTAGTCTAGATTTTGGTTCAGAAATCTAATATAGCATTGATGCTATTTCATTTGTTAAGATAATTGGAAGTAAAGGAAATGAGTAAGGGGGGCTTAAGGGGTAGAAATGAGTAAGGCGGGTTAAGGTGTTAGGTGTTGAAATGAGTAAGGGAGGTTAAGGTGTTAAGATGAGTAAGGAAGGTTAAGGTGCTGAAATGAGTAAGAAAGGTTAAAGGGACGCTCCCAACCCCTAAAGTAGCTTGCGCAAATACTTTGTGTGAAAAGTGTGTCCACTTCTTTTCATTTTACAGAAAGTGCAGATTTCAATAGAAATCAACAATTTTATGAATTAACCTTGTTACACCCCTCAACCAGACAACCTGTTACTTCCGCAGATTAGCGGACCCGGAAAACAGATGTTATCAGTGGGGGATCAGTGCACCCCTTAATACCCATGGATCTGGTCAGTCCCCAGAAAAACGGCAGCAGCGCCTTTCCTCCCACGTTCTCTGGGATTCTAGTGAGGCTACTGCTTAACCTAAAGTGTTGGACCTGCTGGGTGAGCCCCTTAATCTGGCACTGTGCTTCCTGTAGTTGACTGTCTCCATCACTTCTACTGCTGTAATCTTTTGATGGATCACTCCAATTTCGGCTTGGGCCTCCCAAAGGTCGGCCTTTCAGAATTCTCTCAGATCGATTAGGAGCCTCTTGATGTCACCTTTGGTGGATGGAGTTGGGTCTTCATCCGACTCAGAGGACTGGTACCCTCCACGTGCTCGTAGAGAGGCAAGTAATTCTTCCTCCTTGTGAGAATTCTCAGAGGCTTCCAGGTTACTACGGGCGTCAGGTGCCATCTTAGGCAGTGCTGGTGGTGTAGGCCTCTCGAAAGAGAGTCTGATATCTGGTAGGCGAAGGTTTTCAGAGTGAGTTTACTTCTTCTTGTGCCCCATTGTGTCATTTGTAGTGGGTTGTGAGTATTTTAGTCTGAGACTGGATATTATTGAGGCCTGAGTTGTTTTATTGTGGGGTCACATCGGAGCCTCGTGGATAGACGTCTGGTTAGGTGCTCAGCTGGTCACGTCCCCAAGGTTTAATTTTTTATGCTTATAAAGTATAGTGTATAATTCCTGCTTTTACAGAGCATTGATTTCTCCAATCACAGGTACTGTGTTACATTTCTCTAAAATGTGTAATTTTACCCAAGAGCAAGGTGTTCTCAAAACAACATTCTTGTACAGTTTGCCTGTGATTTAAGCTGTGATATTACATAGATATTACATAGTTACATAGCTGAAAAGAGACTTGTGTCCATCAAGTTCCGCCTTCCTCACATATGTTGTTGCTGTTGATCCAAAAGAAGGCAAAAAACCTAGTCTGAAGCGCTTCCAATTTTGCCACAAACTAGGAAAAAATTCCTTCTTGACTCCAAAATAGCAGTCAGATGTCTCTTTGGATCAAGCAGCTATTACCCCACTAATTAGAAATTATATCCCCGTATGTTATGTTTTTGTAAGTATTTATCGAATTGCAGTTTAAACCTCTGTAGTGACTCTGACAAAACCACCTCTTCAGGCAGAGAATTCCATATCCTTATTGTTCTTACTGTAAAAAAACCTTTTCTTTTCCTTAGATTAAATCTCCTTTCTTCCAGCCCAAATGTGTGACCTCGTGTCCTATGTATAGCCCTGTTTATGAATAGATTTCCAGATAAAGGTTTGTACTGGCCCCGAATATATTTGTATAAAGTTATCATATCCCCTCTCAGGCGCCGTTTTTCCAAACTAAACAGATTTAATTTTTTTAACCTTTCATCATAACTAAAATGCTCCATTCCTTTTCTCAATTTTGTAGCTCGTCTCTGGACTTTTTCTAGTGCCATGATATCTTTCTTTAGAACAGGCGCCCAAAATTGCACAGCATATTCAAGGTGTGGTCTTTCCAGCGATTTATAAAGAGGCAAAATTATATTTTCATCCTGAGAATTTATGCCCCTATTTATACATGACAAAACCTTACTGGCCTTAGCAACTGCAGATTGACATTGCATATTGCTGCCTAATTTGTTATCTATAACAATTCCCAAATCCTTCTCGTGTGTGGTTATCCCTAATTCCCTACCATTTAGTGTGTAAGTTGCTTGTGCATTCTTTTTTTTAATTTTACAATTTTTATTGGTTTTGCTAGTGGTACAGAAGAGAAATTGGGTGGAGGGGGGTGCATGAGTTGCAGTCATCAAACATTTTAAGGACATCAATACAGCATCAAGTGCGGCATTCAATGTACAACATTGCCGTTTCATCTTCCTGGTGAGCAATTGTTCAGTAACAATAGGGAAAAAAGGAGGGGGGGGAGAGGATGAGGGAACATAAATTAATTGCGAAGGGAGGGGGGAGGGAAGAAGGGAGGAAGGTTCAAGGGGGAACATCCAGATATTATTTTATCTTGAGTCGCCTTTCGGTGATGCTTATTTGGCCCTTATGCATTCCCCTTATACAGGGAGTGCAGAATTATTAGGCAAATGAGTATTTTGACCACATCATCCTCTTTATGCATGTTGTCTTACTCCAAGCTGTATGGGCTCGAAAGCCTACTACCAATTAAGCATTTTAGGTGATGTGCATCTCTGTAATGAGAAGGGGTGTGGTTTAATGACATCAACACCCTATATCAGGTGTGCATAATTATTAGGCAACTTCCTTTCCTTTGGCAAAATGGGTCAAAAGAAGGACTTGACAGGCTCAGAAAAGTCAAAAATAGTGAGATATCTTGCAGAGGGATGCAGCACTCTTAAAATTGCAAAGCTTCTGAAGCGTGATCATCGAACAATCAAGCGTTTCATTCAAAATAGTCAACAGGGTCGCAAGAAGCGTGTGGAAAAACCAAGGCGCAAAATAACTGCCCATGAACTGAGAAAAGTCAAGCGTGCAGCTGCCACAATGCCACTTGCCACCAGTTTGGCCATATTTCAGAGCTGCAACATCACTGGAGTGCCCAAAAGCACAAGGTGTGCAATACTCAGAGACATGGCCAAGGTAAGAAAGGCTGAAAGACGACCACCACTGAACAAGACACACAAGCTGAAACGTCAAGACTGGGCCAAGAAATATCTCAAGACTGATTTTTCTAAGGTTTTATGGACTGATGAAATGAGAGTGAGTCTTGATGGGCCAGATGGATGGGCCCGTGGCTGGATTGGTAAAGGGCAGAGAGCTCCAGTCCGACTCAGACGCCAGCAAGGTGGAGGTGGAGTACTGGTTTGGGCTGGTATCATCAAAGATGAGCTTGTGGGGCCTTTTCGGGTTGAGGATGGAGTCAAGCTCAACTCCCAGTCCTACTGCCAGTTCCTGGAAGACACCTTCTTCAAGCAGTGGTACAGGAAGAAGTCTGCATCCTTCAAGAAAAACATGATTTTCATGCAGGACAATGCTCCATCACACGCGTCCAAGTACTCCACAGCGTGGCTGGCAAGAAAGGGTATAAAAGAAGAAAATCTAATGACATGGCCTCCTTGTTCACCTGATCTGAACCCCATTGAGAACCTGTGGTCCATCATCAAATGTGAGATTTACAAGGAGGGAAAACAGTACACCTCTCTGAACAGTGTCTGGGAGGCTGTGGTTGCTGCTGCACGCAATGTTGATGGTGAACAGATCAAAACACTGACAGAATCCATGGATGGCAGGCTTTTGAGTGTCCTTGCAAAGAAAGGTGGCTATATTGTTCACTGATTTGTTTTTGTTTTGTTTTTGAATGTCAGAAATGTATATTTGTGAATGTTGAGATGTTATCTTGGTTTCACTGGTAATAATAAATAATTGAAATGGGTATATATTTGTTTTTTGTTAAGTTGCCTAATAATTATGCACAGTAATAGTCACCTGCACACACAGATATCCCCCTAACATAGCTATAACTAAAAACAAACTAAAAACTACTTCCAAAATATTCAGCTTTGATATTAATGAGTTTTTTGGGTTCATTGAGAACATGGTTGTTGTTCAATAATAAAATTAATCCTCAAAAATACAACTTGCCTAATAATTCTGCACTCCCTGTAGTTTTAGAGCCATTGTTCTCAATGGCCGTATCTCGGCCTATCCTCCTTGGTATTTCCTGCCTGTACGCTCTTCTGGACTTTATCGGGAAGCGTGGTCCTGCACCCTGGCTCTTTTCTTTTTACAAGTTCAAAACTGGAAACTATACAACTACGGCAGTCACCTCTCCCTATGTGTTTCACTCCCCCTCCCTGCCCACTCTCAATACCCATTGCGCATGGGCCAAGTTGGCATATTTGTTTGAGGGACTTTGCCTGTTCAATCCCTTTTCGTATATCAGATTCGTAGTAATTTGTTGAATCAGGGCCTCTCTAGTGGGTGTGTGATCTTGCTTCCATGCCCTAGCTATTAGGGTATTTGCTGATATGAGGATATGAAATAGTAAACGTGAGTCTGTGATGTTAAGCTCTTCCAACCCCATAAACAGGAGTCCGCACTCCGGTGTAAGTGTGAGTTCTCTGACTAGGGCCAATCTCGCTACTTCCTCAACTTCCCTCCAGTATATTGCTACTTTCGGACACGTCCACCACATATGATACATTGTTCCCCTGTCTCCCGCATACACTAGAGGTATTTTGGTAAATCTTTGCCAATCGCTCCGGTACCATGTACCAACAGTATTGGATCTTGCGCATTTGTTCCAAGTGAGAGGCACAATTCGTCCTCTTCTTGTGCGCTAAGAATGCTTTTCCCCACTGTTGTTCAGTGAAGGTTTTTCCTATATCCACCTGCCCAGCTTCCTTAAATTTGTCTGGGGGGTCTGTGTGCGGTCTGTGTAGCTTCATGGGCTGTTTTGTAGCTGTACACATCTGTTCGATGTGTTTTGCGTTGGCCGTTGCAGTGGTAATGTTAGATCCCTGTAGCATGGATTTTAGCTGTAGGTATTGAAAAATGGTGTTGTGTGGTAGCGTGTATTTCCTTTGTATGTCTGGGAAGTCAAATAGTTTGTCTTTGTCATATAGGTGGCCTACCCTGTTGCACCTCCGGCTTATCCAGGGTCTATAGTCAAAGGCTGGGTTTGCCAGATGTAGGCTGTATAGGGGGGTCGCTTGCGCCCACCCCCGTCTTGTCCCGATTGTTTTGTGGCCGTGTCCCATACCTTCAATAAGAGTTGTGTCGTGGGTGGCACATCCTGGTGAATTTTCCTGTGTCTGTGAGGTATCCAAAACAGATATTTCAAGCCCTTGGGACATGCCCAAAGGCCTCCATGTCTACCGACTGCGGTACTTCCTCACTGGCATGTGTTTGTATAGCAGTGGCCAGGATAGCCGCCTTATAGTACTGCCGAATGTCCGGCATTCCCAGGCCTCCATTTGCCTGCTGCCTGCACAGCACTTTCGCTGCCAGTCTTACTTTTCGATGGGCCCATATGAAGCTCGTAAAGAGCTTGTGTAGGTTATCTAGGTAGCTTTTTGGTACGTGGATTTGTAGGGTTCTTATGAAATATTGGAATTTCGGCAGCACTATCATTTTTACTGTGGCCATCCTTCCAAGCCACGACAGGAACTTGCCTTCCCACCCCTTCAGTGTGTTTGCTATAGACTTCAGCAATGGGTCATAGTTCGCGGCTATGAGGTTTCTCTGATTTTTTGTAATATTGATTCCTAAGAAAGTTAAATGGTCTTGTCTCCAATCTAGTGTGAATGACCTCTGTAGAAGGTCTAGTGTGCCTGCCGTGATAGCCACCCCCATGGCCTGTGTCTTTGTAATGTTGAGTTTGTAATATGAGTGGGTTCCATATGTAGTTATCTCTTTCAATAGGTTGGGGAGGGAGATCTGGGGTTGGGTAAGTGTCAGCAGGACGTCATCTGCAAATAGGTTGGTAGTATATTCTCGTTCATTGATCCTGACGCCATGTATGTTTGGGTTATTTCTTATCTTCACTGCCAACAGTTCTAGGGCTAGAACATATAGCAGGCGCGACAAGGGGCACCCCTGTCTGGTGCCATTGGATAGTGTTATTGGCTCTGAGAGGAACACTGAGTTAAGCACCTGGGCCCTTGGCGAGCTATACAGGGCTTCCACTACTGAAACAAACCCTTCCGGGATGTCAAACTTGCTCAACACTGCACGCAGAAATTGCCAGTTTAGGCGATCAAAGGCCTTCTCTACGTCCAGGGAGACCATCAGCCCCCCTTGCTTCTGTTTCCTAGCATTGTCCGACCCCTGCCTCCCCTTGACGAAGCCTACTTGATCGCTGTGGATAATCGTTGGCAATATTGACCCCAACCGTAGTGCGTATGTTTTGGCCAAGATTTTAACGTCGGTGTTCAGTAGGGATATGGGCCTAAAGTTCTGTGGGGTTGTGGGTGGCTTCCCTGGTTTAGGTAGGGTAACTATGTGCGCAGTTAACATCTCAGGGGGTAAAGCTCTGTGTGCAGTGGCCTGTGTGTAAGCTTTGACTAAGTATGGTGGCGCTGAACTTCTTATAGTACATGTTGTCTACCGCGTCAGGTCCCGGGGCCTTGCCCGATGGTAGGGTCTTTATTACATTCCTTATTTCCTCTTCACATAGTGGTTTTGTGAGTTCCAACTGCTGTTGGGCAGTGAGTCGGGGCAGGTGTGTGTCTTTCAGATACATCTGTATATCCCTCTCTATTGGTTGCGGGGTTGTGGGGTCTAGTCGCAGATTGTACAATTTGGCATAATAATGCGCAAACTCATCACTAATGGCTTTTGGAGTGGTCAGTTTCAGGCCTGTGTGTGAGGTGAGGTAGGCTATCTTTTGTGAGACTTGTCGTGTCTTAAGTCTGTGCGCTAGTAGTTTGCTAGCTTTGCTGCCTTGGGCATATTGTTGTAGCTTCAGGCGTTTCAGGTTGTGTTCTGTGCGTTCTAGTGCTTGTGTGTGCAGACTCCTAGTGATTTGGATTATGCGTCGGCGTCTGTCATCCGTGGGGGAGAGTTGGTTCTCCAGATTTAAGTCATAGAGTTCTTTTTGTAGCTCAAGTGTTAGTTTTTGTGTCTGTTTTCGGAGGTATGAGGCCCGACATATCAGTAGTCCTCGTACCACAGGCTTATGGGCCATCCAGACCGTTGTAGCCGACACATCAGGCGTCTCATTTTCCGCAAAGTACTGTTTCATTTGTGTGGTCAGGTCGGCCACAAACTGCGGATTGAGAAGAAGAGAATCACTGATTCTCCATGGGCTGCGGTGTTTGAAGTCGTATAGGTCTTTCATTTCCAGAAGTACTGGCGCGTGATCTGACCATGTAATATGTGCTATGTTACAGTTTAGGATTTGATTGAGGTGGAGGAGAAATCCATCTATTCTAGAGTATGAGTTGTGGACGGGTGAAAAGTGCGTATATGCCTTCTCCGAGGGGTGTGTGATTCTCCATGTATCCTAGTAGTGGTATGTGTGTAATAGGGTCTAGAGGTCCTTGCCCTGGCGTCTGAGGGTTTTATATCGGCCACTAGATCGGCGTATGGTTGAGTCCATGGTCGGGTCAAAAATGTGGTTAAAGTCACCGCAAATGAGTGTTATACCTTGTTGTATAGGCGCCAGGGTTTGAAATATTTTGTGTAGGAAGTTTCTCTTGTTTTGATTGGGCGCGTATATACTCGCAATGGTGTACTCTATGTCATTGATCGTTCCCACTATCACCACGTATCTGCCCAATTGATCTATGTGTTGTGATTTTAGAGAGAAGGAGACATGTCTACTTATCAGGATAGAAGTACCTTTAGCTTTAGTCGAGGAAGTAGAGTGGAATTGGTGTGGATATTCCAGCTCCATAATCTTTGGGTGGTCCTTGGTACGGAAGTGGGTCTCCTGCAGGCACACCACTTCTGCGCATTGTTTTTTGAGCTCTCGGTTTATAAGTGTCTTTTAGTCGGGATATTCAATTCTCTCATGTTATGTGTGTATATTTTCATGTAGGGTCAGACATGTAGGGTTGTGCTGTGTATTGCGAGTGTTTGTTGGTTGCGGGATCGCACGCTCCTCCCAGTGCTATCAAGCGGAGCGAGTCCACCCCTAGGGTCTGTAGTGACCTCCCACAGGTGCCCTGGTAGTTAGAGGTTCGTAATTGCACTCCACTTTGGATGATAGTGTGCGCACTATTATGATTGTTAGAAGTGAGACCACCCACTTGGTCCCAATCCCAATCCCCAGCGGTGCGGGCAACAGGCCACCTCCCACTGAGTACCGTAACACGAAAATATAACCAAACAACAAAGAAAGTATTTACAAAGTTGAACCTATGTGCCCTGTTTGTGGCTTGGCACTTCATCCAAGTGCCTTGGGGGTAGAAGCTTAGTGCTCCTCTGCCTGGGGGGTACATGCGCTGCGCGCCGGGCCTTTTTGTCTGTGGCAGTATGTACCTTTAATTGCGTTTTAAATGTTTAGTTTAACTTTAGATTTATTTTTTTTAGATATTTGTAGTAACGTAGTTGACCCCTATTCTAGGTGTCGGGGTTCGATGTGGTTGCCTCTTTTGGATCCTAATCCCTTTAATGCTCAGAGTTATCTCTTATATCTGCACCCTGGTGCTTTACCCGCCCTGCTTATAGTTCAATCCATGAGGGAATTAGCTAGGTATGGACAAGCCCTTGGGTAAAGTCTGTGGCTTTAGGCCCTCTCAGGCACCACTGGTCTACAGTCTATGTGCGTTTCACTTGTTTCCAATCCGGTGTTAACCTTCTTGGCTCTTTAGACCGGTTGTTCTGGTGTTCTCTTTCTATACCCCATTCTCTCAGGGCGTCAGCCCCTTCCTCTGGAGTTGCTATTACCATGGTCTTCCCTGCTCTCTGCACCAGCAGCTTAACTGGATATCCCCAGCGGTATAGTATGCGTGTTCTCTAAGCGCTGCAGTGATGTCCTGGAATTCTCTCCTCTTTTGAAAAGTGTATGCGTAGACATCCGCGAATAGCATGATGCTGCGGTACTGCTCTGGTAAGTCCTTGCGTGTTCTACTGCTCTTCAGAATAGCCTCTTTGGTGTGATAGTAGTGCATGCGCACCAGTATGTCCCTGGGTGCATCTTGGGGCAGAAACTTAGGTCTCGCCGTCCTTTGGACGCGGTCAAAGAGGAGCATATATTGTGGGATGTCTGGCACTAATGCTTTGAGGAAGGCCGTGACATGTGCTGGCAGGTCAGTTATGCCCACAGATTCCGTCACCCCCCGCATCCGCAGGTTGTTACGGCGGCTTCTGTCTTCTATATCTGCCAATTTTACCTCCTGTGTTGTGAGACGTTCTGCCATTTGCTACAGTCGATCTGCCAGTTCATTATGCGCTTCCACAGCGTCGGCCATTTTCTCCTCAATTCTAGAGGTCCTGGAGCCGAGATCTATGAGTTCCTTGCACAGATCACCTATGGAGGTTTGTACACTTTTCATTATTTTGATCGACATCCCATCTAACATGCTTTGCATTATTGCCTGGGTTAGAGGCCCTTGATCATTGGGCGCACAGTGATCTGCCTCATTACTAACTTTGGCGCCACCCTGATTGCCCGCCGGCTGAGAGGATTCTTAACCCCGAAGTGCATAACTTTGCATTTCTCTACGTTAAATTTAATCTGCCATTTTAGTGCCCAGTCCCCCAATCTATCCAAATCCCTCTGCAGCAAAGCAATATCCTGCTCACATTTTATTACTTTACAAAGTTTTGTGTCATCTGCAAACACTGATACGTGGCTTTCAATGCCTATTTCAAGATCATTTATAAATATGTTAAATAGAAGTGGTCCCAAAACAGAACCCTGAGGGACACCACTTACCACTTTTGACCAGCCTGAAAATTTACCATTAATTACAACTCGTTGTACTCTATCCTTAAGCCAATGTTCTACCCAAGAACAAGAATATTCATCTAGACCAATTTCTTTTAGTTTGAAGACTAACCTATTGTGAGGAACCGTATCAAATGCCTTGGCAAAGTCCAAGTAGATCACATCCACTGTAACACCCTGATCTATACTTCTACTTACTTCTTCGTAGAATGCAATTAGGTTAGTTTGACATGACCTATGTTTCATAAAACCATGCTGATTATTGCTAATAACAAAGTTCTTCCCAATGAATTCCTGAATATTATCACTTAATAGGCGTTCAAATATTTTCCCAGTTACAGACGTTAAGCTCACAGGTCTATAATTTCCAGGCAAGGATTTTGAATCCTTTTTAAATATAGGCAGTAGCGGGTGTTGCACGATTTGGAATGTGAGTGGACAAGCTTGAGGTGGGCTTTCTTCCCCTTTGCCTTCTTACCATCAAGAGCTTTTCGCGGCTACCGTTTAGTGCCAACCATTGAGTGTTGTTGGGAGGCAAGCTCAGCCGCATGACATCACTCCGCTGCTTCTCCGTCACTTGGCAGGGTTTTTTTGCCCTCAGACCTTTGCCGGGGTGGTGGTCTTGCTCAGAAGCCCGGTCTTCCGGCGGAGCAGATGTTGCAGGGATACGGGTTCAGTTCTGAATGTGAACCCAAAACTCCTGGCATATCATTATTATTAAAACAAACATTGAAGCGTGCCTGCCAGCACTGGCTCTCCAAGCCTTCAGGAGACAGTGTAGCCCATGCACGGCGACCATCTTAGGCTTGCCACATGGTGCTGTTGTGTTCAGGTCGATGGGAGACTCTGCTGGTGCATGGAGGGTAGTTCCCTCAGCAGGGTCCAGAGGGGGGGTTGCAGGGCTTCATGTTTGATGCGGGTCCAGTGGTGGGAGATCGGCCGCACCCCCCACTCACCGGGCCGTCAGGCGTGGTAGGCTGCGCGGTCAGACATTGCGTGTACTCAGCTAAAGCCTTTATAATCAGGTGTGCTTGAAGTGTTCCCTCTCACAGTGCCCATTTGCTGCTCACTTAAGGCTGTGCTCTCTGTGGTATTGGGCATTAATAGCCTATATTTAGCTTGGTTGGGCAGGAGCTGAGATGAAACATGTCTGGCCATCTTGGCTGTCAGGCCCCGCCCACCTACTGGTAGCATTTTTAATGTAATTTTTGGTTGTTAACTTGCGATCTGTCTGTTTTGGTTTGTTTGCAACTTTATTAGTGTTTCTCTAAGGTAAAGGGTAATTCAACATGGAACCCTTTGTTTACTATAGACAGTGGGGTATCCGTAGCACCTCATTGATTACACCCACCACGGTCAAATCATCATCGGTTGTTGAATTTCTTGAGCAAAAGGATCTGGTCAGCAAATAAAGTTGGAACTACCTTTGTTGGAATTATTCTGATATGCAAATTGTTTAAGTTCTTTCTTTAATTGCACAAGTGAGCTAAAACTAGCTAGACAGGGCAAGCCATTTAAATGTTGTCTGTTTTGCTTTACTTTAATTTACTTTTACTAATACGTTTTTTTTTTTTTTGGTTGTTTTTTTTATTGAAACAGGTACTTGAAAAAAATATAAATAAAAAAATAGTTCCATGAAACACAACAATATGTTTCTTTAGAATCAGGAGTAATTATCTGTGTATAAAACAGTGATCCATCACAGCAGATATATATATATGGCTTATGCAATGTATGATCATATAATGTAAATGTAAAATCTGTCAGCATTGAAGTTGCTGTTTAGTGGATAAGTGAGTGCGCTGGATCTTGTGTATTGTATGAATTGTCAGCAGTACCCCATTTATGCATGCTCAGGGGGAGGGGCTTAATCTACCAGTTGATTGATAGTGGTACACCTGGACTCAAGCTTAAATGAACATTCTGTAAATGGATAGAATACTAGTTTTGTTGTCGACAATCTGACTCCAACTGTATCACAGTATATATAGCCTCATTTCTAAAACAAACATGGTGGTATCTATACATATAATTATTACATATACATGTATGTAAATGGCTTTGTCATAACACATAGCCTGAGCACCAGTAGGTATTAAAAGCTGTATATATCTTGTATTGATCATTTTAAAATATACTCGGGGTTTTTCTTTTTATTAAAAACAGGTTTCCATCTAACATGTTGGCATTTGAGGTATATAGCATCATTAGTGAGGTCAAAGAAACATTTCTAATTTCCTGTACAGAAGAATTCTTCTCTGCAAATCAAATACTCTGATATTCTCTGAAAGTAACTGTAACTGAATGTTTGAGAGTTGTGAATAAATTCAAAATGGCTACCTCCATGCTGAAAATCTAAATTTCAAGTGGTCAAGTAGTAATTCCACCCAAACTATGGTTTAGTTTGGATAGATAAAAAATATTATTAATTTGTTTGCACTAATGTTTTAAAATAATTTATGGGAAAACATTTTCATCTGACAGTGCTGGCTTAAGAGCACCGGTTATTGCAATATTGATGATAGAATACACAGGTTCTGATATATTTATAATAGGTTAGTGTAACAATTGAGTATACTGTTTGATAGAAACAAAGTGGTGGTTAACATACTTTTGAAGATGTCGGAGGCCTCTGGTAGAAACTGAAATGTATTTTTATATCTCAGGCTCAGATAAGTGGACCTCAGCTGAAAAGAAGAATTTTAATAAGGCTTTAAACACCTGCAGCAAAGATTTCTTCCATGTCCAAAAGATGGTAAAAATCTAATTTCATTTTTTTTTAAGTATGTACATGATGAGTAGAAAAGAATCCAAACAAGGGATGAACCTTTGTGAAAATATATTATTTTGTAGGTCATACTTAGAGGACATTCCAGACCTCAAAACACTTCAGCTTGCTTAAGTACTTTATGTATGAAGAGTGTGTCCTATTTTCTTCATTCTACAAAAAACCTGTAGATTTCAGTAGAAATTGACAATTTTTACACTCTTCTTCCAGCTGCCAGTCAGATGACATGTCCTGTCACTTCCCGGTTTGGTTAGCTCAGTGAAGCTAAGCTCAAGAGGCAGCAAATGCCCAGAGCACCTGCCTTGCAAAGACTTCTCATTGAGCTGTTTTGGGAAGTCTGTGATTGGACAGCCACAGAGAGTCTGGGCGGGTTTAGAAGGGGAGGGCTGGCAAAGGCAGCAGATAAGTAAATGCAGGTTTAGCAAGCTGTTTTACATATACCCCAATGGAAAAATGCATAATAAAATGTATGCATGATTTAATTGAGAACATATCTACTAAATAGTGTTGTTGTTTTTTTATTTTGCAGTGGAGTGTCCCTTTTAACCCCTTAAGGACACATGACAGAAATATTCCCTCATGATTCCCTTTTATTCCAGAAGCTATGTCCTTAAGGGGTTAATAGCTGATAATGTGTATTAAGTTTTTGTATACATATAATGTGTAGGTAAGACTAATGTTGGTTCAAAATACTTCTCTGCATTTTGCTTCTGTTTAATAAATGGATTTGAGGAACAAAAGTTTTCATAAGAGTGGCCAACTAAACCCAACTCATTTTATCACCGTGATATAGGATATGGGTGGCCAACGAAAATAAATAATATGGCAACAATGTCTGTGGGAGGAAGGAGATATTATTTTTATACCAAGTATTATACAATAAGAATATAACTACTTATTTCCTATGGGAAATTCAAGCCATTGCAGGGTTTAATGCTATCCAGCAAATGATCAAATTAATATTGCATTTATTGGCTTTCTGATTTAATTGCAGATTAAGTCAAAGACTGTGTCACAATGTGTTGAGTATTACTACACATGGAAAAAGATCATACGCATGGGACGAAGGCAAAGAACCAGACTTCCTGAAGTTAATGAAGAAGACACGGTAAATTAACTTGAAGACAGTTACATTAACATGACATATCTGACATAGAAATAGCCCAACCTCAGTACACAGCAACATCTGCTTCTCCAACTATAGTCTCTTAGAACATTGCTCGATAACTGGCAGACTGACATCCCATGTTTCATGGCAGCTGGTTACCCACAGGATTCACAAGTGTGAATTTAATTCACTAGATTTTGAGTTGCATTTCACATGATGCTTAGCCAGTATACAATTACAAAATGTAACACTCCCTGTTCATATATGGAAGAGTTAGTGAGGATGTGTTGTCAGTTAAAAAAACTTAATTGTTTGATGATATATATCTTTTCGTATGCCAATGTGGCAAAAACAACATAGTGTGCTCGATATAGAGAGAAATGTATTTCTTAGTTATAAGACTTTAGTAGCAATATAGGTCAGAGTGATCCAGTAGATGTGATCTGCTTGGATTTCGCTGAGGCTTTTGATATAGGTCCACAGAAAAGGTTACTAGTATAATTAAAATCAGTTAGTTTCTAGGAAAACATGTGTTCTTGGATAGAACATTGGCTTAAAGATAGAGTATATAGAGTAGTTGTAAATGGAACATTTTCAAATTGGACAAAATTGGTTAGTGTTTTTTCCTGGAACAACTTCTCTTTAATCTGTTTATAAATCATCTTGAAGGGGCATTGGAAGTCATTTGTTGGTGTTTACAGAGGACACAAAAGTATAAAATACAGTCTGAACATGACACAACTTCTCTATGGAAGGATTTGGATACACTGGGGGACTGGGCAGACAAGTGGCAGATGAGATTCAGAGAAATGTAAAGTCATGCATTTTGGAATAAGGAACCCACAAGCCACTTATACATTAGGTGGGTTTGTGTTAGGGATAACATTACATGAAAAGAACTTGGAACAATTATAGATCACAAACTAGGAAACAGTATGCGATGTCTGTCTGCTGTTGCAGAAGCTAGTAAGGTGCTTTTGTGTATTAAAAGGAGTTTTGATTCACCTGTTCCAAATATAATTGAGAATTCAAGGATATAATTGTATGTATACAGGTTGATGATCCACGGAAAAATCTGATTGCCATTGTGTAATCAGGAAGGATTTTCCCTCTTTTTGTTTCATTATTGGAAATGGCTACTATTGGTGGGGGTGGTATACCTTCCTTTGGATCAACAGCATAAAACAATGGGCTTGAGGGATGAACTTGATGGACTTTAGTCTCTTTTTTTCAAACTAAACAACTACGTAATAATAATAGTAATAATAATCTGGGCTGCCATCAGACATTTTGGGGGCCCTGACGCAGCCCACCTCCATGCCTGCCCACATGGCCTGCCCCTGAGCCTAAGTCCACCCATAAGGAAGAAGTGTGTGTGCACTGAATTTGGTGTGTGTATATTGGATGTAGAAGGTGTGTAGTGGATGCAAAGTACTTGAGTAAAGTGGACGTGGTGTGTGTTGTGGATGCCATGTTTATAGTGGATGCAGATTTTATGTTTTTGTGTATTAGAAGCAGAGTGTGTTTCTGTAGTGGATAGAGTGTATGGTAGTATAGTGGATGTAGTGTGTATAGTGAATGCAGAGTGCGTGTTTGTGTAGTGGTTGTAGTGTGTGTATAGTGAATGCAAAATGTGTGTTTGTGTAGTGGATGTAGTGTATGTGTGTATAGTGAATACAGTGTGTTTGTGTAGCAAATGTAGTTTTTGTGTGTATAGTGAATGCAGAGTGTGTATAATGAATGCAGACTGTGTGTTTGTGTTGTGGATGTAGTGTTTGTTTGTATTAGATGCAGTGTGTATAGTGACTGCGGAGTGTGTATAGTGACTGCAGAGTGTGTGTTTGTGTAGTGGGTGCTGTGTGTATGTTGAATGCAGACTGTGTGTTTTTGTAGTGGATGCAGTGTGTGTGGTGAATGCAGTTTGCATGTTTGTGAAGTTGAGATGTGTGTATTTGTATAGTGAATCCTTTGTGTATAGTGAATGTGATGTGTGTGTTTGTGTAGTGAATACTGTGTGTGTTTGTGTAGTAGATGTTGTGTGCGTTTGTGGAGTGAATGCAGTTTGTGTGTGTGTGTGTGTGTGTGTGTAGTGGATGTCTTTATGTTTGACAAATGCAGTGGGGGTATTTTTTTTCCTTCTAATTTTGATTAATTTAAAAAAAATGTATTCCCCCCCCTTCCCTGCCTCTTACATATAGACATTGGATTCCCTGGTGGTCCAGTCGGTGGCCCAGCTGGTTGGGCCAGCAAAGAGGGGCCCTGCAGTCTTCATCTTTCCCCTCCGGGCAAAACTTCTTCGCGAGCCTGGCATGCATTCTGTGTAGCGGAGTGTTGTCGTGGCAACCCGCGGCAACGCTTTACAGCCGCGGCTCGCAATAGTGCCGGAGGTCAATGTGAAGCCAGCAAGGCCCAAAGAGCTATATATATATATATATATATATATATATATATATATAGCGGTACCCACTATATATATATGCTCATTGAAGGGCCGGGGGTACGGACAGACAGAGCATTACCAGTACAGTCCGGGGCACCCAGGACCGCCGGGCCCGTGACAACCATTAAGGTTGTCACCCCCTGATGGCGGCCCTGCTAATAATATCAAAGTATATAATGACGAATGGTCCATTTAGCTTGTCTCCAGTTTTGGAAAATGTCCTGGGGTCCAGTTGTTATAAAAAGAAGCCCACATGAAATCTTTGAGAATGTATGCTTCTTAACCTATGTTTACATTGGTAAAGGGAGAAATGGGTCTGGTACCTCACTTCTCCTAAACAAGGCAAAAAGATAGAACAGCTATAATAGAGTAAGATTGATCAAAGAGGAGAAAAGCTGAAGTTTGAGATGGTCAGTAGGTGATGAAAGATTTCTAGTGTAACCAAAACACAATCAGGAAGCAGTCAGTGTTCACAAACCCTACAGTATTTTCCTCTATGTAGAGTTAAATGAACACGACAGTGACCAATCCTGATAGCTAAACATCATATAGCGATGGTTAGTGTGGGCATCGTAGATGTTTGGGAAAAATATTTTACATCATATTCATCATGGTGCCACGTTAAAAATCACTGAATAGGCATTGTTCATTACCTGTGTCTTGTGAAATGAATCTGTTGTCTACCAATTTTAGTTTAAAGAGGTGGGACTCGAAAAAGCCACAAGTCTACCTGTGAAGAAAGTATTTTTCAGAACGTAACTGAATACCTTTGTCTGCGGTCAATGACAGAAGGAAGTGAAATTGTGGGGAAATACTGTTTTATGAAAAAAAGAACTTTAATTGCCGTCAGATTTCAGAGCTTAAAACATCTGATCAAAGGGAATGGAAATAAGGCAGGAAGTAACCATTTCATTTCCTGCACAGAATTCAGCAATCCTGTACATGTTATCATGATATTACAAAGTAGCAGAAACTAGAATAACTCAAATTGCCCCAATATTGGGAAGAGTGGCTTTTGGAAAATTCCCACCGTACGACTGGATATTTGTACATAGACATCAAATCAGGGAGAGTACATAGAGATGGATAAGCAATTCACTGACACTCCTTTTTGTTTTGCAAATGTATAATTAAAATCAAGTTTTATTCTTAACCGTTCCTAATCAGTGGAACTGATATATGCTGTTTACACTGCTAGGTTTGATTTTGTAGCTGTCCGTTACAAAATAGCATAACATGTTGCCTCAAACCTTTGCAACGAGTATTTCACTGTACCTTGATCTTTAAATATAAATGCACTGTCAGGGTTGCTCACTAAAGAGAGAATTTTAAGTGAATTTAAAATTTAAGGTCAGAGTAACAAAACTTAAAGCATAGTTAACTTAGATATTGTTTTCCATTTCAGCTATTTTGATCTTAAATCTGAAATTCACTTCTAATTCTCTTTTTTAGTAAATAGTAAATCTGTTTAGACATTCAAGTATGTACAAAGTAATAATACATGGCCCTACCTATGTTCGCTATTTTTTTGTTCTAGACGAGCGTTGATGACATAGAGGAGGATGAAGATCTGGAAGAAAGAAAATGTGAAGAAGACGTTGAACAAGTGCTAAAATCTCCAGAACCGCTGCAGACAGCAGATCTGAATCAACCAGTGGTTCAGAATCTCGGCCCACCTATTGGATCGTTCATCTGTGAAATGGGCAACTGTGGAGCAGTAAGTTTCAATGCAACTTTTCCTAGTATGGTCCATCTGTCCGCACACCCTGCATGTTGACACATCACGGAATAATGTGAACGACTTCATCGTGTCGATTAAGAACAGTAGCACCCCAACCTGCAGTTACTGAGAGTATCTGAATAGCATTTCAGTCTGGACTAAAATTATTAAAGTAGAGCGGACTTTTACAAAATTTACTTGCATTCTAGAGATTCTTTTTTTTACAGACAATTAAAACATGATGTGGTTTTACCCAGACGGCAATAAAACAAGACGTTTTTCCTACCACAATAAAATGTGCTTGCTATGAAATATAAAGTTAGAAGCTGTTTGTAAATTAGGTTAATAATGCGTCTGAATGACAGAGGATTAGCCAGGAGTACAGTAGAGCACTGGTTGCTGACAAAATAAATATTGATTTAAACATCTATTGTACGTTTTTTAAAGTTCCTTATTTTCCCTAAGGTCAGGGTTTGCAACCTATAGTGCTGGGAGGCTGTCGGTGAGTCGTGGGTAATGTAGTACTTTCAATGGACTTGTGATTTCACAACTGTTAAAGGGACACTCCAGTGCCAGGAAGCCAATCAGTTTTCCTGGCACTGCAGTTCCCCTCTCTCTCCCACCCCCCATCCCCGGTTGCTGAAGGGGTGAAAACCACTTCAGTCACTTACCTGAGACCCCCGCGGTGGTTTCTGCTCGCTGCCGCTCCTCCTCTTCCTTGCGTCAGCCGGTGGGCGAGACTGATCCTGCCTGCCGGATGAGGAGACCTAATGCGCATGCGCAGTAATGCTGCGCACGCGCATTAGAGCTCTCCATAGGAAAGCATTGAAAATGCTTTCCTATGGGGAATTGAGCGACGCTGGAGGTCCTCACACAGCGTGAGGACGTCCAGCGACGCTCTAGCACAGTGTGCTATGGAGCAGGAAGTGGAGCAGGAAGTGCCCTCTAGTGGCTGTCTAGTAGACAGCCACTAGGGGAGGACTTAACCCTGCAAAGTAATTATTGCAGTTTATAAAAAAACTGCAATAATTACACTTGCAGGCTTAAGGGTAGTGGGAGTTGGCACCCAGACCACTCCAATGGGCAGAAGTGGTCTGGGTGCCTACAGTGTCCCTTTAACCATACACCTATGAATTGTTGAACTACAATTCCCGTGATTCTCTGCTAACCGCACAACCACATGTTATTGTTGTGACTTATGTGTTTACTGGTGTTGTAGTTGCTATATGATTACTTTCATTTTTAAAAATTTTTAAGGGACACTATAGTCACCAAAACAACTTAATGAAACAGTTTTGGTGTATAGATCATGCCCCTGCAATCCCACTGCTCAATTCTCTGTTTATGAACCCTAGTTACACCTCCCTGCATGTGATTTGCACAGCCTTCAACACTTCTTGTAAAGAGTCATCTAAAGTTTATCCTTCCTTTATTGCAAGTTCTGTTTAATTTAGATTTTCTTATCCCCTGCTATGTTAATAGCTTGCTAGACCCTGCAAGAGCCTCTTGTATGTGATTAAAGTTCAACTTACAGAGCAAGAGACAAAATTATTTAAGGTAAATTACATCTGTTTGAAAGTGAAACCAGTTTATTTTTTCATGCAGGCTCTGTCAATCATAGCCAGGGGAGGTGTGGCTAGGGCTGCATAAACAGAAACAAAGTGATTTAACTCCTAAATGGCAGTGAATTGAGCATTAAAACCTGAGAAGCATGATCTATACCAGGGTTCCTCAAACTCCAGCCCCCCAAATGTTGCTGAACTACAACACCCATGATTCTTTGAATTACATATATAGCCAGAGAATCATGGGAGTTGTAGTTCAGCAACATCTGGGAGGCCGGAGTTTGAAGACCCCTGATCTATACACTAAAACTATGTCATTAAGCTAAAGATGTTTAGGTGACTATAGTGTCCCTTTAACTTTTCTAACCTAATAATATTAATAGAGAGAAATGAAATAGATTAAAGGTGCAAACAAAATGCCACATGTATATGATTTTATTACAAGTATGATCTTGTTGATTTGATCATTGTCGTGACAGCCTCTGAAACTGAAACTTGATGTCACCACTGTCTGTAATTACAGGTATTTTGCTCCAGACAAGCTTTGAATGGCCATGCGCGTGTTCATGGAGGAACAAATGTACCAGCCAGAATATTAACAGTCACACCTACATCCAAGCAGAAATCAAGCACTCCAAGTGGGCACTGTTCCATGAAAAGCTCTCCGGCACATAGCACCACCAGTGGCGAAACAGATGCAGCTACAATTTTCCCTTGCAAAGTGTGTGGCAAGTAAGGGAATCCTTTTTTTATAAAACCTCTAACATTTGAAAATTAAGATTACATTGAGATAGATGACAAGTATTGCCAGCTGTATATTAATTATGAGCTAATTAGCATGGCTGCTGCAGGCATAATAACTTTCATGGGATAATATTATATGGGGATATATGGAACACTCCAAACACCATAACCCCTACAGCTCGATCAGCTTACACTCTCAGCCAACCAGCTAGGCCCTACATGGGTGTATAGTATCCTTTACATTTAAAGTTTCTGATGAGATGCAACTAACTCAGAATTGAAAGATGGATAAGAAATATTCAACAGTAAGGTCTTATTTACTCAGGGGTAATGACTGGCCTTTATCTGACTGCCAGTCACTGGGAAAGCAGATTTTAAAAACCACCTAAACTATCCCGTTGGTTTTCAGATTCATTTCTCAGGCAGTGTGTGTCACACATTCATTTTCAATGGACACTTTAGGACACTCATTGCATTGTACAGATAATCAGTTCAATACAATCTGTTAGAAATTATTAAAAGAAAAAAAAAACACTAAAACTTAACTGGGGCAGAAACAGTAGACAGATCTCTCCTAGAACAGGAAGATGCTTCACCAATCAGCCATTATGTTTATAGCCATTAAATGTCTGTCCAGGAGGATCCATGGGATAAGCTGTTTACCCACCTAGTGAAATTCCACTCATTCCATAAGTTAAGTGGAGCTGATGAATAAACTGCTAAGTAGGTGATATCCTGACCACACACGCACATGTGCAAAATGTACCTCAACAGCCGTGCATGCAGCTTGCGTACATGCTGGGAGACAGGGACCAGGGTACTCTCTGCATCATAACCTATGCTTTAAGTACAGGCTGCTAATGTGCTTAAAGTGACCCTTATGTGGGAAATTAAGGGTGTAAAGGAGGAAGCAGAAACAGGAACCTTATTACATTAAAAGGACACTGTAGGTTTTAATGCCTGGAGTCCTCCTGGCATTGTCCCTCCATTCAGTTTAATTTATGTTTGAGCAGTTTAACTCTATCTAAGGGACCCTGGTCACCCACAGCCCAGCATCTACTGGAGGTATGGGTAAGGAAAAGTTTAAACATTTCCTTCAAGACTTGCCATTTTGAATTGGCACATTTTCATGTGTACTATAAACACAAAATTAAATATTTGGAATTTAATAGACTCGTGTTTGTGATCCTTAATTTAGGGTGTTTTTGAAGATCAAAAGTCGGAACGCTCACATGAAAACGCACAGGCAGCAGGAGGAACAGCAGAGGCAGAAAGCACAGAAAGCTGCCGTGGCAGCGGAGATGGCCGATGCCATCGCTAGGACCATAGATAGGAACATGCCTGCCGAACACAGCTTGCTTCCATTTGACCACCTCAGCTTGATTAAAACCATAGAGCAAGACTTTGATGATGATGATGTTGCCCAAGATCTAGAAGATGTCCTGGAGGAGACAGAAGTCATGCACTCGGATCTCCTTTTGGATGACGAGGATGTAGATTTACTCCAGGATGGTGCAGATCTGTAGGGAAAATGTTTAAAGACTTTTGCATACCCATTGGCAGATGAAGGGAGAAATTGCATGAAGTCTAAAGAATGCTGTACAAGTTGCTATCGGTTGCATGACTGTGACACTACTGACAGGCACAACCTTCGTAGGATCAAAACAGACCAATACAAATAGTATCTTTAAGGGATTATGGCCATACTTGATGTGATAGAAATGGTACTGGTGTCCAAAGTTGCCTTACTGCCAACCACTTGCTTCGACGGGGTACTGTGACATGATGTGTTTCATAAAGTAGCACTGGTTAGTTAATTTGGCCTTACATAAAGGTCATTTCACTTTTTTTTTTTTTTTTTTTATGGATCCTTAACAGAATTATAAGTTCACCTTGATTGGATCAACACATTAAATGCCAATTTCTACCTCTCTATCATTTATAAGGGCAAGTCTATGTGCTCTAAAGTTTAGTGTTTACATAGCTGGATGTGAAAAACAAACACACACAAAAAAAATCAGATATCTCACTTTAGTATCATCATTTTATCAGTGACTGTTATTTTCCAGTTTGCATTTCCTAACTTTATTTCTTGCTGCCCTGAAGGTAACATCTCTTTGGGTTAGCAACAGGGTATCTTAGGTTCCTCTGAGATTTAGAAAAAAGTCTTCCCTGGATTCATAGGACCGAGGTAACTGATAATTGAGAGGTTAGGTTAGCATGAATTTTTCAAGAGAAGACTTGAAAACAAAAATATAAGAATAGATTTGGAAAATGTCCTTACTATATCTCCAAAAACAAATATCCCACCTAGGCTAGTAATATCTAACTTGTTTGTATTAAGGTAGTCATTTTATGACCAGAAGTCCTTCATTTGTAACAAACTATAGAAATCACTTGAGTTGTGTAAGGCACACTGAAAAAAATAAATGGCAACAAACATGCTAAGTGTAGAACGCAGACATCTGAAATTCTGAATGTACCTTAGTCCTTGGAGAGGTTCTTATACTGATTGAAACTTGAAATTAAACTGAACTGACAGATTCCCCATGAAGAGAGGAAAAAGCTTTAATCCCCAGAAAACAAAATTGTTATTCAGGTAAAGTAAAATACAGCCGGTGCATAAAGAGAGAAGTGCTGAATGAATTCTGACACATTTCGTGTCTGCTTGGGCACTTCTTCAGAGACACATGGCACACAACTAGCGACAATTCTTCAAAAACGGGTGATAATAAATACAGTGTGAACTGCTTAACCTAGGGAAATAAACCGCTTGGTTTAGACAAGATATTGGTCCGGGAATACTTAATTAGCTGAACTCTCAATATACTGTGGGTTTTGGTAGATATAATATTCAGCGCTGCCTCAACCAATCCCTAATTATGACAAGTCATTTCAAGGATAGAGAGGTTAAATGCCTAAACATTGTATGCATGTAGTGTAGTAGTATGTGTTCTTCTATATAATTTTTATTGCATTTACCATGCAACATACACTGTTCAATGTTAAAACTACTGGTGTGTTGGGGAGCTATTAACCACCAGCTTGATAGGCTTTCCATCCCAAGGCAGTTTAATGTGAATGGTTGTCTAAAGGGTGTCCTGCATTATTTTATGCGCATACGTCCTTTTGGATATGGCCAATTATGAGAGCCCTACAAGTATTTCCTTTGGAATTTTTTCTTACTGTACGGTATATGACTGTGGCACAACGGAACAATACAAGGCGAATAGCCGAGTTTCCCTCGGGCCTGCTTCACGCCTACCTTGTATGATGTAATCCTGGAGACATGCCTATCTGCTATCCAGAGCGTTTGGTGGTGTGGATTGACACTGCACTTCCAAGACTCCTAACCACTAAAATATAGTGATTTTTGGCCACTAAGAAGGGGTGAACTACTGTATGCACTGTAACAACTTCAATTAGATGAAATAGTTATAGTGAGTACAGTATTGCTTTAAGGATAAAATAGCTAAATTAAAAGCACAGCAGACTTGGAGAATTCACCTTAAAATCCAATCAAGTCTTACTTTATTGAATAACCCTGTAAGAGTTGACTAAGAAGCAGTGAAATGGTTCGTTTTCTGGAAATATAACTGGCTTTATGGAGAAAAATCATTTAGGTATTTTATGTTATTCTTTGGTAAACTTTTCTCCATAACACGCAGTTTAGAATAAAACGTATAGTGCAGGACGAAGAACCTTTACTCTGTGTAGTGATCCTATGGATACGATATTTTTTACAAATCTTGACTCGTTTTCAATTTCAGACTGCCGTGGTTTTCCGAAATGTTTTTTCCTTAAACGTCTGTTAAACAAAAGATTTTCAAATGCATTTCCCCCATGTACCTTAAGAGAATATGCCTTCTATTTCAGTGAATAGGGAAAAGGGTATTTTAAAATTTTATTTTTTTCTTGGTTCTAGGGTTCATTTTCCTGTTAATTGTTTGATTGCCAGAGAGGAGTGAATGCACTGGGGGATGGGGGGCAATTACCTTGGTGCCTTCGGATCTCCTTGAGCACACTTTGGGCTAAGCTGTATCGTGTGTCATAGCATGTAAATAACAAGTTCTGAGAATGTATTTTAGGAGAAAATGAAACTATTTTGAAAAAGTATTTAACTGCTCTTCTATTTTTTCAGTGATAAGGTGTAAATATTTTTTTAAGAATTACAATGATTAAATATATATATATAAAAAAATAAGTGTTCGGTTTCTATACACTTATTTAACCCTTTTGCAATGCATTTTAGTTTCAATGAAGAGGGCAAAGACACCACATTTCATCATCATTAATGTCCATTCTTGTCCTCTGAACTCTTGACAAGCCAGATTGTGAAAGATTTGTAAGGGAATATTAACTAAAGCAAGGATTACGTGGCATTCTAAAGGGAATTGCAAATTTAGAACAAAATAGCCATTTTATAATTAGCAGTTGGCTTATCAGTTCTCAGTGAATAAACCTTGTATTATTTAAAATATAACACTATAGCCTAAAGTGACATTGAATTAATTCTTCAGCCAAAAAAAAGCCTTCCTTTTTAGAAACTATCAGCATCAGGTTCAACTGCAGAATGCTTTTAACCCAGACAGAGATATTCTCTCCAAAAATGAAAACACTCAGAATAAGTATTTTTGTTTTAAAATGGGCTAATTTAGGCTACAAATCACATAAGTAGAAATATTAGCTATTTTGTTTTGGAATTTGGAATTCCCTTATCAGTTCGGCATTGAATATTCCCTGTTTAGTGATTGACACTAGTATAGTGCTTTGTGCTTGAAATTAATTACTTGGTTTCATAGCTGGACTTGAGGACAAACCTTAGGAACTGTCACAAGGCTGTTGTGAGCCTAACTCCCTGACATTATACTGCCCTTTTATTGCGGTTTTATATCTAGTTTCATGTTATGAGTTATAGACTTTTCGATCTGAGGTTATTTTATTTTTTTACTATGCATTGCAGCAATTTGTTTTTGCATCCAAGTTATATCTGGCAAAAGAAACATTACAAGATGCAACATGATGATTGTGTTCCCCACCCCGAAGAAGGCAGCATTATATTGTTAAAGCTGTACTTGTTATATATATGTATGTAAAGAAAAAATAAAAATAATTTCATGTTCAGCATATTTCTCATTCATTGCAAAAAAAGTGTGGATGTTTTTTCAGCCACCAAATGTTTTTGGACCGGTCTTGGCGACTATTTATTTTGCCTTTTTCTTCCTGTTTATGAAAAAAAGAAAGATTCAGATTTATCAATGATACTGTATATGGACAATAGTCTTAAAGGGTTATTCTGAGCACCATAGCCACTTGAGGTTGCTGATGTGGTTATGGTTTAATGACCCTAATCAGTGATTTTTTACATTTTGTAAAGACATAGCTTCAGTCAATCAGACAGGCAGAAACTTCACACCTTGGGTTGAGCTATCTCCTCCCAAGAAAGAGAACCAGGTCATGGACTACACAGGTGAGGGGGGACCATAGCTGAGCTAAAATCTGTATATATCTTAATTCACTGAACAGTAAACATGGCTAGCCAATGTATGGTTGCTATTTATTTTCAGGGAAATGTAAACTAAACAATAGTAGATTTTTTTTCCATAGGATTAGTGGCAGCACTATAGTAGGGATTTTCATTCTTTGTCCCTTAAATTGTAATTATTTAGTAACACCCTAAGTCCTCCCCTATAGGGTATAAGCCAAGGACACTGTAAAGGTTCCCCAGTAAAAATAAATATACCCTAATACTGCAAAAATATTTTTTACAAAACAATGGAAACTTTTCACTGGCAGTAATCATATGGAAACATAAATTTACAGTGAATAAATATTTTGGTTTTCCACGTGAATACCAGCAGTACTACATCAGGACCTTAGCAATCTGCACTGAAGGATGGGTCTTAATTTATGATGGTTTGAAGCACCTTTAACTTGAAATAAGCATCTTCTAATTAGAATAGTGTCAACTCTGTCAATGCTTAGTAATTAAATGCACAAAAGGCAATGTAGCTGCAGGTTGTAATGCCGATGCTAAAGCCAAGGATAGAGACAAAATTAAGAATAAGCCTTAATAGGCACAGGAGACATTTTCCAGAGGGAATTATAAAATATGGCAGATTTAATCCCTCTTGCAGTAGTAGATTGTAGATTTGAAGAACCCTTTTTCACTCCTTATTTCTTTCTTGATAGCGCACAAACCATTGATTGGCTTGTCGAAACTGAGAAATTTGGTCCAGATAAATCTGTAAGGCACATTTTATACCCAGTGTGTGCAGTTTTTGTTCTGGAAGGTTAGAGAGATTCTTTTTTTTTTTTTTGACAATCTTTATTTTTGTTTTTTGATGCCGAACGGTGATACGGCAACATATAATGTATAACAATTATAACATGCCTGTGAAACATTAGGTATGCATAACGTCTCATGGAAAACAACTTCAGCAAAAAAGTGGTTGTATTTAGTGCTGCGATGTTGTGTTATGTAAGTGGCTAAGTTAGGAGCACTGTCCTTGGCATTAATGTGGCCTCATGTAGCGTACCCTTTCTAAATGTCCCCTACACTCGGAGTTAGTGTCATCTGCTATGTTGCCGTCTCGAAAGGCTAGTGCTAGTGTTAGCTGAGTGTGCCCCTGCTCTACTACTTGTTGTAGTCTACAAACTAGCCTGCGGTTAGCTGAGTCTATGCCCGCCTGTCCGTGCTCCTAAAAAATCTTTGGCTTGACTTGGGGCAGTGTGTGAGGAAAGGTAGGACCGGCCCGTCTTGTCCCGTCAGGCATCTCGGGCTATACCGGCCTGCTCGAGGCAGCTGCGCCCATTAGATGGGTATCTGGCCGACCGGGCGTGTCTCCGCCCTCATCGCTTCGGTGAGGCATATACGATCCCATGGGGGCCGACCCACGCAGTCACTCAGAACCTGTGAGACGTAGGGCCTGGTTTGCTCAGGTACTCTACGGGTACTTGTCTCCGCTAGTGTTGCTTGTCCTGCATGCTCCTCATCTTTGGTGCGTTACAATGGGGCATTCCCTTTGAGTTTGTTCCTGTTAATTATCTTGGGGGCTAGCCTATCTGGTCTCTCAGTCCTCCCTCTTGTTCCTTCGACATGTTGGGGCACCAGCTCCCCCCCACCCTCCCGCCCCCCAGTGTGGGTCTTCATGGTTATGCATCTCCCCCACCCCACCCCTGTGACGCCAACTGAGTGCTTAGGGTGAGGCAAGGTAGACAGGGGGGAGGAGCAACGCTCCCCCCGCCCCCCCCAGGCCCAGACGATCCCCACCCACCCCCGACCCATCCGGACGCCCGACTCCTCTCCCCGATGTCCCTCCTATTGTCTGGACAGATAGAGTATCCATGAGGTCCAGCATTGCTGGTATTTGTCCAATTTGTCCCTGAGTGTCGCCGTGAGCCTCTCCATCTCGTGTATCTCTTCCACTTTGTCCATCCACTGCTGAATGGTAGGCACCTGGGGAGATCGCCATCGAACCGGGATCATGAGTTTGGCGGCGTTGAGGGGGTGCTTGGTTAAGGAGGATTTATCTCGTGAGATGGGCATCGGGGTATGGTGAAGCAGCATCCGGAGAGGCTGAAAAACAAGGTCGCTGTTCGTTACCTCTTGTATCGTCTTGTGAACTTCATGCCAGAATGGGGAGATCTTATCACAGGACCACCAGATGTGTAGAGCTGTACCCGGCCGTCCCCCGCATCTCCAGCACGTATCCAGGATGTCAGGTAGCATGCGGTGTAGCCTGTCTGGGGTCCGGTACCATCCGGTGAGCAGTTTGTAATTCAACTCCTGCATTTTAGAGCACATGGAACTTTGATGCGTCAGTATGTATATTTTCGCCCATTCAGGATCAGTGAGTGTGATTCCCGTGGCTTTCTCCCATTGTGCAGCGTGTTTTGCCGTTTCCAGTGGGGTTGTCGCTATTAGCAGGGCATATAAGAGTGAGATCCTCCTAGGGGGACGTGTCCTATTTGTGCACAGCCCCTCAAACTCTGTCAGAGATCTGTGGAAGAGGTGTTTCCCGTTTTGTGCTTTATAGTATGACTTGACTTGGAAATAGCGTAACCTATCTAAGGGAGTCGGGATCCTGTCCCCCATTAGGTCTTGTAGTTGTTTGAGATCGTCCCTTGAGCACCACTGCTGCATATAGGACCAGTCAGTGCCTCCGAACGCGAGAAGGTCCGCGTGTGCTAGGCCTTACGCCAACGCCGGGATGTGCGACCCTGGTACAGTGGTGAGCATAAGTTTCGTCCTTATCGCGCACCAGATATTCAGGGTCGCACCTACGAATGGATGGTGCTGTGCTAATGTGTCTCTGATAGGTTCGTATCTCCAAATTAAAGCCGGGAGCGCCCCTTCCATCTGGGCTCTTTCCATGTGTATCCAGGTCTTGGTTGTCCTGGACACATGTCATTCCATAGTTACATAGTTACATAGTTACATAGCTGAAAAGAGACTTGCGTCCATCAAGTTCAGCCTACCTCACATTTGTTTTTTTCTGTTGATCCAAAAGAAGGCAAAAAAAAACAGTTTGAAGCACAATTTTGCAACAAGCTAGGAAAAAAATTCCTTCTTGACCCCAGAATGGCAGTCAGATTTATCCTTGGATCAAGCAGTTATTACCCTACATTGAAAGATTATATCCTTGAATATTCTGTTCTTGCAAGTATGCATCTAGTAGCTGTTTGAACATCTGTATGGACTCTGATAAAACCACTTCTTCAGGCAGAGAATTCCACATCCTGATTGTTCTTACAGTAAAAAAACCTTTCCTTTGCCTTAGACGAAATCTTCTTTCTTCCAGTCTAAACGCATGGCCTCGTGTCCTATGTAAAGTCCGGTTTGTGAATAGATTTCCACACAATGGTTTGTATTGGCCCCGAATATATTTGTATAATGTTATCATATCCCCTCTCAGGCGACGTTTTTCTAAGCTAAATAGGTTTACATTTTTTAACCTTTCTTCATAGCCGATATGTGTCAGGATTACTGTTTGATCCAGCACGTAGAACTGTACAGCACGGATGACAAATAAGTAACGTATTACCGGTCCTTAGAATGGCCGGATTTAACGTACAAAGAATAGTCAAAAATACTAGCCGAGGTCAGGGAACACAGAAAGGGACACAACGATGAGGAAAGCCAGGAGTCAGGATACCAGAATATAGAGAAGTCAATAAACAAAGCCAAAATCAAAAACCAGGTAGAAAACTATAAACAGGAACGCGCTCTCGGACAACCACAAGGGAAACCACGACAGGGCACTGAGCAGGCTGAGAACTGGGCCTAAATCTTTCTGATAGGCTGTAACCGGCCTTTGACCCCAAAGTCAGTTACCAGGTTTCATTTGCATAATTGCTGCTCAGCATTAACCCTTCTGTTGATTAGGTTGCTGCTCGGCACAACTTTTCCTGTGTGGACAGTAAATGTCATTAACCACTTTTCTATAAGCGGATGAATACATGAGACCAGGTTTCATTTGCACAATTACTGCTCAGCATTAAACCTTCTGTGGATTAGGTTGCTGCTCGGCACAACTTTTCCTGTGTGGACAGTAAATGTCATTAACCACATTTCTATAAGCGGATGAATACGTGACAATATGTTCCATTCCTTTTATTAATTTTGTAGCCCGCCTCTGCACTTTTTCTAGTGCCATAATATCCTCTTGTCCCGAGAATGAATGCCCTTTTTCATGCATGACAATACCTTACTGGCCTTGGCCACTGCTGATTGACATTGCACATTGTTGCATAGTTTGTTGTCTATAACAATTCCCAAGTCCTTTTCATGTGTTGTTATCCCTAATTCGCTTCCATTAAGGGTATACGTTGCTTGTGTATTCTTTACGCCGAAGTGCATAACTTTGCATTTTTCAACATTAAATTTCATCTGCCATTTGAGTGCCCAGTCCCCCAGTCTATCTAAATCCCTCTGCAGCAAAGTAATATCTTGCTCACATTGTATTGTTTTACAAAGTTTGGTGTCATCTGCAAACACTGAAACATGACTTTCAATGCGGTCTTCAAGATCATTTATAAACATGTTAAATAGAAGGGGTCCCAGAACAGACCCCTGAAGGACACCACTTGCCACCTCTGTCCAGCTTGAAAATTTACCATTAATGACAACTCTTTGTACTCTGTTTTTAAGCCAATGTTCTACCCAAGAACAAGCATTTTCATCTAGACGATTTCCTTGAGTTTGAACACTAATCTATTGTGTGGAACTGTATCAAATGCCTTGGCAAAATCCAAATAGATCACATCCACTGCAACACCCTGATCTATACTTCTACTTACTTCTTCGTAGAACGCAATCAAGTTAGTTTGACATGACCTGTGCTTCATAAAACCGTGCTGATTTTTGCTGATAACCATGTTCTTCTCAAGGAATTCTTGAATATTATCCCTTAATAACCTTTCAAATATTTTACCAGCCACAGAAGTTAAGCTCACAGGTCTATAATTTCCAGGCAAGGATTTTGAACCCTTTTTGAATATAGGAACCACATCTGCCTTCCTCCAATCCTCCGGAACACTTCCTGAAAGAAAAGAATCTTGAAAGATTAAAAACAGTGGTTCACTTATTTCTGCACTTAGTTCCTTAAGTACACGTGGATGGATACCATCAGGCCCTGGAGCTTTGTTTATATTAACTTTCTTTAGTTGCTGCAGCACCTTGTCTTGAGTTAACAAATTACAATTATTCTGCAAGTTTTTAGTAGCAATCATTTGCACATCTACTGCCATGGGTTCTTCCTTAATATATACAGAGGAGAAATAGTTATTTAAAATTCCTGCATTTTCCTGGTCTTCATTAACTAACACCCCCATTTCAGTTTTTAGTGTACCTACACTTTCATTTTGTTTTGTTTTTAGAATTTATGTACTTGAAAAATGTTTTGGGGTTGGTTGTGCTCTCTTCAGCTATCATTATTTCATTTTGAAGTTTAGCAAGTCTAATTGCCTTTTTGCACGCATTATTTGCATCCTTATATCTTTTATAAGATGCATCTGATTTGTCCGATTTAAATGCTTTAAATGCCCTTTTCTTAGTTGTAATCTCTTGTTTTATTTCTCTACTAAGCCACATTGGTTTTAATTTGTTTCTTTTATATTTATTTCCCAACGGTACATACTGAGAAATGTACCTTTGTAATATTTGTTGGAAGATGATCCATTTATCCTCAGTGTTCTTTTCACTAAAGAGTTTATGCCAGTCAATATATTGTAAAGCTTCCCTTAACTTATTGAAGTTGGCCTTTTTAAAATTATATATTTTAGTATTCCCCATGTGCTTTTGTTTTTTTTCGAGTTTATTTCAAGGGACACTATATTGTGATCACTATTTCCCAAGTGCTCACCTACTTGAATGTTGGTCAAAAGATCAACGTTGTTTGTTAAAACCAGGTCCAGACAAGCATCCATTCTAGTTGGTGCTTGTACAAGTTGTGACATGAAGGTGTCATTTAACAAGTTTAAACACCTAATTCCCTTTGCTGAGGCACTAGTCCCTCTGTCCCAATTTATATCCGGGTAATTAAAATCTCCAATAATTAAAGTGTTACCCAGATTTGCAGCTTTATCAATTTGCTCAAACAGCTGTTGTTCCTCGTCAATATTAACATTAGGTGGTTTATAACATATCCCAACCAATAGTTGGTTTCCCTTCTTTTCCCCCAAGCAGATATTTACCCATAAAGCTTCCACATTATCCTCCTCGCATTCCATTTGCTTAACATTTGGCTTTAAATCATGTTTGACATACAAACATACCCCACCACCCTTCTTGTTTTTCCTATCCACTATGCGCTGTAGATGTGTGGCCCTGTGGTAATTCCGGACCGAGGGTAGTCCCACCCCTCCCTGTGCCTTCGGCCTATGGAGCAGTGTTTTCCTGATTCGAGATGATTGGTTTCGCCAGATAAACCGTGAAATGTCGGCATCCAGTTGTTGGAAGAAGGACGTGGGCAGGCAAATTGGTATTGTTTGGAAGAGGTAAAGTAGTCGAGGGAGGAGATTTATCTTAATGGCGTTCATTCTGCCAAACCATGAGACACATAGGCCAGACCACTGTAGCATATCCCTTTTTAGCGTCCGTAGGAGCGGAGCGAAATTGTGGGTATATAGCTGGGTGAGGTCCGCAGTTAACCAGATACCTAAGTATTTCAGTTTGGTCTCACACCACATGAATGGGAACTGTGTTCGTAGGTGAGTGGTCTCCCCCTCCCTCGCGAAGATGAGCAGAGCCTCCGACTTTTCTGTATTTAATTTCAGGTTCGAGATATGGCCGTAGTCCTTGAAAGCCTTTAATAGGTTTGACAAGGATACCAGGGGATTGCTGATGAAGAATAGCATGTCATCGGCGTAAGCAGCAATCTTATGGGTGGTTCCTTTCGGGGTAAACCCATATATTCCCCCGTCCCGTCTGACCGCCCCCAGGAATGGTTCCAGGGAGAGGGCAAACAGAAGGGGGGAGAGCGGGCACCCCTGCCTCGTTCCGGATCTGGAACGCCGGTGAGAGGGCTCCATTTATCCGAATCCTGGCGTTCGGGATCGTATATAGCGACGACACCCATGCCATTAGGCACGGCCCGAAAACCCATCGCTATTAGAGTAGCCTTCATATACTGCCAATCCATGCGGTCGAAGGCCTTCTCCGCATCCGTAGAGAGGAGAAGAATTTGTTGTTTGAGCCGTCCGGCCGCGTGGATGATGTTCAGGGACCTGGGGGTGTTATCTCTCGCCTCTCTTTCGGGATGAAACCCACCTGATCCGGCGCCACCAGATCCGGGAGGACTCCGCTGAGCCGAGTGGCCAGGATTTTTGTAAAGAGCTTCAGGTCGGCATTCAGGAGGGAAATAGGTCTGTAGCTCGCACAGCTTGTGGGGTCCCTCCCCTCTTTCGGGATGACCGTTATTGTTGCAGTCAGGGTGTCCCTCGGGAAGGCACCCCCGTCCCGGATGGAGTTGATACCTCTAAGGAGTCTTGGCAAAAGCACGTCCCCGAATTCCTTAATGTAGCGGACCGGTAGGCCGTCTGGCCCCGGAGCCTTGTTCAGTTTAGCTAACTTCAGGGCTGCCTGTAATTCCTCTGGTGCCTCCAGGGTTTCCATGTCCTCCTGACTCAGGGTCTTAGTGACATGTTGCTGTTGGTACGCTGTTATTTGAGCTGTCCTCTCCTGCTCCCCGGCAGCTCGGTCTCCCTGTGGCAGATTATAGAGGGCAGAGTAGTATTTATGAAATTCCTCCGCGATTTTGTCTGGTAGTTGGGTCGCCGGTCCCTCTCGGGGCTTGATTTTGGTGATATGGCACATATCTCTGTTTTGCCTCTGTTTTTGCAGCATCCTGGCCAGCAGTCTGCCACATTTGTTTGAGTATTCATAGAAAAAAACGCGTAGATTTGCGTATGGTGTGTTGTAATTTTTGGGAGAATAGGTTCCTGAGTGCCCCCCTAGCGTCCAGCAGGGCTTTGTGGATGTCATCTTCCTGCGTGGCTGTGCTTTCCCTCTAGTTCTTTGATTTTCTGGATCAAGCCAGACATCTGTTCCTGCCGGTCTCGTTTTCTCTGCGTACATTCCCTGATGAGATGCCCTCGTATGATGCATTTATGCGCCTCCCAGGTGGTTAGCGGTGGGGTTTCAGGTGTATAATTTTCTTCGAAAAAGGTGGTAATTGTGGCGCGCAGGTCTGTTACTATGGACAACTCCGTCAGGATGGATTCATTCATCCTCCAGTGGCGCTCTAGGGGTCTGAATAGGGGGGATTTGATATGAGTTGAGACGGGTGCATGATCTGACCAGCCCATCGTTCATATATCCGCCGATATGAGCAGGGGCAGGAATTCTTGGGCGAGGAGAATATAGTCCAGCCTACTGTATCTCGAATGGACTCGAGGAGAAATGAGTAATCTCTATCGGCAGGGTGTAGCACCCTCCATCAGTCCACGAGGCCTGATCCCCTCAGTGCCTCCTTGATGTCTCGTAAACAATGGGTCGGTAGTGAGCTGGCACCGGTGGATGTGTCCAATTGAGGATCCAGGGCCACGTTGAGGTCGCCAGCCACCACGAGCAGTCCTTCCCGGAACTGCTCGAGTTTATGCAGCGTGCTTCTCAGAAAGCGGTGTTGCCGTGTGTTGGGAGCGTAGATACATCCGAAAGTATACTTGGTGTCCGCTATCGAGCCTCGTAGAAACAGATAACGTCCCATGGGATCCCCACAGACCTCCTCGCAGATAAACGGAACCGTGCTCGCAAACAGAACTGCGACTCCAGCTTTTTTAGCTGAGGGATGGTTGGCGAAGTACCCCACCGGGTATCTGGAGTCACGGAGCGCCGGGCCAACCGTTCCCCTAAAGTGCGTCTCCTGTAAGAATGCGATGGAGACCCGGGATGCCCATAGGGAGCGCAGGAGATGAGATCTACGTTCGGGGGCGTTCAAGCCCCTCACATTGTGCGACCATAGGTGGAGCGGAGCAGGCAAGAACCCCAGGCCCCCCGAGTGGCGGCGAGGCCAGGGCCCCACTGGGGCAAAAGGGGGAGGGGGGAGCCCCCCAGAGGGAGCACGGGCAGGGACATGGAGGGCCAGGGAGGGATCCCCAGTGGGGCAGGGGCGGCAGGGACGCGGAGGCAACGGGGAGAGCCGTGCACCTAGATCAAGCTCTGCATTCCCCCTGTGGAGGGGCCCCACCGGACCCAGGGCGAGGCAGGCGGGAGCTGGACCCCATAGCAGGCGTATATGGTAACTTGGTACCTGTGGTCTGGTGTCGAGTGGTGCACCCCTTATCGGCGCTAACCCCACCACCCAAACCAGGGCAATAAAGGTACCTGTCACTCGGGGTGCGCACTGGCATGCCCAGCACAGCGCGCATGCCTAGTGCACTTGTTTCTAATAACTCTACCAGAGTATGACTGGTAAGATAGAGTGGATAACTAAAGGTTTTGAGTGTGCGCCTCCCTGGCTGGGTTACCTTGTGCTGCATTATAATGCCATGGTCATATACTCGCTAGTAGGGACATTACGTGTCGTGGTGTATCAGTATAGGTGTGAGCGGTAAGCCCAAACGGCGGGCGATCCGTCATCTGTGCTCGCATTGGGGTCTCTTCCATGGGTCCAAGCATGCCAACAGCGGCGGTGGGTTTGTGCTTAATCTCTAAGTCCCTCGTTTGAGGTCCCTCCTGGGTGTCAATGTAGTCAGGGGCCCTCCCTTCGGTCGGCAGTCAGGGTCCGGTCTTGTGAGTCCCATCAAGCTGTGGTGTGGGTCATCCAGTCTCCCCCCCCCACCCCGTCGTGTGTGGTCCCCCTTCTGTGATGCCTGGCGAATCCAGCTTGGGCTCCCCCAAGCTTGTCTGCTCCCCCCTCCAGCTTGTCTGCTCCCCCTTCCCTCCCCAGCAGTTGTATCCGTCCTCCGTGAGGGCCCCCCACAGTGGTGGCAGCTACCACCCGGGTCCGGTGCTCTCGTCCTCACCCCTCCTTCCCCCAACCAGGTAGAAACGCTTGTGTATGGAGCCGTAAGCCCCCCTCCCCCGCCTCGCTATTTCCCTACCAGCTAGGGTGTGATCAATGCCCACCCCGTGTCAGTGTACTGCCTGTCAGCCGCTTGTAGTGGGGTGTTGGGTGTATAGGAGTGAGTCTGGTGTTGTTTCGCGTATTGGCAGCAGGTCCCGGGCTGAAGCTTGATGCCCCCTCCACCGCGCCGGGAACCCGGCTGGCCGCAGTCTGGTATGCGGTGGTGCTCCTTCATTCCATGCCAGGGGCCCTCCAGTCTCTAGACCCTCAGAGTTCCGCTGCCCCCCGTGCACCCTCCCAAAAGTAGGGAAACTTAAAGCCCGCACTGCATCCCCCTGGCCCTGACTGTATCCGTGGCTAGGCGTAGTGCCTGGTATCCCCTGATGCCCCCCACCCCAAAAACGTCCTCCGACCACCCACGTGTCCTCCCGTTCACCCCAGGAGTTCACCCCCCTTACAAGTCAACTCACCGTCCACCCGCTACTCAGTCAGCCGGCCCGACCTCCTATTCTTCCGGACCGGAGAGACCTCCCCACCTGCGTTGTGGGGCATTCCTCTCCCGCTGCGCCCCCTCATGGAACACCGGGGTCAGGGAGTCTCTCCTCGCGGCAACTGCTTCTTCTATAATCCAATTTTGGACTCTGATTGCCGGCTCTCAGGAAACCCGGTATGTCCTCTGGCCAGCGTGCGGTCACCCATGAGTTTCCTTGCTTTGCGTGGAGGCTAACAGGGAATCCCCAACGATATGGGATCCTCTTGTCACGGAGTGTGCTTTTAACTGGGCGCAGGGCTCTTCTTGCATCTAGCGTTAGTGCAGACAAGTCCTGGTACAGGGATATGTCGGCGTTGCGAAACCTGATGGTGGGCTCCCCTCTCGTGGCTGCCATGATCTTCTCTTTCAGGCCTCCGTCGTGCAAGCAGCATATGACATCTCTTGGGCTGCCATCCTGCCGCGTGGGGCCCAGTGCTCTGTGCGCCCTCTCAAAGCGAATGGCATCTGGTGCTTCGGCTCCTAGGATGTGCTGAAATAGCGCTTCCAGCGTGCTGGTTAGCGGGGCAGCGTCACTTTCAGGCAGAGCGCGCACCCGTATGTTGCTGCGTCTGCTTCTATTCTCTAGGTCTTCTACTTGCCTTCTTATGGTGAGCAATAGGTTGCCCTGCCTGGTGACCGCCATTTCTGTAGCCTGGCATTACTGGGCTCAATCTTGGGCCGCGGCCTCCACTTCCTCCACCCTGCCCTCCAGCGCAGTCAGGTCAGTGCGCAGGCCTGCCAGTTCTTCCCTCAGTGCCCCCCTGAGTTCCTGCACCATTTGGTTAGTGTCCGCTTTGGTGAGCATCTTGGACGAGATTTAAGTGAGCTCAGCACGTATCAGCGCCAGTTCCCCTGCCGGGTCTCCCTCCACCTGGGAGCCAGCCGCGCTTTCCTCCTCCTGCGCCATCTTGTCTGCGGGCCGCATGTCACGTCCTTCAGGTTGCGAGGGAAAGTACCCGTCCATTGGGCCCATGTGGCGACGGGGGGAACCCGTCGCTGCAGTCCCTGGGATTGACTGCTTCTTATTGCGGACCATTTGCACTGGTAGGTGAGCGGTATTGCTATATTATTGCTTATAGACGTCGGCCGGGGACGCGGAGCTCAGTGTCTAAGCGTCCTGCTCCATGTTCGTCCAGGCCACGCCCCGGTTAGAGAGATTCTGACAACATATTGTTAAAGGCAATCTCCTGATATAAATGAGTAAGAAGCCTTAGGTCTAAATGTAGGGAAGAGACTCAAAACCACTTTTTTTTTTTTATTCTTTATTTTATTTGTGCATGTGATTAACAAGCATGTTTGCTAAGCCACAACAGCTGGAGCAAACTGAACGGTATACATAGAAAGACATAATTATGGCATTGGTAGCGTTTTAAATTAAGTAATCAGGAGGAACAAATATGGCATGACACTTAGTAAGAGAGTTAAGCAGTAAACAATTAAACTAGGCAAGTTGCTTATGACAGTTCATACTGGCTATTTGCTATGCTATCTGCATTTTACAAGGGTTAAGTAGACGTATAGCACTGTGCATACAATCAAGACAAAGAGTTACTATCTGAGCATACTGGGATCAACAGTATCAGAGGTGTGTTTTGAAAGGCAGAGAGGAGCTTAGACAGGATAGCAAGAAAACATGAGATTGATTATTGCAAGATGGAATATAATTGCGTTATATAGCTACTTGGTTATTCCTCTGAATTAGATCTTATAAAGTCCTTAATGTTCAAGATTATGGCAGAGTTCTTAGAGTCATTCCATATAGTAAGCAGCTTCACAATCATGTAACATATTTAAACTAGACTGTGCATTAGAGGATCTACATGGGTTTGTTTAGCCTATACCCAGTGCTGGCAGGCTGCTTGCTCTGGAGCATACGTGTCCACCTTCCTGCATGTGAGGGGGCCTCGCGGTACAGGGGTATGTTTCATGTGTTGGGTCAGGGCTTCTCAGAGCACAGGTGCTTGTTCGTCGACCCGATGGTCTGTGGGCTTGGGTTCGGCTCTCCTCATATCGCCACCAGTGATTGCCACGAGAAGGTAAGGTGGGTGATTGTGATCCTCTTGCAGGTTTCTCTCGTGCCGGTAAATTTTCAGTGCGCTGAGAGGGAGCCTTGTGGAGTCTTGGACGGTGTGTTCAGGGGCCTCTCAAGCCGTTCCAAACCTTACTGGGTTGTCGGTGATTTGGCCGGGCCGGGGTGCCTGCCTCCGCTTTCCCTCCTTTGCCTCTGTGTCAGGGTTCCCAGCGGGTCTCATTGTGGCTTTGCCTCTCGATGCGAAGGGCTGGGGCAGTGTTGCCGTGACCAGCCTCCGCTGTCTGCAATGGCCTTGGGTAGGTGAGACACTGATCCTGGGCCCGCTGGTTATGCGTGCCCGGAAATCACGGCAGATCCTGTCGAATCTGGCCACAAAGCCCCACATCCAATCCCGAGTCTCTTTGTCTGCTGCAGTGAGGACTTCTGTATGGCGGCCGTCTTGGGACCGCCACGCGGTTTAAGGCTCAAGTGGCTGCAGGCTATACAGGTTGGTGCCGTGCCCAGTAGGGACCGGGATAACCCCCACCGGTCCAAAAGGGGGGGTAGCAGGGTAATTGCGGCTGACCTTGGACAGTGTGTTCTCTCGCGGGGGATCGGCCACCTCCTCCGTTGTCAAGCCCGCTGTCCTGCTAGGCCTCAAGGCAAAAAGGCAGATCAAGCCTCTTGGATCGGAAAATGGGGAGTCCCTGTCGTAGGAGATGCCTGCTGTGCTGTTTCTGAGCTTTTTGTGCTTGTTAAATGCAAGTTTGTAGTCGATTTTAGAGCTGGTTTTTCTAGAATTTGCAGGAGCTCTCTAAAAGCACGTCTGGCCAGCTTGCCAGTCAGGCCCCGCCCCGACTCAAAACCACTTTATCCGCATGGAGAGATTGCACCCATCAAATGAAATTTACCAAGATCGTTGGCAGATGTTATGGCTAATAAGAAGATTATTTTAAAGGACACAACCGGAATCAGAAGGGAACCCTGACTGCAGTGGCGTACATACCAGGGTCGCAGGGGTCGCGGCTGCGACCGGGCCCGGCCGCCCCTGCGACCCGGTATGTACGCCCAGGGCCAGCCTCTTCCCCTGGGGGGCCCAGGAGCCGGCCACCCCAGGGCCCCCCGAGGCTGGCCCTGCTGTCACCCTGCAGGCGGGTGGCCGGTCGGGCAGGCGGGCGCGCGAGGGAGCACTCACTGCTTCCTCTTCAGCTCCCTCGCGCACCGCACTGATATCGGAGCCGGAAGATGACGTCATCTTCCGGCGCCAGCATCCCCACGCGGCGCGCGAGGGAGCTGAAGAGGAAGCACTGAGTGCTCCCTCGCGCGCCCGCCTGCCCGACCGGCCACCCGCCTGCCCAGGAGCCCAGCAGCACCACTGGACCCCAGGGAATCCCCCCAGCACTCCAAAAGGTAAGGAGGCTGGGGGGATTAAATTTTTAAAAAAATGTGTGTGTGTGTGTTAGTATATGTTAGTGTGTGTTTGTGTTAGTGTGTGTGTGTGTGTTTGTGTTCGTATGTGTGTCAGTGAGTGTGTCTGTTATTGGGTGTGTGTCTGCTAGTAGGGTGTGTTACTGTGTGTGTGTGTTACTAGGTGTGTTTGATGTCTGTTAGTGAGTGTGTGTTTGTCAGTGAAAGTGTATGTTTTGTAGGTGAGTGTGTGTATGTCTAGCTGGGTGTGTCTCTGTTAGTAAATGTGTGTGTCTGTTAGCTAGTGTGTATCGTCTGTTAGGTGAGGTGTGTGTGTCTTCAGCATTTTTCCTTTCTCAGTGTCCGGACTCCCTTGGCTGGGGATCCCTCCGCCTCTCAGCTCGAATGCACCTAGCGGCAAGAAGCGTGCATTAAACCGCCATAGGAAAGCATTACTCAGTACTTTCCTATGGACGTTCATCTTCTCACTGTGATTTTCACAGTGAGAATCGCGGAAGCTCCTCTAGCAGCTGTCAATGAGACAGCCACCAGAGGCTGGATTAACCCTCAGTGAAACATAGCCGTTTCTATGAAACGGCTATGTTTTCAGCTGCAGGGTTAAAACTAGAGGGACCTGGCACCCAGATCAGTTCATTGAGCTGATGTGATCTGGGTGTCTGTAGTGGTCCTTTAAGTGTGTGTGCATACCGCGGTCGCGGGGTCGCAGCCCTGCAACCCCTGCGACCAGGTGCCCACCGCCATGTGTTGCGGTAAGTAAGCGCAGGGGTGGGGGGGGGCCCACGGATCAATTTTCGCACCGGGGCCCCATGGGTCATGTGTACGCCAATACTAAATATTGTGCAGGTTCAGAATCAGAAGGGATATCTTGCAGCGTAGCTGATTTCATATCCTGAAATATCAGACCAGAGGACTCTATAGTGTTAGGAATATAGATTTGCCTTCCTAACAGTATAGAATCCCTTTAAAAAGATTTAATACTTCCTTAGAAAGGCGAAATGGTAGAGTCTCCACAAGGGAATAAATTAGACACTAAGTCTGTGATTACCCCATGTGCCTACTAGCATTATTCATTTGGTTTACCCCCCCCCCAAAAAAAAAAAATGTTCAAAAGGTGTTTTATAATAAAGATATAGTAGCATGATTGTAGAGCATGTAGTATTTTACAGAACCTCCACTAGATGGCAGTGTTCCCACTGCTGCGTTACCTCCTAGTGGGGGGCAAGGCATATGTGATCCGCAGGGTTACCCCCTGTTCGATCCAGATGACCTTCGCCATCCTCGCTATCTAGCTTTGCGTATGTGCACTCCTCTGTCCAAAGAGTGGCGCAGCAAATTGCGGGCTGAATGCCCAAGGCCCTGAAAACCCAGAAAGGGACTGGAGTTCTCACTCCACAATTGCCAGGACAAAATTTTGGACACCCTAGGACCCACTGCCAAGCTTTATGAGCTCTTGGAGGCGGCTAAGGTAAGGGATACCCCCCTTAATTTTGATGAGGCGATCGGATGGGTCCAAAGACTGATTTGCCTTCTCGGCAACGCCAATACAGCCATGTCGGCTAAACGCCGCAAGGCGATCTTGCTCATGATTGAGCCGAAATTGGTAAATCTAGCGGTGAAGGAACCGGGTGCTGCCACTAAAGGCATGCTCTTTGGTGAGTCCTTTGTTAATGACCTAGGCTCCTTCGTGCGCACATTTACCGCCCTAGATAAGGCACAGTCCAACTTAAAACTAGTTTTTGGCCAAAAGGTTTTCCAAGGGGCCGGGAGGTATATGAGCCGTCCGCCCAGCCGTGGAGCTCGGGGTCCCTCACGGACTTACAGAGGTTCCTTTGCTGCCCCTCGGGCCTACCAGGAATACAAGCCGCTCTCTTCTTCCCCTCACGCGGGAGACCGTGGCAGAATCGTGGAGGACGTGGTCAACCCTCGTACAGACGTCCTTATGGTAAGTACTCCCAAATGTGTTTTTTTCCCCATGCAAGCTTGGGGGCAGACTAGCTTTGTTTATCGATATTTGGGGCATGATTACCACAGATGTGTGGGTTTTGAATACGGTCAGGGGTTTCCGCCTAGATCTGTTGTCCCCCCCTTTCCAGGCATGTATACCACAGGAACTGAGATTGCTGGAAGAGCAGTCCGGGTTGATTACCGTGGAAATCGCGAAACTTCATACCAAACAGGCAATACAGGAAATCCCGTACGAGACCCCGGGTTTCTTAAGCAATTTGTTCCTCGTGGCCAAGAAGGGCGGAGGAGTTCGACCGGTCATAAATCTCAGACGCCTCAATGAATTTCTCCGCTACCAACACTTCAAGATGAAAGGCATTCATTGCCTCAGGGACCTGCTCCGACAAGGGGACTGGATGGTCAAGCTGGACCTCAAAGATGCCTATTTGACCATACCAATAGCAGAGGAACACTGGGACTTATTGCACTTTTCGTGGCAAGGACGTCGGTGGAGGTTTACCTGTCTGCCCTTCGGTCTATCTTCAGTTCCCTGGTGCTTCACAAAGGTAATGAAGCCGGTAGTGGCGTTCCTCAGAGCTCGAGGTGTCTGTATGATTATTTACATGGACAACATCCTGATTATGTCTTCGACTCCCGAACAGCTCATACGCCATCTGCACTGGACGGTGAGTCTTTTGGAGGATTTAGGGTTCCTCATAAATTGGGAAAAATCCATGGTGACCCCGGTATAAAAGATAGAATTCCTTGGATTCGAAGTCGACTCGATCGCCCAATTCTTGTTCCTTCCAGAGGCCAAATTAAAGGCTATGAAGAAGGAAACAAGGCATACACTACGGGTCACCTCTCTCTCCATACGACAACTGGCGCGAGTGATTGGTCTCTTGGCTTCATTGATTCAGGCAATTTTTCCAGGACCCCTGCACTATCGGGTCCTGCAACGATTGAAGGGATCCCATCTTCGGTCGGGCAGTTCGTACGAAAGCAAACTGGGCCTGGAAAGGGATTCCAGAGAGGAACTGCTGTGGTGGTTGGACCACATGGAGGCGTGGAATGGCCGAGCAATCCTCGGATCCGGAAGTGGTGATAGAATCAGATGCCAGCCTACATGGTTGGGGCGCTCGCTGTGGAAATATTTCCACAGGTGGCAGATGGTCCGAAGTCGAGTCACGGCTACACATAAACTGTCTGGAACTGCTGGTGGGATCCTTCGCCATTTGCAGCCTGTCTCCAACACTGGGAAATTGCTGCATTCTTCTATGTATGGACAACGTGTCCGCGGTCAGATGTGTAAATCATCTGGGTGGCACGAAATCGAAACAACTAGCGAACCTGGCAAAGGACTTCAGGCAGTATTGCCTCCACAGCGCAGTGTCGGTTACTGCCGAACACATCCCGGGTCTGGACAACGAATGGGCAGATTGGAATTCGCGCTACTTGAAAGACTCAGGGGATTGGCATCTGCTCCCTTCGACCTTTCGACAGATGGATTGGTTATGGGGCCCGTTGGAACTGGATCTGTTTGCATTCAGACTAAACTCCCAACTGCCCCATTACTTCAGTTGGAGACTGGACCCATCGGCCATGGCGGTGGATGCTTTCCTGCAAACGTGGCCTCAGGGTCGTCACTTTGCGTTTTCCCCATTCAATCTGATCTCTCGGACACTGGCGTACCTGTCCAGGCAAAATTGTACATTGGTGATGGTAGTCCCCTATGGCAGACTCAACCTTGGTTCCCTCGTCTCCTGGAGATGACGGTGGATTTCCCACGCATGATTGCAATGAGGCTGGATGTGCTTCTGGATCCGGATGGGAACTTGCACGGATTAGTGGATCAGGGCCTGCTCCAGCTCATGGCTTGATTTCAGGGGACCCTGGTCCGTCGCAGACGTTCCGCAAGCAACTACAAGACTCCTGGAGAGTGCCTGGGCACCGGGAACCAGAACAGCTTACAAATCTGCATGGCGCGTGTGGACTGGCTGGTGCGTGGGAAGGTTGTTGGATCCAATTTCTGCCTCTCTGAATGAGGTGCTCAGTTTTCTGACCATGCTTTTTGAATCAGGTTTGGCCTACCGCACTATCAATGTTTATAGATCGGCCATTTCGGCCGGACATCAAGGGATTGACGGATCGTTGGTTGGACAACGTCCCTTCATGTGCCGATTGTTGAAGGGTATCCATTTCTCTAGACCCCCGAGATCCAGATACTCCTCGTTTTGGGTTGTTAACATAGTACTTTGCTTCCTGGAGTCGTGGCCCCTTAAATGAAGAGCTCTCGCTGAAACAGTTGTCCTGGAAATTGGTTATGCTCCTGTGTCTACTTTCAGAAAACTGAGCACCTCATTCAAGGCATTTATGGACTGTTCCTATAAGTTGATTGGATGCCCTGTTACTAGGCAGAGTTGGTTGTATCTGTTATATATTATTCATATTAAATATATTTTCTCTTTCAGTTATTTTTTCTCTTTGCTGCTGAGGAATAAAGTAAGAAAGAGATAGCATAATACTCGCCTCCGTGTCATTAATAAAATCATGACTTTACGTCATGTAAATAGTAAAATCTTGGAATTGTAGAGCATGTAGTATTTTACAGAACCTCCATTAGATGGCAGTGTTCCCATTATAGTAGTATGAGTGTAGAGCATGTAGTATTTCACAGAACCTCCACTAGATGGCAGTGTTCCCATTATAGTAATATGACTGTAGAGCATGTAGTATTTCACAGAACCTCCACTAGATGGCAGTGTTTCCATTATCGTAGTATGACTGTAGAGCATGTAGTATTTCACAGAACCTCCACTAGATGGCAGTGTTCCCATAATAGTAGTATGACTGTAGAGCATGTAGTATTTCACAGAACCTCCACTAGATGGCAGTGTTCCCATTATAGTAGTATGAGTGTAGAGCATGTAGTATTTCACAGAACCTCCACTAGATGGCAGTGTTCCCATTATAGTAGTATGATTGTAGAGCATGTAGTATTTTACAGAACCTCCACTAGATGGCAGTGTTCCCATTATAGTAGTATGATTGTAGAGCATGTAGTATTTCACAGAACCTCCACTAGATGGCAGTGTTCCCATTATAGTAGTATGATGGTAGAGCATGTAGTATTTCACAGAACCTCCACTAGATGGCAGTGTTCCCATTATAGTACTATGATGGTAGAGCATGTAGTATTTCACAGAACCTCCACTAGATGGAAGTGTTCCCATTATAGTAGTATGAGTGTAGAGCATGTAGTATTTCACAGAACCTCCACTAGATGGCAGTGTTCCCATTATAGTAGAATGATTGTAGAGCATGTAGTATTTCACAGAACCTCCACTAGATGGCAGTGTTCCCATTATAGTGGTATGATTGTAGAGCATGTAGTATTTCACAGAACCTCCACTAGATGGCAGTGTTCCCATTATAGTAGTATGATTGTAGAGCATGTAGTATTTCACATAACCTCCACTAGATGGCAGTGTTCCCATTATAGTAGTATGATTGTAGAGCATGTAGTATTTCACAGAACCTCCACTAGATGGCAGTGTTCCCATTATAGTAGTATGATTGTAGAGCATGTAGTATTTTACAGAACCTCCACTAGATGGCAGTGTTCCCATTATAGTAGTATGATTGTAGAGCATGTAGTATTTCACAGAACCTCCACTAGATGGCAGTGTTCCCATTATAGTAGTATGATTGTAGAGCATGTAGTATTTCACAGAACCTCCACTAGATGGCAGTGTTCCCATTATAGTAGTATGATTGTAGAGCATGTAGTATTTCACAGAACCTCCACTAGATGGCAGTGTTCCCATTATAGTACTATGATTGTAGAGCATGTAGTATTTTACAGAACCTCCACTATATGGCAGTGTTCCCATTATAGTACTATGATTGTAGAGCATGTAGTATTTCACAGAACCTCCACTAGATGGCAGTGTTCCCATTATAGTAGTATGATTGTAGAGTATGTAGTATTTTACAGAACCTCCACTAGATGGCAGTGTTCCCATTATAGTAGTATGATTGTAGAGCATGTAGTATTTCACAGAACCTCCACTAGATGGCAGTGTTCCCATTATAGTAGTATGATTGTAGAGCATGTAGTATTTCACAGAACCTCCACTAGATGGCAGTATTCCCATTATAGTAGTATGATTGTAGAGTATGTAGTATTTTACAGAACCTCCACTAGATGGCAGTGTTCCCATTATAGTAGTATGATTGTAGAGCATGTAGTATTTCACAGAACCTCCACTAGATGGCAGTATTCCCATTATAGTAGTATGATTGTAGAGCATGTAGTATTTTACAGAACCTCCACTAGATGGCAGTGTTCCCATTATAGTAGTATGATTGTAGAGCATGTAGTATTTTACAGAACCTCCACTAGATGGCAGTGTTCCCATTATAGTACTATGATGGTAGAGCATGTAGTATTTCACAGAACCTCCACTAGATGGCAGTGTTCCCATTATAGTACTATGATTGTAGAGCATGTAGTATTTTACAGAACCTCCACTAGATGGCAGTGTTCCCATTATAGTAGTATGATTGTAGAGCATGTAGTATTTCACAGAACCTCCACTAGATGGCAGTGTTCCCATTATAGTACTATGATTGTCGAGCATGTAGTATTTCACAGAACCTCCACTAGATGGCAGTGATCCTCTAATGATAGTCTATTTAGCTGATTCGCCATTCTGGCCTCCCCTTCAGCTCTATGGTGTTGGCTCCGGAAGCACCCTGCCAGCCGGAAGTGCTAGCGGTGTCAGTATTGGAAAATGAGTGTATGTGTGGTTAGTGCGCTGTTATCCCGGTCGGTCCGGACTGCTACTCGGTGGCAGGTAAGTAGCACTGACTGCTGTGATATAGAGACCCCGCGCGGCCAGAGAGCGATAACAGCCATTAAATGATACCAGGAGACAGAATGGCTGACCTTCTACCAGCGCTGATAGGGAACACTGACACAGAGCGAGACAGATACACTGACACAGAGCGAGACAGAGACACTGACACAGAGCGAGACAGAGACACTGACACAGAGCGAGACACTGACACAGAGCGAGACACTGACACAGAGCGACTGACACTGACACAGAGCGACTGACACTGACACAGAGCGACTGACACAGAGCGACTGACACTGAGCCACTGACACTGACACTGGCAAAATTGTACATTGGTGATGGTAGTCCCCTATGGCAGACTCAACCTTGGTTCCCTCGTCTCCTGGAGATGACGGTGGATTTCCCACGCATGATTGCAATGAGGCTGGATGTGCTTCTGGATCCGGATGGGAACTTGCACGGATTAGTGGATCAGGGCCTGCTCCAGCTCACGGCTTGATTTCAGGGGACCCTGGTCCGTCGCAGACGTTCCGCAAGCAACTACAAGACTCCTGGAGAGTGCCTGGGCACCGGGAACCAGAACAGCTTACAAATCTGCATGGCGCGTGTGGACTGGCTGGTGCGTGGGAAGGTTGTTGGATCCAATTTCTGCCTCTCTGAATGAGGTGCTCAGTTTTCTGACCATGCTTTTTGAATCAGGTTTGGCCTACCGCACTATCAATGTTTATAGATCGGCCATTTCGGCCGGACATCAAGGGATTGACGGATCGTTGGCTGGACAACGTCCCTTCATGTGCCGATTGTTGAAGGGTATCCATTTCTCTAGACCCCCGAGATCCAGATACTCCTCGTTTTGGGTTGTTAACATAGTACTTTGCTTCCTGGAGTCGTGGCCCCTTAAATGAAGAGCTCTCGCTGAAACAGTTGTCCTGGAAATTGGTTATGCTCCTGTGTCTACTTTCAGAAAACTGAGCACCTCATTCAAGGCATTTATGGACTGTTCCTATAAGTTGATTGGATGCCCTGTTACTAGGCAGAGTTGGTTGTATCTGTTATATATTATTCATATTAAATATATTTTCTCTTTCAGTTATTTTTTCTCTTTGCTGCTGAGGAATAAAGTAAGAAAGAGATAGCATAATACTCGCCTCCGTGTCATTAATAAAATCATGACTTTACGTCATGTAAATAGTAAAATCTTGGAATTGTAGAGCATGTAGTATTTTACAGAACCTCCATTAGATGGCAGTGTTCCCATTATAGTAGTATGAGTGTAGAGCATGTAGTATTTCACAGAACCTCCACTAGATGGCAGTGTTCCCATTATAGTAATATGACTGTAGAGCATGTAGTATTTCACAGAACCTCCACTAGATGGCAGTGTTTCCATTATCGTAGTATGACTGTAGAGCATGTAGTATTTCACAGAACCTCCACTAGATGGCAGTGTTCCCATAATAGTAGTATGACTGTAGAGCATGTAGTATTTCACAGAACCTCCACTAGATGGCAGTGTTCCCATTATAGTAGTATGAGTGTAGAGCATGTAGTATTTCACAGAACCTCCACTAGATGGCAGTGTTCCCATTATAGTAGTATGATTGTAGAGCATGTAGTATTTTACAGAACCTCCACTAGATGGCAGTGTTCCCATTATAGTAGTATGATTGTAGAGCATGTAGTATTTCACAGAACCTCCACTAGATGGCAGTGTTCCCATTATAGTACTATGATGGTAGAGCATGTAGTATTTCACAGAACCTCCACTAGATGGCAGTGTTCCCATTATAGTACTATGATGGTAGAGCATGTAGTATTTCACAGAACCTCCACTAGATGGAAGTGTTCCCATTATAGTAGTATGAGTGTGGAGCATGTAGTATTTCACAGAACCTCCACTAGATGGCAGTGTTCCCATTATAGTAGTATGAGTGTAGAGCATGTAGTATTTCACAGAACCTCCACTAGATGGCAGTGTTCCCATTATAGTAGTATGACTGTAGAGCATGTAGTATTTTACAGAACCTCCACTAGATGGCAGTGTTCCCATTATAGTAGTATGACTGTAGAGCATGTAGTATTTCACAGAACCTCCACTAGATGGCAGTGTTCCCATTATAGTAGAATGACTGTAGAACATGTAGTATTTCACAGAACCTCCACTAGATGGCAGTGTTCCCATTATAGTAGTATGATTGTAGAGCATGTAGTATTTCACAGAACCTCCACTAGATGGCAGTGTTCCCATTATAGTAGTATGATTGTAGCGCATGTAGTATTTTACAGAACCTCCACTAGATGGCAGTGTTCCCATTATAGTAGTATGAGTGTAGAGCATGTAGTATTTTACAGAACCTCCACTAGATGGCAGTGTTCCCATTATAGTAGTATGATTGTAGAGCATGTAGTATTTTACAGAACCTCCACTAGATGGCAGTGTTCCCATTATAGTAGTATGAGTGTAGAGCATGTAGTATTTTACAGAACCTCCACTAGATGGCAGTGTTCCCATTATAGTAGTATGAGTGAAGAGCATGTAGTATTTCACAGAACCTCCACTAGATGGCAGTGTTCCCATTATAGTGGTATGATTGTAGAGCATGTAGTATTTCACAGAACCTCCACTAGATGGCAGTGTTCCCATTATAGTAGTATGATTGTAGAGCATGTAGTATTTCACAGAACCTCCACTAGATGGCAGTGTTCCCATTATAGTGGTATGATTGTAGAGCATGTAGTATTTCACAGAACCTCCACTAGATGGCAGTGTTCCCATTATAGTACTATGATTGTCGAGCATGTAGTATTTCACAGAACCTCCACTAGATGGCAGTGATCCTCTAATGATAGTCTATTTAGCTGATTCGCCATTCTGTCCTCCCCTTCAGCTCTATGGTGTTGGCTCCGGAAGCACCCTGCCAGCCGGAAGTGCTAGCGGTGTCAGTATTGGAAAATGAGTGTATGTGCGGTTAGTGCGCTGTTATCCCGGTCGGTCCGGACTGCTACTCGGTGGCAGGTAAGTAGCACTGACTGCTGTGATATAGAGACCCCGCGCGGCCAGAGAGCGATAACAGCCATTAAATGATACCAGGAGACAGAATGGCTGACCTTCTACCAGCGCTGATAGGGAACACTGACACAGAGCGAGACAGATACACTGACACAGAGCGAGACAGAGACACTGACACAGAGCGAGACAGAGACACTGACACAGAGCGAGACAGAGACACTGACACAGAGCGAGACAGAGACACTGACACAGAGCGAGACAGAGACACTGACACAGAGCGAGACACTGACACAGAGCGAGACCGAGACACTGACACAGAGCGAGACAGAGACACTGACACAGAGCGAGACAGAGACACTGACACAGAGCGAGACAGAGACACTGACACAGAGCGAGACACTGACACAGAGCGAGACACTGACACAGAGCGAGACAGAGACTGACACAGAGCGAGACACTGACACAGAGCGACTGACACAGAGCGACTGACACTGACACAGATCGACTGACACTGACACAGAGCCACTGACACTGACACAGAGCCACTGACACAGAGCCACTGACACAGAGCCACTGACACAGAGCCACTGACACAGAGCGCGGAATGTTGACACAGCGCTGATAGGGAACACTGACACAGCGCGACACTGACACAGCGCTGATAGGGAACACTGACACAGCGCGACACTGACACAGCGCTGATAGGGAACACTGACACAGCGCGACACTGACACAGCGCTGATAGGGAACACTGACACAGCGCGACGATAGGGACCACTGACAGAGCGGTACTGACACAGAGCATTGATAGTGAACACTGACAGCAACACTGACACAGAGCGCTGATGGGGAACACTGACACTGCGACGCTGACGCAGCACTGATAGTGAACACAGACACAGAGTGACACTGACACAGAGCGCTGATAGTGAACACTGACAGGGAATGTTGACACAGAGCGACGATAGGGAACACTGACAGAGCGACACTGACACAGAGTGCTGATAGGGAACACTGACAGAGCGACACTGACACAGAGCGCTGATAGGGAACACTGACAGAGCAACACTGACACAGAGCGCTGGTTGGGAACACTGATACAGAGCAATGCTGACACAGAGCGACGCCGACACAGACTGATAGTGAACACAGACACAGAGCGACACTGACAGAGAGCGCTGATGGTGAACACTGACACAGAGCACTGATGGGGAACGCTGACACAGCACTGATAGTGAACACAGAGTGACACTGACGGAGCGCTGACATGGTGTGCTGATAGGGAACGTTGACAGAGAGCAACACTTACGTGGAGTGCTGACATGGAGGGTTGATGGGAAACGCTGACAGAGGTCAAAGCTGACAGGGAATATTAACATACAGTGCCTATAGGAAACACTGACAAATGCTGCTTATAGGGAACACTGATAGAAGCTGCGTGTAGGGAAAACTGACGAACACTAACAGAAGCTGCTTATATGGAATACGTTGGCGCTATATAAATACCAATAATAATAATAAGGCAATATTTACAATAAAGGGTTCCTGACAGCCACTAAATTCCCTTCCACTGTGAAACAGTACAACTCTTATCTCAAAGCTAATCTTCATTTTATTAGAAGAGCTCTGGCCGCGCATGTACTTTTTGTCTCTATGAGGAGCATTGGATTGGATGTCTAGAAGTGTCGGCTGCTCATTTCTCCATACCAACTGACTTGCAAGTGCTAAGCGGTTATCCATTTAGAGTGTTTAGTCTTTGAGTTACTGTCATAATGTATATGATTACTTTTTGTGTTTGTGCAGATTTTACAGATCTTACCATCTTGCTATTGCACCTGTGCACTTACATCTAGATTCAGTCAGTTGAGGTATGTATTCTAATTACCTAAGGACTGTTGTTATGCTATTCTGCAGCATTTTATAATAATGTGTTGGGGATATAAAACAACTATTGACAAATTAGTGATGACCGTGTCCATCATTTAAATAACAATTCTGGTTACTTATTGTCTACGGAAGGCTCTGCATTTCACCAGAACCACGCTAATAAAATAAACCAATGTGTGTTTGGCGCATAGTAAACTACTGGTTAAGATTTAGTAATGCATTAATACTGCAGGATTTATGGAGACTTTCCTTAATTCACAACTCTTGCACAGAAGGGAAAGTCAGACATACAGACAGACAAAAGTAAAAATGCCTCAGACTAGTTTTCACAGACACATTCTTTCCAACCATCAGAATCCGCTACAAATGAAATTCTGCTCTGTGGCTAAAATATTACACAGAACTGAATTTAAAAATGGCAGTCAAGTCTATTAAAATAAATGCAGCCTCCATGGAGCGATTAAAATCAAAATGTGCATGTTGGATAACTTTTAGATGTATTTATATTCTTTTATAATGCTTGTCATTAAACCTTATCTAAAATGCAAATTTAAAAATAAACCAAAGACTTATTTTATTTTGTGCAGAAATGTAAAATCTGTTTTAAGGACGTCGTCTGCAGGAATAAATACAAATTCTCTACCGTCTAGAATACAAGAATTGGTAAGTTGAGGTTTTGGATTAGCGACAACTGTCTCAACACATTTGCATAGATGGTGTGAGCACGGAGCAATTATTCATTAAAGTAAAGGGGGTGGGCACTCCTTACACCATGACCACCACAGTGCATTGTAGTGGTTATGATCCCTGGGATGTTTCTTTAAGTGCAAAATAACTGAAACTGTTTTGCTAAATGTTTGCATTTGGAGTATTTTGGCCTGAAATATTAAATTCACTTGAATTCTCTAAACCTGACAAATGGAATTTTTTGAATATATGCATTGAAATGTATAGAAAGAGCTTTACAGAGTACTTTATTTTGAGCAATATTTTAAAAAGGAACCATGTGCACCTGGAGTGTAATCACAGATATTTGGAGCTACATGCAAAAAAAATATATATATATTTTTTAATACCAAACTCAAGAACCAGAGCATCCCCCCTTTCCCCAAATCTCACATGCAGTAATGGTATTATTTAAGACCCTGGCAATAAGAGATTGTAAGAGAGATTTTACAGGCCACTTTACTGGGTTCACTAAGTAACGTGGAGAAACGGCTACCCCTGTGAGTGATGGTTTCCCTACAGCTGCCTGCTATTGTAACATTTATTGAAAAATACCTGGATTTTTACATTGCTAGTCACTGTTGGTGAGTGGTAATTGTGCATTTGCAATTAAATTTGCAGAGTAGTTATCCCTTGTCATGCTGATGTACTGGGCGACCAGTACTACAAGCAGTATTTCATGTGCTGATGTGGAGAAATCATATAATGAACCTGATTAATTGCACATATTGTCTCGTATTCATTTGTTTTATAGCTTATCAATGAAAACAATTCAACAACGTAGCATTGAAAGACTTTTTTTTATTTTCATTTACATAGATAACCATTAATGAAGAACCAGACGTTCTGTACAAGAAAATAGAAGTGTTAGCAAAATGTCATGATAAGTCTGTGCTGGACAGCTATGAGTATTTTGTTGTCCTTGCTGCTAAAGAACTTGGAATCTCCTTGGTGCATGTGTAAGTACTGGAAGGTCTTGTGTATTTTAAAGCCTCTATTGTTATTGAGCCTTACTAACTACAAACATTTCTCAACCTCTCCAAAATGTACTATTTTACGTATGTGATGGTTAAAAGTCTGCATTCTAAGTCATTAAAGGAGCACTGTAAGTAGTTTTGGTGCCAGGTGTATATTAGTGCTGTTTACCATAAAGAAGTCACTGTTTTAAAATTGTTTAACACTTACCTGGGTCTCTGGCCACCTGCTGTGGTTCCAGGCCACGTGATACAGCTACCCTTGACACATTCTAATAAACTGACATAGTGAAAGCAGAATAAGTACCACTTCAACTGTAATGAGAAGACTGGAAGCACAGCAGGGTACCCAAGTTAGTGTTAAAGCATTGAAGCGGTTTGACTCCTTCCTGGAAGACTGTGCTAGATGGTACTCATGGTACATAACCATTAGAACAGGCTGTGGCGCATGCTGTGCCATTTTACGATATGCTCACTGTTGACCTTGAAGTGTGAATTGTCAGAAATTCTCCCATTTTCTAAAATTTACTGATGCTTACAATTTCACACTTGTATGTTGTGTATTTAACCCTGACTGTGTTAGACTTATTTAATTTATTGATGATAGGTGCCCTGCAGCAATGGACCTGAGGTTAACATTTTAACAAATAAAATTAATATCTTGTACATGGGTTTCACAACACTGAGGCAGGCAGTAATTCTTTATTGATTGTTGTTTAAATAAGATGCTTTTATAATTACTCAGAGACTTTGAGAAGCAGCAGAGGATAAAACTGTTTGGGAAAGTATAGCAAATGTGCTAGAATTATGTTAAAAATCCTCAAAATATTGAAGTTCCACATATACACTACTTGTTTTTTTGTTTATTTTAAAGCTTTACTTTATTTATTTTTTTTACCAGATATGAGCCCAAGAGGAAGATTGAACGGTTCACACTTCTAAAGTCTGTGCATATTTTCAAAAAGCACAGAGTTCAGTATGAAATGAGGACACATTACAGGTGTTTTGAGGTAAGGGTAGAGCATTACATTGGCAAATTAGATGGGCTTGGCAAATAAGGTGCTGGGACAGAATACATCTTAATACACTATGTTTTGTTGTCAGTATTCATATTAAAGGACCACTATAGTGCCAGGAAAACATACTAGTTATCCTGGCACTATAGTGCCCTGAGGGTGCCCCCACCCTCAAGGTCCCCCTCCTGCCAGGCTGGATGGAAAGGAAGGGGTTAAACTTACCTGTTTCTCCAGCGCCGGGCAGGGAGCTCTCTTCCTCTTCGGATGAATGCTCGTGCGCGGCAAGAGCCGCGCATGCGCATTCATCCAGTCTCATAGGAAAGCATTTAAAATGCTTTCCTATGGACGCTGGCGTCTTCTCACTGTGAAAATCACAGTGAGAAGCACACAAGCGCCTCAAGCGGCTGTCAAGAGAAAGCCACTAGAGGCTGGATTAACCCTAACATAAACATAGCAGTTTCTCTGAAACTGCTATGTTTATAGAAAAAAAAAAGGTTAACCCTAGCTGGACCTGGCACCCAGACCACTTCATTAAGCTGAAGTGGTCTGGGTGCCTATAGTGGTCCTTTAATCCCTTAAGGACCAAACTTCTGGAATAAAAGGGAAATCATGACATGTCACGTGTCCTTAAGGGGTTAAGCTTCCCCACCCCATTTAAAATTCTAAGCTCATTAAAGGGACATTCTAAGCACCAGAACCACAGTAGCTTAGTGCATTGCTCTGATGCAACTAGACAGTATCTGTGTTCTTAAATGCAAACATTTATTTTTATCAGCCATTAGAGATGCTTCCTGCTGCAGTCCTCCATGAAGATGCGGAGTGCTCCCCATAGAGAGAGTATTATGCTATATTTGCACAGTGATTGCTGTGCACATAGAGTTGTTCCCAGTACTTTGCTATGTAGAAGATAATCACTGATGCTCTCAGCTAGGGACAGAATGGTAGGTGAGAAACTGTCCCCAGGAATTTTAATATAATATCAATATTTATCTGTGAGGTGTAAAAAAAAAAAAAAAAATTACATGTAGAAATCCACACCTTTTTTTTTTCTGCAATTGAGCGCCTCCATCTTAGCTGCCTGTCAGTCATTCTTACAAACTCTGTCCTTTGCAGTTGGGAACCGGCGTAGAGAAAGCATACAAAGAGGAACAATTAAACACGTTTGCCTTGTCTTTACTAGATCAATATGTAATTTACTATATCTGTATCATGTTTAATGGCAAGCTGAGCTTCACATACAGAAATTGGTTAACACAAAGTAAAGATCGTTTTTAATGTTTTATTGAGAGGTGTAAACTATAGAGAAGTGATACATCACCCTGTAACGCTTGAATAATGAGTGCAGTTCATATGACAGTGAAAGCATTGCAACTGATTGAATGCCTGTGTGTTAATATTTCTATACAAATGTAATAGAAAACTGAGGAAAAGTTTTGGAAAATTCTTAAATTAACTTGTAGTTTATTTGTAGTTAAAGCATATAACGGGCAGTACTGCAAATGTGTACCTGGAATATATACAGCGTAACCTACCAGAAGGAGCTGCTTTGGAAATTACAAAGGTAATAAATCTTATTATACATTACCTATTTAAACTGTAATGGAAAAAAAATCTAATCTTTTATTTTACTATTTTAGACAACACTTGAGAAACTTCCAGACCATATAAAATATCCAGTATGGGACCAACTCTCAAAGGAAGAGAACGAGAAGACTACTTTGTAAATCCATTTCATGATAATTTTTTTCTTCCTTCAGATATTTAGACAATTAAAAATAAATGGACTATTCCTAAAACCAATTAGAGTTTGCATCATAACATTGCATCAAAGGTTATGAATGAAATTGTGGTTTTAATAATAGACTGACATGCAGTTACCTCATTAAAATAAACTGTAGTCACCCAGACCATTTAATCTCAATGAAGTAGACTGGGTGCAGTGGCCCCGTCCTTTTAACCTTGTAATGTAAAACATTGCAGGTTTGTTTTGTTTACATTACAGGGTTAAATACACCTCAAGTAGCTGCCACACAAACATCATCTAGAGCAGTGGTTCCCAAACAACTCCTCATGCCTTTCCTACCAGTCGAGGATTTAGAGATTACACAGTTGAGTTTAAAGCAAGCATGTCAAACTTGCATGCAGCCAACAATGGTTATATTTGCAGCCCACCTGCCCTGGGGCCACTTTGTGTTGTGGCTGCAATCAGTCACAAGACGGGAAAGATCTTTCCTGGAGGATGGGCGGCTCATTTTAAGGTAGAGGAAGAGAGGCTTGGGGGACCTTCCTGTGTAGTGTGCTAAATTGGGGAGGGGGGCAGTGTATTCATTTAAAGGAGTGAGTGGGCACTGTATTAATTTGGGGGAGGAGGCCAATGTATTAAATTTGGGAGAAGGGGCGTTGTATTAAATTGGGGGAGGGAGGCAGTGTATTAAATTAGAGTGCTAGGAGGAAAGGCAGTGTATTAGAATGGGGGGGGAGAGGTCAGTGTATTAGATTGGGTCTGCATGGAGGCGCTGAATGCTCCCCATGGAGATGCCGATTCGGCATGCAGCTTTTTGCCACAAATGCACAATAGCCTCCCAATGCTTTCCTATAGGAAAGCATTGGATTGGCTGAGATCATACAGTTTGATCTCAGCCAAAGTGAAGAACACATTCATAGGACTTAAACATCAGCAAGATAACGTCATGTTTTTTTACATCTGTGCAACAGCATACATTCACCATTTTAGTACCATTACCAAACTTTTCTTAATATGTTGAAGTTGGACTGAAACATTGGTTATATGCACATGCATGTATTCTTAAAATTCACACTATTGTTTACTTTGAAGCCCTACGAGCGTGAGGACGTTCAGTGCTAGTTAGGCAAAATTTTTGTACTGTACTTTTCTAAATAAACCTGTTTCTATAAAAACTGAAGTTTATTTTGCAGCCCACATAAACTTAAACCTTTTTTATTTGGCCCGTGTTAGCCTTTGACATGCTTGGTCTAAAGTGTTTTTAGAAATGGGGGAGAGGTGTGTGTGTGTGTGTATATATATATATATATATATATATATATATATATATATATATATATATATATATATATATATATATATATATACACACACACACACCTCCCACCAAGCCCTGGACTGGTAGAGGGGGCATAAGGACTGGTTTGGGAACTACTGCTCTAGAGGTTCTTCTGTGGCACTAGCAGAGTAAAACTGTCACGTAACATGGAAGCCCCTACGAAGGCACTGAATACAACTTACACAAATGACAATTTCCTGCTGTTGATTCACTATTTCAAGACAAACTGTAATACCTCCGTAATTGTGGCTGCATGTAACGAACTTGTTAGTCCAAGTGTAGTCTGCATTAAACTCTGTGGATCCCCAAGAAAATGTGAGCAACGTTTTGATGGTAATATCACATTGCTTAAAGCACTCCGCACACTCAATGTCAGTAGGAACTGGATATTGGGGTCCTTGCAAGATATGCCATGCAGATGGCCCACTTAAACCCCTTAAAGAGCAAATGCCACAATTTGCCATCATTGTAACCTGCTCCTTCTGTCCCAAAATGGAATGTTCCAGTTGCTGAACTTTAAAAGCTCTATATAGCTCTACAGTAATTGTGTTGCTCATTCTATTTTGAAATAGGATCTTCAAAGGATCTCTGTACTGGAATGTTTATGCTCTTTTGAAGGAGTAAAAATTTCACCTATACATTGTGCAAATGTTTTTTTCTAGCAAATAGACAGATTGGGCAAAAAACATTTAAAACTCTTTCTCCCTGCTGTTAATAAACATATTGACTGACCAGGGAAAGAAAACAGAACAGACCACCCACAAGAGATCCTGCCGCTCTCCCAAACATAGAATTGCATGGAACTCCTTAGTAATCTCTTCTAGCACCTGCTAGGGATTATAGGAATGGAATGACATAACATTACTCTGTTCCAATGCTGGCATTAAAATTCTCAATCTCTCTCTCTCCTCTGGCATATTTCCATCGCCCTTCAAACATGCAACTGTAATTCTAAAGAAGCCCAATCTTGACCCTAACTCCCCATCCAACTATCGTCCTATCTCGCTACTGCCTTTTGCATCCAAGATCCTTGAAAGAATTGTGTATGCGAGATTGACAGACTTCCTCCAGTCCAACTCTCTGCTAGACCCGCTTCAGTCTGGTTTCCGCGCTAAGCACTCTGTAGAAACAGCACTGACCAAAGTATCCAATGATCTACTCGCTGCAAAATCTCGTGGTCACTACTCTATCCTAATTCTCCTTGACCTGTCTGTGGCTTTTGACACTGTTGATCATCAACAGCTTCTTCTCATCCTCCGCAATATCGGTCTACAAGATATTGCTCTCTCCTGGTGCTTCTCCTACCTCTCCCAGCACTCTTTCAGTGTATCTTTCTCTGGCTCTGCTTCTTCTCCCCAACTCCTCTCTGTTAGTATCCCCCAAGGTTCAGTCCTTGATCCCCTACTGTTCTCCATCTACACTGCCTCCCTTGGTAAAGTCATTAGCTCCTTTGGCTTCCAATATCATTTCTATGCAGATGACACGCAAATCTACCTGTCCTCTCCTGATCGCTCCCCGTCCCTCTTGACTAGTGTCTCTGACTGCCTCTCTGCTATTTCTAACTGGATGGCTGCCCACTTCCTTAAAATAAACTTGACCAAAACTGAAATTCCCCTTTGGTACTGATAGGTCAGACCCATTTCCCCAGTAACCGGATGGGACACAGTTCCTAGATACAACATTTGACAATCTTTATTTGGGCACACAGCTTTTTATGCACAGACCCACAGGGGGTCTCCATCAAACACAAAACCTACAGGAGGGGGCTGGGGACTAGATAACATCTCCCAGAACCAGAGAAGGTTAACTAGACACAGAGACATGCATGATAAATTTTTACATTCAGGGGGATATACTTTGGGGCTCGGCCCCCCGGGACGGAAAGGGGCTACAGGGTTAAAACTTACATAGCTAAATAGCCCCGGGTCCCCTCTGGGACCTCTGCAAAAAGCTTGGCGATCGGATGTACAGAGCCAGAGATATCAGCGTTGAAAGGCTGGGGTTCAAGGCTCTGTACATCCCTGAAATCAGTTCCATGGTGTTGCTCGGTTTAGTCCGACGAATTCAAACTTCGTGCCTAAACCAAGCAGCCGAAATGGTGCAAACCAAATCGCGCCAATCAGCATTGGAAGGAGGAAGGAGTTTCGCCGCCGAAGGGAGGATAGTGCGCGAAACCCGATGTCACCAATCCACTCAAAGCGCCCAGGGACGAGAGGGTCTTCGCCGCCCAATCAGATGCAAGGGCACGAAACCCAGTTTGAATAAGCGCTCCATCTTGGATTGGTAGCCCGCTCCCTGCGGCGACCAATCAGCACTCTGCCTGTGCCGAGAAACCAGGGGAATGGCGCGAACGCAGTTTGAATAGGTGCTCCCTCTCCCATTGGTCAGCACGGACTTCCATGCGGCCAGCAGGAATCCTGCAGTTTTGAGACCAACTCACAGCCCCAGGGACTCGGCGCTGACGCGCGTCCCTCTCTCTGGTGGATAACCCCACGCAGGTATCCACCGGAGAGAGCGCTCTCCTGGGCAGCCACGAGCATACCATCGTAGTTCCCAGGTAAGGGAAAGAGATGAAGGATTATAGCTCTTTTAGGGAGTAGGTAGGATAGTCCCTGACTCCGTTGGGGAGCAGGTAGGACAGTCCCTGACACCGAGATCAAAGAGTGTACGCAGGCCGGTTCCGGAGACGACTGCTCCCCCTGGTGGGCGTTCGGTGATACGAACCGACAGCCACCCAGGGAAAGCATGCGTCGCTCGTTCCCTTGCGGTCTGTGGTTTTCACACCTTGTTAGCGAGGTGTGAACATTCTAATTGGAGGATCGGGGTGATCCAGCACGGTTCGGGAGACGAATGCTCCCCCAGTGGGCGTTCGGTAATACGAACCGGCGACCACCCAGGGGTAGCACGTGCCCCTAGTTTTCTTGCGGTCTGCGATTTTCACACCTCGTTAGCGAGGTGTGAACGTTCTTAATAAACGGTCTAAATGAAGTGCCAGGGTGGTCCAGCGCACGGAGCTCCATGCGCCGGAGCGACCCCGGGTGGACAAAGGGTATATTACAGGATTTTATGGTAAAAATTACAGAAAGGGGAATATGAACACATTCTAAGAGGGCACATCCATACATATAAAACAAGGCAATTCATAGTTTAGGCAGGCCCGCTGCACATGGCATTCGTTTGCATAAACATAGGCTCTGTGTGTGAAGGATAGCATAAAATCTAACCTAATACAAGTTAGTGAGGCGAACATACAGTCTGCTTGGGTTAAGTTAGAATTTGGTAATCGCACAGTAACTCATGTAGGTGTGATTTTTAAGCAGGGTCTTGTTACCAGCGGGGTACCTTGAGGATGTGTACTTGGGCCTATTCTCTGATATTGCAGAAGGTCTTGATGGTAAGGCATGTCTTTTTACTGATGATACAAAGAATTGCAACAGGGTTGACGTTCCAGGAGGGATAAGTCAAATGGCAAATTATTTAGGTAAACTATAAAAAATGGTTAGAGCTGTGGCAACTGACATTTAATATTGAAAAGTGCAAGATAATGCATCTTGTGTATAAAAACCTAAGGGCAGAGTATATAATATTAGATACAGTACTAACTTCAACATCTGAGGAAAGGGATTTAGGAGTAATTATTTCAGATGACTTCAGACAATGTAATAAAGCAGCAGGAAATGCTAGCAGAATGCTTGGTTGTATAGGGAGAGGTATTAGCAGTAGAAAGAGGGAGGTGCTCATGCCATTGCACAGAACACAGGTGAGCCCTCACTTGGAGTACTGTACACAGTACTGGATACCATATCTCCAGAATGATATTGATACTTTGGAGAGTGTTCAGAGAAGGGCTAAAAAAACTAGGCCATGGATTGCTGGGTAAAACTTACCAGGAAAGGTTAAAGGAACTTAACATGTATAGCTCGGAGGAAAGACAAGACAGAAGGGATATGACAGAAATATTTAAACACAAAGTGAATCAACACAGTAAAGGAGGAGACTATATTGAAAAGAAGAAAAACTACTACCACAACATAATCTTAAATTAGAGGGGCAAAGGTTTAAAAATAATATCAGGAAGTATTACTTTACTGAGCGGGTAGTGGATGCATGGAATAGCCTTCCAGCTGAAGTGGTAGAGGGTAACACAGTGAGGAAGTTTAAGCATGCGTGGGATAGGCGTAAGGCTATTTTAGATATAAGATAAGGCCAGGGACTGATGAAAGTATTTAGAAAATTGGGCAGACTAGATTGGCCGAATGGCTCTTACCTGCCATCACATTCTAAGTTTCTAAAATAAAATTTTTTTTAAAAAGGAGAGCCAAATGGTGCAATATTGTTGGGTTTAAAATCACTTAAAACAAATGTCCTCAAATAATTCCTGCTCACCTTAGTTAGGAGCCCATAAATAGGTGGCTCCAAGTTTGAAGACTTGTCAAATGTATGGTGACAATGTCCTCTTAGAACCAGAGGATGCCATTTCCAAGATGGAATCACTATTAGGTGTTTTCAGCAAAGATTAAATAATTAAAAAGCAACTATTTAAAAATAGTAATAACTACATTCAATAATAAACACTGAAATCCTCCCTCCGATACGAGTTTCATCTGACCACCAGAACGTATATAACCAATTTGTACTTACCACATTGAATTGAACTATTTTTTGTTTGTTTTGTATTTCCTTTTATATGTCTACATGCTGCCCTGGTACATGTCTTAAGGGGTAAGTGTTATCCTACACCAACAGTATTTTTGGTGGGATAGACCACCTAAACACCAAGTTTGGTTTTAAGATTTGAGCTTTAGAGAAAAGATCTACATCTTTGCCAAGCTGTTTTTAGATAATGGCAAAAGATGCACAAGTAAATGTATGAATGTTTTTATTTTGGCAGTGTAATGTCCCTTTAATCTCTTTACCTGCCAGCACTTGCAAAAGCAGTAGGCAAGTGCAGCTTTTGCAACCTGATTTTAGATACACCCCAATGTAAAATACATAATTAAATGAATGCATGTTTTAATTTGTGGTATATCTACTAAACAGTGATTTTTATTTTGGCGGTGGAGTGTCTATTAAAAGGATAGATTATGACATTGGTCTTTAAGAGGATGAACTATACTACTTTTATATAGGCATGTAATGTAACTGTGGAGATGTATAACAAATTATAGAAATTTACAGAACTGTTACTTTCCCAAACCCCATCTTAGTATTCATAATAAGTAAGCAGTTTAGTTCACAGATTCTGTAAGTACTAGAAAACTACATGTATGCCCGTAAAGTAGATCTCTTTTTAGCAGTAATTCACTGTTACCAGAAGCTAACTGGTTCTGCTAGAATGAGTGTATTTATTCATGTTTTCCCAGGTAAAAATAGTCATTTAGCCCCTAACTTGGAAGCAAAATGCTTACCTAGATTTTTTTCTGTAAATGCACCCAAATGACAGCTGCAAAAAAAAAAAAACATCCCTACCATAGGCATATCACTGTGAACCTTGCTCCTGAGTGAGGAAGCCACCTTTGTATTCTTTATTCAAACATTTATACTGTGTAGAATGGCTATTTGTTTGTCAACACTGGTCACTGAGGCTGTATTTTATTTCTCTATTCATATCTGTTTAAACCAACACACAGCTGATACTGGAAAGCAATGTAATTTTTAACTATAATTACTCCTTGTATTTTGAGAGGAATGGAAATTATTTCAAACAGAGCATGCAGAAGCCAGATTTGTGAATAGACCAAGCACAGGAAAGTCAGAAGCGATAGAGCATTGATTCATACAAAAAGTTTTGTTTAAGCCACAAACCCTTTGAATCAGAAAGCTTACCTGTTAGCGAAAATGCATAAGAATCAACAATTCCACAGGTGAAGGATTTTTTTTTTTTTTTAAAACATTCTCACCTTTAAAAAAGGACTGTTTCAAGTTCTTGAATGGTCTGCATACCATCTTCAATACGCTTCAAAGGGTGACTATGTTACCCTTCGGAAGACAACAATAGTAGCATCATTTTTTCACAATCTGATGTTATCATGATCAGTTAGGGCTTTATTCACTAAACAGTAAATTGACAATGAATCCACACTTTTTACATATCTTACTTTGAAATGTTTAAACCCCTTGTTAACATATATGCTAAAGTTGTTAAAAAAAAGATAAAAGAACAAAAGAACAAAGATGCGTGGACTACTGCCAAATGTCCAGGCAAGCCCATGCTAAATGTATATTTATAGAGGTTCGTATACACTTTGATGTCAGTTCTGTTTATAACCAAGTTTCCATAGTATTCATTTGCAATTTTGCCATGTTAAAACTACAGTGACAAAATGCAATATATAATCCCATATCTGTGTATATGTTCACGCATTGCTACTTGTGTTTGTATACATAGATATACAGGAAGAAGATATCTAATGTGCATTAAGACAATTTTAGTATGACTTGGTGAAATCTGCAACAAAGAACAAGACACACCCCTCCATAGGCAAAAATAATTTAAAAAAAAATATATATATATATTAAAAAAAATCCTATACTACTAGAATATATGTACATAAAATGCATACTTAAAAAAAAAAAATTGGCCTTCATTTATGATGTTATATAATGAACATGGATATTTCTCCTCATAGAATTATGGAAATAAAAGTGACAGGTTGTGTTTAAAATGTCTTTGCTGTTTTTGTTTAATAAATATATGGTCAAATACAACAGATATCAAACTGTGTGTCAGCCATTTTATTTTCCCATACCTTATTATACTGAGCCAATTTGTAGTCCTGAGATGCTATTGGGGAAGGGATGGTTAACACTGATATAAAGCATCTGCTGCAACAATCAGGTCTTGTGTTTTCAGCCCTCAGCACAAGAGTAAAATGAAGGAAAAATATTCTGGTAATACTAAGATCTTTGATTTTTACTATACTACTGAGAATGAATGCCACAATATTTAGGTAACATTTAAATACCATTTCACAGTTGAAAATTGTCTGAAAAGGACAGCTTCTGCTCACATTAGAAAACGTGAAACCAAAATCTATGCAATATACAGCGTGTAATAGGTTTTACAATTATACAAATTCTAGTGTTCACGTCATACTTTGACCATAAAATGAATACTGAATAATTCTGAAAAATAGTGTAGGCAGTGCAAGCAAGACAAGCAAGTTATAGTTAGTGTTCCAAAGAAACACACTACCTACACATCCTAACATTCAAAACAAATACGGTCAAGCTGTGAATGTACTAAGGTTTTCTCTTATATTTACCAAAAATATGGAGAAAATGGGAGTCAACAGATTTGCTTTCCCCAAAAAGTTTAGCTTTCCAATAATTTTTGGGTAATTTTTGTGGTTGTAAAATAAGACTACTGTATTTATTTGGAGTGCTTGTAATTAAAAGAAAACACTGAGAGCAGTCTTAAATGCTGCACAAAAGTCCATAAATACTAAGCTTAATTTACTGCTTGACCTTCTTGTAGGAGTAGTGTCCCATTGTGCAACAGTCAATGTCCATACATATTATGTGATAACCGTTTTACGAGTGTCCATAGAAGCACATATTTTATTTATTAACGTGTATGTCATTTTTCTTTTTTGCCACTTAATGCGTGAGGGCTTCTGGGAAATTAGCATATTAAAAAAATAATAATAAAAAAAAAAAAAATATTACTAAAAATATTTGGATTTAAAAAATAAAAAAATACACAGATTAAAAATAAAAAACAAAACCAAAACCATTTAGGCAAGGTCTCTCCGGTCATCTAAATCTGCTATGCAATGTAAAGAGTGTGTCTCTTTAAAAGCGTCTGCCACCTGGTGGTGCGGGCCATCTCTGGCCGCGGCCAGGTGGCGGAGGATGTGCTGCAGTACCACGTCCATTGGGAAAGCTGTGTAAAAGGATAAAATCACAAGTTTGCTTTGTTGGAAACTGGTTTAAAAATAAAATACAAAAAATAAAAACAGATTTGTGCTACATTTTACACACTTATTTAAATAAGCCCAAAAGCATGCACTTTAACATGGCACCCATATGGATAATCTAAAAATGTGAGAACTAAAACGAAAGTGGTAAGAGGTAAGGGAATATAATCATAGTGTATATTAAATCAGTTAACATTATTTCACAGATTTAAATAATCAGAGGGCAGGGGTGGGAGAAAAAAAAAAATCTTACCCTCGTGGATGAGGAAAGTGGCCTCTCTGTGGTGGTGGTGGCGGCGGCGGCAGTATACCTCTGCCACGATGAGGAGGTGGCATGCCTCTAAAACCCATGAGCCCTGGAGGTGGAGGGTGTCCACGTCTGATTGTAAATAAAAAATAAATAAGAGCACATAACCAGAATTTAAGAAGATTTACACAATAAATAGAATACACACTGCTCGAAATGTAAACTCCTTATCTACTATTGAAAACTCTAATGCATTTTATTTTTTATCTGCATGTCAGCAGCATAGAATTATAATGTGTGTGAATACAGGGGTGTATGTTTCTGGATGGTCAGAGTGTCTGTATATGAATGCAGGGAATAGGAGGTGAGGGGAGAAGGGGGATGGGCACACTTTAGTAAATGAGTCCCATCCCAGGGATTTGTATCATGATAGCCTAAAAGAGCAGTACTGAGATCAGTAGAGCGCCCTACAGCTGCATTTAATTCTACCAACACGGGCTCTGGTTCTGGATCCCTCAGGGATAAGTGGACCATTGTCAGCATCCATCACACCCAACAGTTGCACGAAGTGTGCCAACACAGTTCAGTTTTACTTATCAATGCCCAAAGGCCTTAACAGAACACTCCACCCTTAAAATTTAACACTTTATTGTATGCATAATATATATTTTTGGAGGTGTTTAAGAACAGTAGTATTCAGAAGGGATTATACTTCAGCCAAATGAAGAAATGGTAGTCTAGTAGAGGATTCTGCAATGTAACTTGTTTGTAGTATGTCCAGTCAGTATTAACCACTACATCCATATTAGACAAGAAGACATTTAAAAATGTTCCTGGTAGCTGACCTTAGAGTTGGTGGTGGTGGAAAGGGTTCTCTCATTTCTCTTTCAAGGTGTGGTGGTGGCGGTGGCGGCAGTGGAGACGGCAGAAATCCTGGATGTCGTCCTCTGATTCCTCCGCGCCCACGAGGATCCTGATATGGATGCATTCGGCCCATTCCACGTCTTAAAATAATCAAAAAGTAAGTTAAGTCAAGTTTAAATTCAGCACCAACACACAGTAAATTCACTGGTTCACTTAGTGCATTCTTTTTAGAGCTCACTGTTTGCACTTTCAACATTTTAAACCACTAGTGACTAATGACTAGTTACAGCATGCAGACTGCTTCGACAGTGAAACTCAAAACAGATTTCTCTAAACTTGCTGCAAAAGATAAAAGTAATATGGTTTATGTTGATAAAGCTCCTGTCTTTGGACATGAAAGGCATTCAGTGTTGCTCTGGGATTTATTTTACTCCCCCCCCCACCCGCTTTCTATCTGGTGCAAAGATCCTTTTTTCAATTTGTTTATCCTTGCCTCTATTCTGGTTAGTATTTTATATGGAATGCACTATATTTAATAAATCTGCACAGCAAAGAATGTTTTTTTTTTTTATTTCTCTGTGAGTCTTTAAAGTGTGATGTATGGTTAACATTTATCACTTTGTGGATCTCTGGAATTGAGGCACCAAAGACATTGGAAACTCTTCTGATCCTTATAACAAGTAAGTGGAAAGAAGTTTTATAACAGTGCTGTCCTGTTCTAATCACACCTTACATATGTAATTGTAACAACTGGGGCAGCGGCTTATTTTCTCTAATCATGTATGTTACTATAACTGCCCAATAAAGCAGAATTGATTAAAAGACATTCACAGAGTCCCATGAGTGCACTCTACCACAGTATGTGTGTGAGAGATAGCACAGATCTCTTTTATATTGTTAAAAGCCATGTCAATATTATAACAAATACAGGAAATAGAGAAGAACAGTCTTAAATGAACACAGTAAACACTATAACGGCTACATCTCATTGAAATGATTAGTGTCTGGACTTCACCGGCACGGTCTATCCATTCAGCGTTAAACTGTTTTTAATGCTAAACAAAAAGAGCCCCCAGCATCCCATCCCCTCTGTGCTGCTTAAGCTAAGCTGCAATGGGCGACTATGATAGTCTGAAGGTGTCAGCTGACCATACTGCAGGTATGAATCGGTATGTCTAGAAGCAAGAGTGTAAGCTCTGCCTTAGCCCCACCTCCAGTGGGTGCTGGGATATGGAATGCCATGGACCCTCAGTGTTAAACTACTCAAAAATGGAAGGACAATGCCAGGGGGACTCCAGGCACTATAACCAATTCAAAGAGATGAAATAGTTATGGTACCTACAGTATCCCTTTAACCCCTTAAGGACCAAACATCTGGAATAAAAGGGAATCATGACATGTCACACATGGCATGGGTCCTTAAGGGGTTAAAGAGGTGTGTAAGGTAAATAGTACCTGTGCACGAACGCCGTTCAGCTATGGTGAACCAATCAAATACCTGTTAATCACTGAACTAACTTATCGATCTGTTTGATAATTACGAACAAAATGAGGATTTCATTTAGCAATTTACAGACATTTTATTCAATCTAGTAAATACAAAAGTCAATATTTCTGTCTTACCTTGGACATATTTTGTAGCTATAAAAAAAAATAAATAAATAGAAACCCACACTCTGTCAGTCTCCCAAAATAGTCCCTCCTCCCCCAAAATTAAAGCCCACACAAAAAAAAAAAAAAAAGACACAGGACATCACTATATTTATTCATGGTTACCTGAGAGGTATAATCCCATTCATGGGATGGTCTCTGAACTTTTCTCGCCCAAGAGGCATTTGGCCCTTCATACCACGGTCACCTCTTGACATGTAATTACCTCTACTCCGGTTTCCTCTTCCCCTGAAAATTGTTAAGAAATACACTGACAAATTCAAAGAGGTTTTTACCATTCAAGATTACAGGAGCTGTCGGGTATGTTACCAAACTACATCTGAAGCAGAACAGCAGAATAACCAAGATTAATGGGCTCAAACCTTTAGATAATTTATAGACTTTATTAATTTTCATTTGATTCATTTTATTTTTTCTGCCAACACTTCAATGAAGAAATACAAAATTACTACCATTCCCTTCTCAAAAATACTATGATTTCAAAGGTATAAGATTTATACCAATAATAGCTTATTATTTGAAACATTTTAACAGTGACCAAAGCCTTTCATATTGTAATTGTGTAAAAATGCTTTATTTCATGAAAGGTTTTCATTTCCTAATTGTTTGGTGACATAGAAATGCATGATATTTATAACGGAATGTGAATCATTGAGGGGATTACGCCAGGTTATTAAGTTAGCTGAAGTAACAACTGGGCAAAGATAGCAGAAACAGCAGTGAAGATTTAAATAAACACTAAGCCCCAGTGCGCTGTAGTGATTATGGTGCCAATAGTGCTCTAGCACCTCCTCAATGTACAAAGTCAAACCATTTTAGAATGGTATGACTTGTTACCTGGGGTGTTACCATGCTCCTTCTCACCTATTCTCTGCTACAGGGAAAGCTGAAAGCTCCTTCCAGCTCTCCTGGTAGCAGAAGGCGGGTTGCGGCATCTACTGGACCCTAGGTAACAAGTCAAGCCATTCTAAAAAAAAGGTTAAACTACCTAGCTCGCCATAGTGGTTATGGTTTTTCAGAGTGTTCCTTTAAAAAAGATTGTTGCTCTGCTAGCTAAACAGGCTATTGTTCACCTTTCCATTTGCAATGTTTGCCCTGGGTTTGCCTTGTCTGAACTTGATTATAAAATCTGCTAACAAAGTAAAAAACTGAAAAACTAAAAATTAAACCACTATATGAAAATAAATAAATGAGTCTTCTAAAAAGGTGTCTCACTACCACCCAAAGTACATATATAATCATAACAAATGTATAAAACGAAAGACCCTCTGAATCCAAAAACACACACACCCAAGTGTGAAATAAGAAAACCTAAAAGGAAATTAAAAACACAAAATCCTCTTTGAGTGCCCTACCCACACCCCTCTTCCTGATTTTGGGTACCTGTATTACACTATTTGTTTGTTTGTTTTTTTTAAATTCTTTATTTTTGTGGTACAATCATTGAATAGATATACTCTTGTAATGCCACAATAGCAGTAACAAGAGTGAAGAAACATAATTTAACAGGCTTATGGCATAGATAATTACTGCACACATTTTTTTTATGTTAAGTTGGAGAGTCACATGCTTATCCAACGTGTCTAAAATATATGTAGAGAGTTGTCAACGCAAGCTATCTAGACATATTGGTGATCTTGCACAATTAGGCTGAAGAACAGGCTTTTAAACCTGGGAAATTCTTATAAAACAGAGAGTGTAACATGTAGAGTGCCTATTAGACTAGACAGCAGGTCCTAGTTTAAGCAGACTAAGTGCGCTGTGACTGAGAAGGTCATTATGCATTTATATAAACAAGACTGATACTCATGAGTGATAAGGGTTGTGTAGAACTGGAGTCCCGAATGAGTGTGAAACCACAGCATCGTTGGTCAGGATCAGCTACATGCCAGGTGGCTCCTGTCAGCAAGGGCAGAGGGGATATATGGCATGGGGTTTGCGACTGGGTAAGGAGCGGGGAGTGCTCTTCAGGTTGGGTTTAGTCCCAGGGTCAGTCCATGGCAGTCAGGTCTACGCCTGTTCTTGTGGTTGGATCTTTCAGTCCCGGGTTGAGTCTAGGAAGGGGTTGGAGCAGGGTGTTGCCGGGTCCCTTGGCTGCTGTTGTGGTCTGTGTTTGGTGCTTGAGGGAGTAAGGCCTCTCACCGCCGCTTGTCGTGGGGCTTTCTCCTCCACGCCGTCTCCCTCAGGGTTATGGCTGTGGGGTTGTTGCCACTGACCTTTCCGGTTACCGGCACTCCGCTATTGTACAGGGTCTGTCTAGGCCCCCTGGCAGCCTGCTACTGCGGTGTGTGAGGCTGCGTTGCTGGTAGGATTCGTCGTGGTGTTGTCCGCCACCGTCTTAGGTGAGCAGAGTGCTGTTGCTTCCTCCTGGCCTCGCATGTAGGTGTTCGGGCTTGTGATGGCGCCTTGGTGGACCGTGATGACCCCCAGCAGTCCAAAAAAGGGGGGGGGGGAGGCTCTGCGTCTGCAGGACTTCGGGACTGGAGGACCGGCCGCATTTCCAGCCTCGCATCAACTGCTAGGCCGCAAGTCGGACCTGCCTCGGCTAGCGCCTCCAGAGAGCCAGTAGTGCCCTTTTCCCGCTCCCACCGGTGGATTGGGGCAAGGGAAGCTTGAAGTCAGGCGCTTAGTGCACTGCATGTACTTCTCCGCATGGTGGTCAAGCTCTGCCCCCACTATTTTGTTTTTAATTTCCTTCTAGGTTTTATTATTTATCATCTGTTGTATTCTATTTTTATAAAATTAAATTTATTTCTATTCACTTGGCTGTGTGTTTTTGGATTCAGATTTTTTTTTTATTTATTTTTTTTATATATACATTTTTGCATATGTTGTAATTATATTAATTCAAAATGTGGCATCACCTGAAAAAGATTAACAAGATATACAGGTGATATTAAATTTTTTGTTCACTGGTGTAAAATGCAAAGAAGTTACCGGTAGCTTTTAATGCCCGGCAGCACTTGCATTTTTTACACACACAAATAACTTAATAAAATTTCAGAGCAAAAATGAAAACCTGAAAGAAATGTACTTTTATTTCAAGGCAAGTTAAGAAACAAAATCGGGAAAACTTAGCTTCATAACAAAGATTTTTAACTTTGCCATTTTGGTTTAAAGGGACACAGCACTGTAAAACAAACGCTCCCTTTAGAGAAGCACTGTGATAATGTAGCAGGATTATTGGTGAGCATGTGCAGAAGACTCCTCGATTTTTCTGTATGGAGCATTACCAATTACCTAAAAGAGGGCCTGCAGATCCAATAATGTTATTTACTTTACTCTTATAGTTGAGGACCTAAATATAAAAGATCTAAGAAGAAACTAACGTTAGAAATACACGTATTTCATCAATATTAAAGATTCCCTTTATGTTACAGACTGGTTTTCAGGCAGTCAGAATCTTTATAGAAAATACATGTTATAAATAAATGTGTTAGAATTTGAAGTTAAAATGTAATAGAGGTTATGGATTAAAACACCACTAGCCATCAGTCACAAAGGTTGATGGGAAAAGTTCACTTCTCATTGTGTATGATTGTTAACATGTATGGAGGATGAAGAGATGGGTGGGGGGTAGGAGGGGGCAAAATAAAAGGTGCAAGGTGGCATTCGCCTGCCTTTTTTCTAATCCTTTTCAAGAAAAAAGGGGAAAACCAGTTAAATAGGAATATATATATATATATATATATATATATATATATATATATATATCTCTATCATGTTGATGGACATTACAAATAAAATTAAATTACTCGACAAATTGCAGGAACAGCTCTAGAACTATAAAATGATGACAAATACCTGAACTTTCGAACTTCTAGACCAGATTCAATTTGATCCATTGGCATCTTTCTATAGTCTCTGGAGATAAAAGCACAAACAAATTATCATGCTACTTGTAGCAGCTTTTCATACGGTTTAAAAGCTTGACCACATGTCAAAAATGGTGAAGTATAATTTTTGGTCACAAAATGAAAGGGTTCCCATCTTTTATTGGGGATATATAGATAGATAGAGATAGAGATATATATTACATTCCTGTCATTTGGAATGAGGACAACATTTTAAGGCCATTCTGTAGATTGTAGCTATAGCAAATAAGGCAAAGGATTTCGCCATGAAAGAAGGGCCACAGAAGACCTACCTTTCCATGGTCTGTAAAGATCCATCACTGTGGGTTTTGAATGTCCGACTTGATGGCCCATTCAAATTTGTCATATCTAAATAGACATTTTTAAAGGATCACTATAGGGTCAGGAACACAAACATGTATTCCTGACCCTATAGTGCTAAACCCACCATTTAGGTGGCTTGCCCCTCCTCTTAGTCCCCTTATAAAAGTATAAAACTCCAACTCACCTTATTTCCAGCGCCGCGCGAGTCCGCCAGCGCTGGCTCTGCCCCCTTTGTCACATCATCGAAATGGCCAGTGTATAGCCAATCCAACGAGATTGGCTAAAATTGGCACGGAGACGGGGCCAAACGCAGTTTTGGCCAATCAGGCCCTCCTCATAGAGATGCATTGAATCAATGCATCTCTATGAGGAAAATTCAGCGTCTCCATGCAGAGCGTGGGAACGCTGAACGGCAGGGCTGCTTACTGTGCCGCCCTGAGCCAGGAAGCCCCTCCAGTGGCCATCTAAGGAGTGGCCACTTGGAGGTGTCCCTAGGGGCAATGTAAACACTGCCTTTTCTCTGAAAAGGAAGAGTTTACATGAAAATGCCTGAAGGGAGCTATTATACTTACCAGAACAACTATATTAAGCTGTGGTTGTTGTGGTGACTATAGTGTTCCTTTAACTGCATCACTGGTAAATGGATTATAAGTGGACCCCTGTATGGGTAGTGCCCAAAAAAACCTTTGGTTCCAATATTAAATTATACAACTGCTCAAATGTTTAATGGCATCTTAGAGGCAAGTCATCAGCATAGTACACAGTCAACACTCCTCAGTGCTCAAAGAATGAAGCATTGGAGGACAGTTAAATAGGATTATAACTTTTTTTTATTACTCCCTTAAAAATATATACAATTCATATAATTAAATGTTCTTGGTGTGAATGATAGTAGGGTTTGTTATTACATTTTAAAACAATCTCACATAAAGACAATAATTAAATGGTCAATGTCAGTTGTGAACTCCTTTAGAATATTTACAATTCAGGCTATAGTAATAAAAAAAGTCACAGAAAACTGCCCTATGGGTAAATGCACAATTAAATGCATTCATGTTTTCATTGGGGTATATTTACTAGTGATTTTTATTGTATGTGGGCAGTGGACTGCTCTTAAATATCTCTGTAGTGTTTCAAAGCAAAATGCTACACATACAGACTCCACGCTGTAACAATAAAAAGGTTGTGGTGCTTGGTGTAATGATAATCCTTTAGAATTATAAAAAAAAAAAAAAAAATCCAACTCCTATTTCAAACTAGGCTATGTTGTTGTAAAGTTTGAAGTCACTTTTTTATAACTGATTTAGTGGATATTCCATCAAACGACACTGACAGGGTTATTCGCCAAACATCAGAATTTCCACAAATGAATTCTGTTAAAGGAAAACTTTACTGAAATTAAGTTGTTATGATGCCAGGAGGTCCCTATTGCTGGCTTACCTTTAGGGGTTAAACGGTTTTTCTGTTTTCAGGTGCCATTTCGCTCTGTACCCTCCAACATTCACTAAATAAAAATATTCAAAGCAAAAGCCTCAGAGGGTCTCTGCAGATTGGATTAGAGCTGTTAGACGCTCTAAGGCAGGGGTCCTCAAACTCCAGCCCCCCAGATGTTGCTGAACTACGACTCCCATGATTCTTTGAATTACATAGATAGCCAGAGAATCATGGGAGTTGTAGTTCAGCAACATCTAGGGGGTCGGAGTTTGAGGACCCCTGCTCTAAGGCAATCATTAGCTCTATATTCATAGAAACCGGCTCAAGAAACTTACATATTTTTCTCATTCCAGTTTGTGAATGAGGAGCTAATAACTGACTTACAGCATCAGCTTACTGCTGAAAGCCGATCAGCGGCACCCCTGCCCGTGGCAGTCCGAGGCTTCCATTTTGAAGATTTTCTGAAAGTGCATGTTGGAGGAGACAGGGAGAATCTGCACTGGAGAGGAGACTTTTGGGCTAAACCAATCAAACGCCTGACACCAGAACATCATTTTGGCAAAAATGGTACCCACAGGGTACCATTAACATAGCTGAGCATTTCAGATCAGCTTTTACCTTTGTTTTTCATTCAGAAATAATTCGACAAGAATTCTGAGTTTAGTGAATAACCTTGCCAATTATAGAATCCTGGCTGGGTACCACAGCATCTAAAGTGTATGTAACTTGAAAGTGGGAATCACACTAGGGAGTGAAAGCCAGGCTTCCTGTGGCAGGCTGTAACAAAGGAAACATAAGGCTGGAAAAAATTAGCAAGGAGAGTATGGAGTGAAGCAGGCAATAACATGAATGGTATCAAGTTAAAGATACGATACAGTCACCATGCAATGGGGGACATAACATCCTCTATTATCCTAGCTGTCATACATTTCTCTTTCATTCACAGCGATAGGGCTGCAGGGACTAGACATAGTAGTATTAGGTTACCAGGCCATATTGATGGCCTGAATTAAATGATAAACTCCATGGATATCCAGATAACCCTGTGTGTTACCGGTCAGGGGGTCTGTGTGATCGGTCAGAGTTTCAGTCAGGGGGTCTGTGTGATCGGTCAGGGGGTCTGTGTGATCGGTCAGGGGGTCTGTGTGATCGGTCAGAGGTCTGTGTGGATCGGTCCAGGGGTCTGTGTGATCAGTCGGTCTGTGTGATCGGTCGTCAACCGGTGTCAGTGGCTGGAGGAGTCTGGTGGAGGGTCTGTCCCGGTGGAGGGTCTGTCCCAGTGGAGGGGTCTGTCCGGTGGAGGGGGGTCTGTCCAGTGGAGGGGGTCTGTCCCGGTGGAGGGGGCTGGGGGGTCACCGGTGGCTGGGGCAGGGGGTCTGTCCAGGCTGGAGGGTCTGTCAGTGGCTGGAGCAGGGGTCTGTCGGCTGGGAGCGGGGGTCTGTCCCGGTGGGGGGTCTGTCAGTGGCCGGGGGTCTGTCCCGGTGGCCGGGGCTGTCCCGGTGGCCGGGGGTCTGTCCCGGTGGCCGGTGGGTCTGCTTAGAGAACAAAATGTCAGGTACAGTGTCTTTTTCTCTGGCAGGGAAGGGGTTAAATGCCGCTCTGGGATGTGGTTTAACCCGTCCGTGACCGGGAAGTATACCTGCTCACACACTAACCGGTTACCTCAGTAGTCGGCAGGGGGAAACAAGGACAGTCCAACCGTTACTCGAACACCGACTCCAGCCTGAGGAGAAGCGAGAGCTGCGCTGTCCGCGCTGACGTCATCGCGTAAGGGCTGGAGTTTTGCGTCGATTGGCTGGAGCGTCTCAGTCCCCCAATAAGAAGGTCGAGGAATCGCCGGGTACCAAATGGCTGGGCCTGGAATGTCTTAGTGTGTTACGTCACTCGATCTGTGACATGGCCGCGGTCAGTGCTGGGGTCTGACTGGGCTCTTCAATGGGCAGCCTTCACACACACACACAACTAGAGCTAGTCACATAGAAACATTAACTGTCCACATTAAGTCAGCTATTTCTGACTATCTTTTGTTATTTGGAGTTTAATAAGTTTTGAATATAATAACAAAAAATATATATACATAATATTTTAATTATATTATTATTATTTATAAAGTGCCAACAAATTCCGTAGCGCTGTACAATAGGTTGACTAACAGACATGTATTTGCAACAAGACGAGCTGGACACAAACAGAGGTATATGCTGTACGCTGTTGGAGAACGTCTCACTGTGCATCTCCCCTATAAATTTATGCTGCGCTCATACAGCTTGGCTCTTGCCTTTGCAAAAGTAAATTACTTCAATACCCTCATAACCACACTCCCGCGAACCCAAACGACTATTTCACACATTTAACTCTCTTCTTCGCCCTGTTGTTCGTCCTTCACCTACTAACTTGACCACCTCAGACTTTGCAACTCACTTCATTGACAAGATCTCTACAATCAGGAAAGAGATCTCTCATCTTTCTTCTACCCCTTACAATGTTCATTCGCATCCGCCACAGCGGAAGAGGTTTCTGCTCTGCTCCAGTCCTCCAGCCCCACCACATGCTCCCTAGATCCAATTCCCTCGCATCTCATTCGTACTGTCTTCTCTTTCTCTACCTCTCACAAAAATTCTCAATCTCTCTCTCTCCTCTGGCATATTTCCATCGACCTTCAAACATGCAATTGTAACCCCAATTTTAAAGAAGCCCAATCTTGACCCTAACTCCCCATCCAACTATCGTCCTATCTCGCTACTGCCTTTTGCATCCAAGATCCTTGAAAGAATTGTGTATGCGAGATTGACAGACTTCCACGAGTCTAATTCTCTGCTAGACCTGCTTCAGTCTGGTTTCCGCGCTAAACACTCTGTAGAAACAGCACTGACCAAAGTATCCAATGATCTACTCGCTTCAAAATCGCGTGGTCACTACTCTATCCTAATTCTCCTTGACCTTTCTGCGGCTTTTGACACTGTTGATCATCAACAGCTTCTTCTCATCCTCCGCAATATCGGTCTACAAGATATTGCTCTCTCCTGGTGCTCCTCCTACCTCTCCCAGCGCTCTTTCAGTGTTTCTTTCTCTGGTTCTGCTTCTTCTCCCCAACTCCTCTCTGTTGGTGTCCCCCAAGGTTCAGTCCTTGGTCCCCTACTCTTCTCCATCTATACTGCCTCCCTTGGTAAACTCATTAGCTCCTTTGGCTTCCAATACCATTTCTATGCAGATGACACGCAAATCTACCTGTACTCTCCTGATCTCTCCCCGTCCCTCTTGACTAGTGTCTCTGACTGCCTCTCTGCTGTTTCTAACTGGATGGCTGCCCACTTCCTTAGCTCAACTTGACCAAAACTGAAATTCTGGTCTTTCCTCCATCAAGTGTTGCTATTCCTGTGTCTGTCTCCCTCCAAGTCAACGGTGCTACCATTAGCTCCACCAGGCAGGCTCGCTCCCTAGGTGTTCTCTTTGACTTCGACCTCTCCTTCACGCCTCATGTTCAGTCTGTCGCCAAATCCTGCCGCTTCCATCACAAAAAACATAGCGTGCATCATAACGCCAGATGCGACTAAGGTGATGGTCCATTCCACTGTCCTTTCTCGCCTTGACTACTGTAATCCACTTCTCAGTGGTCTTACGTGCTCCCAACTTGCAGCGTTACAGTCCATAATGAATGTGGCAGCGAGGCTCATCTTCCTGTCCGCTCGCACCGCCCACGCCTCACCCCTCACCCTTCTGTTATTTCCTGCATTGGCTTCCTGTAAGACAAGCATGTCAAACTCAAAGTCTGGCACGGGCCACATAAACAAGGTTTAAGTTTATGTGGGCCGCAAAAAAAAAAAACCTTAAATTTTCATAGAAACTTAGGTTTATTTTTAAAAGTATAGTATAAAAAAAAAAAAACAGCACCCCCTCTACTAAACCACAGCACCCCCTTTACTAAATCCCAGTCCCCCCTCTACTAAACCACAGCACCCCCTCTACCACCCTGTGCCAAATCTGATCCTCCCGCTGACAGACCGACACATACTCACAGACAGACACTGACAAACACATACAGACACACACACATACATACAGACACACTCACTGACAGACAGACACACACACACATAGTTTTCTTTATTGCTCCCTACCTTTAGGAGCCGATGTGGGGCAACTCCCTGCGGTCCTTCTATCTGCTCCTCACTGCTCCCTCATGCGGTTTAGTGGTGCACTACAGACGGCGCAAGGGAGCAGTGAGGAGCAGGAACATTGAGCTCCCTCGCTGGCCCTCCTCCCCAGCCGGGTAAATGTTAGCAGAGTAGGCACCTGCAATGTGGGGAAAGCAGGTGCCTACTCTGCTATAACACCAGCATGTACTCGCGGCTCTCCGGGCTGCAAAAATGGTCCTTGTGGGCCACCTGCCGGCCACAAGTTTGACATGCTTGCTGTAAAATATAAGGTTTAATTTAAAATTCTGGTTCTTGCTTTCAAATCTCTACATAATGCCGCTCCCACCTATCTATCCTCCCTAATACACAAGTATGTCCCATCTAGGCCCTTACGCTCTGCTGAAGACTTACGTCTATCTTCTGTCTGTACTCCCACCTCTGATGCTCGCCTTCAAGACTTCTCAAGGGCTGCACCGTTCCTGTGGAACTCACTTCCCTCCTCCGTTAAATGCTCACCCAGTCTCCACTCCTTCAAAAAATCATTAAAAACCCACTTCTTCATAAAAGCGTATGAATTAAACTGGCTTTTTCTAACTCCGAAAGCATTTGAGGAATGGAGGCCAATTTTAGACCTTCACGACCTCAATGAAGGATTGTGTGTCAAAAAAATTCAAAATAGAATTCGACAGTTCCGTCATCAAAGTGGTCTCTCCAGGGATTGGATGATCTCCATAGATCTTCGGGATGCCTACTTCCATATTCCTATTGCCATTCCTCACCAGAAATACCTCAGATTTACAGTAAATCAGCAGCATTACCAATTCCAGGCTCTTTCAGTCGGCCTAAGCATTGCTCCCAGAACCTTTTCAAAGATTCTAATTTCATTAATTGCTCATATTCGTCTGGAAGGCATCGCCATTTTCCATTACCTGGACGATATTCCAGTCCTCTCCAATGACAAATATCAACTGAGTCTCCATCAAGATCCAGTTCTTTTCCTTCTTCAGAAGTTTGACTGGATAGTCAACTTCAAGAAAAGTCAGCTCTCTCCATCTCAGGTAATGGTGTACCTAGGGGAATGGTTCGATACAGTGAGTGCAAGGATATCCCTATCCTTGGACAGAGGTCTAAGAGTCCAGTGAAAAATTCTCCCATCTGATTCCTCATCAGTCAGTTTTAGCAAGAGAAGTCATGAGCCTCTTAGGGAGTCTTTCATCGACAATAGAGCTTACGAGATGGGCTCAGTGGCACATGAGAATTCCCCAAATGGAGTTCCTATACCAATATTCGAACAAGGACCTGAAGTAGCAAATTCTTATTTCAGACAAAGTCAAGAAGGAGCTGTTATGGTGGCTGACCGATCAAAACATTTATCTATGATTTCCTCTGGGAACAATCCCTTGGATGACGTTAACAACAGATGCCTGTCAATCAGTTTGGGGTGCACACTTGGGTTCCCAACACATCCAGGGTATATGGAAAAGCAGATTGAATCACCAATCTTCGAACATTTTGGAATTACGAGCTGTTTTCCAAGCTCTTCTCCATTTCCCTCCCTGAAACATCAATGGGTGAAATTGAGAATAGACAATAACTCAGCAGTAGTTGAAAGTGGGATGCCCTTGAAACAAGGGCATCCCAGAAGTAGCTGCTGAACTAAACAGAATAAATAGTATAGTTACCAGGTGGCAAGTAGAGAAAAAGAGGGCGCTGTACTTATAAATGGATAAAAGGGTGAAGGGGGATAAATCAAAATACCCATATATACCCTATATAAACCACTGCTAGTTGTATTTAATAGCAGCAAAGGACTGTCCCTTTAACAAACAAAAAAAACCAAAAAAAAAAGGGGAGACTCTAGCATTTATACTAGATAAAATGTCCAAAATAAGGACACCTAAACTGCAAAAATACAATAAGGCAACACAAAATATGTGTAATACATAAATCACCCCACTAATATAAAGGCAAGCAAACAGGAGCCTATACAAACATGCATAGGAGAAAAGAGAGCAAAGGAGGACAGGGGCAGACCCACTAAGGACAAGCCCTAAGTCCAGAGGAGAGCCCCCAGGACCAAAAAATGCCTGCCTAGAAGAACTCTAAATGCCAAATAATAAATAGCTAACTATACTAACTAACTAAATCAAACATACTAACTACCTAAGTGCTACCTAATGTGAGAAAAAAAAGTAAAGTCAAATAAGGCGCTCGACGCGCGTTTCAGCGTGCATACACGTCGTCGTCAGGAGCTATTGCAAATGCAGTTCCTATTGAAACCGGTTAAATACCTAAGCAATCAGAGAAAAGTCCATCCAGCTGATCCAACATGTGGGAGGGGTGGGTGATTGACATGGAGTCACCACTCCTCCTCAACCCTGTCATTGCTTAAGCTAGAGTCTCATTGGAGGATAACAAAGTCAATCACTGAGAGGTGGGGAAGGGACTTATGCATAATCAGAACACACCTATCCAAACCCTGCTGCTCACATGGGGATAACCATTGGAAGATCTATCAGTCAATCAATACAGGAGGAGGGTGCAAAATCAAGCATCCCTCCTCCTGATAACAAAACTGACATAAACCTAACTAGCCAATATATATGATATCAATGAGAAGTATCAAAATGTAGCACAGGGAA